GTTTGAAGTTCAGAAAGCTTCTATGTATTCCAATAAACGTAGCCTAGACAGCGAACTTTTCCTTACATTGCAAACATAGTTTCATTATACTGTTATAAAACTGTTATATGTCAAGAAGAAATGTGTACTTTTCTCTATTACATGCAGTTCATACCAAGAATTCCTTTTTATATGGGCCCTTTTTATATGGGTTGACTGCAGGAGACATCCATCCGAGGTTACTTTACTCATATCAGGATTTTTATTAGGGTTTTACAAAAAAATGTGAACTTGGTATAATACACTAAGGAGCAGGAGTGGCTATATAGGCGGGTAGATAGAATCTGTAAAAGTATATCTGGCAAGATTTTTGTAACCCAATATATCAATGATATATGTTAATTATATCACGACACATGTAACCCTTATACAAATTTACTGGCTGTCACAGCCCGCTGTCACAGCGCTCTCACAGCCCGCTGTCACAGCGCTCTCACAGCCCGCTGTCACAGCGCTCTCACAGCCCGCTCTCGCAGCGCTCTCACAGCCCGCTGTCACAGCGCTGCGACAGCGCTTTCACAGCGCTGTGACAGCGCTCTCACAGCGCTGTGACAGCCCATCGGAATGTACCATGCAAATGAGGCTGCGACAGCGCTCTCACAGCATTGCCATATATGGCATTGATTATGCATCCTTCCTACACATAAATTTTAGTTACCTATAGCAACAAGACAAGAAGATAAGGGATATCAGAAAACATTTAGCTACCAAGACCCTGCATTTCCATCTAACTGATGACAATATATTTGCACCCTAGATCAAGTTTGCATTTAATTAGAAACTTACTTTATGGATTCAAGCCAGCTTATATATCCTATATGCACTCCTTATTTGGTTTTTGCCTTGAATTCCATTGTTCAGTTTGAAAGATGTGTATAGCTGTTATTGCACATGTACATGCAAAATTGCCCCAATTGTATCAATTTTATCCTTTATGATGCACTATAATGTCTATATGTGCTAATACATTGATATTTCAGACCTTTAGTTTAACCATGCAGTATGTACTAACTTGCACAAAATTCATTTCATTTGATCCTTTTTCTTAGATCACTAGAACATTCCAAAGGTATCTATAAATAATCAGTAGTACAATACCCAGGGCTGTCAACTTGGGACCACCTAATATGAGTGACTTCAAAATGTTGGACACCTAAGTCCAAATCTGAACACTTTTGTCCAAATTTTGAACACCTTTGGCCAACTTTTAAACACCTTTGGCCAAAGTTTGAGCACCTTTGCAAAACTTTGAACACCTCAAATTTTTCGCGCTCGCTACGCTCGCGTTGTCGTCAACGGGGGGGGGGGGGGGGGGGGGGGGGGGGGGGTAGGTGAGAAAAATTTCCAATGAACATGCGTGACACATACGGGATTCGCGTGACAAATCCGAACAAATTGCGTTCGTTTTTTTCCGGCGTTCGTATTTTTACCGTATCGTAAACATATTTCGAAAAAATTTCTACAGAAATATTTTTGCTTGACAATTACCAGGTAAAATGCGTATTTTGCGTGACATTTTCTGTCACGCAAAAAAAACTGGCGTGACTTCAAATTCTCAGTTGACAGGCCTGAATACCTTACATATGCTTTGTAAATTAGTAATGATATGATGGCCATTTCAGCATAACTCCTTTGTTCTTTCCTCCTACAAAATTCCTGCTCTAACTGATTTTAAGTTTGAATTTTTTAACCCACAATGCATTGGTACTTCCTGCTGTGAGAGGGCTGTGAGAGTGCTGTGAGAGCGCTGCCACAAACTTTGGCAAAGAGAACATGTTGCTGTAATTGATCCAGCCACTTAATTACTGTCACATCCCTCTCGCAGCGATGGATGGAAATAGAATGCTGTGACAGCGCTCTCACAGCATTCTCGCAGCGTATGGATGTGAGAGGATTGTTGCTGAAATTGATCCAGCCATCATTTTAAGCCTATATGCTGTCACAGCGCTGCGACAGCGCTGTCACAGCGCTGTCGCAGCAATTATTTTCCGTAAGGGAAGTTAATGAGAGACAGTATATCGATATATATTGCTATACAATGATATAGAGCCATTTCTGCACCATTCTCGGACTATAGGCCTCAAAATTAGGTATGATTTGATCCAAATGTTCAGATACTTGCTGGAATAAGTGGTATGTCTGAGTTATAGAAACACCTTTATTTTTGTTTTGTTTTTGGATATATTTCCAAGAATTTAATTACACATGTACATTTTGATTTGATTCTCTGCATAGTTCAGATCTTAAGATAGCTTTCTATGAACAACATTGACTTAGAAGTAAACCTTTATCTTGCCCAATCCGGCCTGCTTTATATAACTCTAGTTTTAGCATGAAATCTTTGAAGTAGAATTTATTTTTGTTTTATGGGAGTTCTGGTTAATTTCATAGTGAAAGGCCGTACCATATAGGAAAGAGACTGGAGATTCCTTTAAAGTAGTAGTATAGTATAAATTGTGCATTCAGTTTGCACATCTCAAATCCCGTTCTTGCATAAAACAGTATTATATTACATGTATTTCCAAATTTAGGTTGAAGTTTTTGCTCAGTCATCCACAATGTAAAATAAACATAATACATTTTCTCGATCTCACTTTAAATGACACACTCATGCTGATCTATCAAGGCCTCAGTAATTTGAGTCATTACAGACAATTGCAATGGAATATTGATATTTTCCCAGTGACTCTTAAAATCCATTTTCTCAAGATCTTGATGATGAATTTTCATAAATATTACAGTAAATAGTACTACTTTTGTATCCTCAGAGAATAATCACAATTTTTTAAAGAAAATATGTGTTGTGCCATTTTATAAATGGAAAAAAAAGAATTTACCAATTAAAAAAAGCAATGTTAAAATAAAGGATTTTTAAAAATAACCAATCAGTATCTTTCTAATTTTAAGTGATATCACACAACCTACCTACCTAAGTTTTTGCAAGAATGTGTCGGTATCTGCTCTCTATTAGTTTTAATGTCAAATAAAATGAACAATTTAAGTGTTAGTTGGCAGCCATTTAACAAGGTATGAACACTAAAGTTATAAAGTAATAGAAATAGATGGCACATCCCAATTGGAAACATTCCCAAAATGTGTTAATGCCTTTGATTTGTTTGTTCCAAGTAGAGGTGGGACGATAGTATCATTGGGTTTTGTTTACCCTAAGAATATGAAGAATATAAACAGTGATTTTCATTGCAATAACTCATACTAAATACTTCATTTTGCTTGCCTCATTAAAGTCAACAATATTGACTTCTGACTGTTTCAATATCTTATTGACTGCTGGGAGATTACTGTTGACCTCTTCTGGGGTACTGTTGACTGCTACTGAGATAATGTGGACCACTATTATTAAAGATAGTGATTGTTAGTATTTTGTCTTTGATCCCAGGATTTCCATAACATGAGTTGAAATTTCTTTGAGATCATTAATGTTAAGCAGACATATATTCCAGTGTTTGAAATGATAAAACTGAAACATTGTATACCTCAACAATAAATTTTCAAAGTACTGTCAACCTCTACCCTCAGCAGGGCTCTCACCAGGAGATATTAAGGGTGTGGTGCTAACATCTTCAGAATAACCATTTCATTGTGATAAATCATATTTATGTTATGATTTATCCTTTTTACATGCTATTATTGTATATTCAGTCAAGTTTAGACTATGGAAACAGTCATGATTTGCCAATAGGGTGTGGAGGGAGCTAAATAGAGTGTGGTGCTGCGCAACAGTCTAAAAGCCTGGCAAGAGCCCTTCTCAGTATTCTTAAGGTTTACAGTAAAGGTACATTAACACCACATTAAAGGTATTTAGGAAAACACATGCATAGATGGAAATACACATTACATAAGCCTAGCCAGGGGAGGTGCGATGGGTGCGTAATCACACCCCCCTGACTGAAATTTTTTGGTGATCGCACCCCCCCCCCCTGACTGAAAGCTGGCTCCGTCCCTGCATTGGATTCAATGAAAGTTGTAACTGAAACCAGTTGTAAAATGGACATGGCATGTTAAGAATTATGTTTCATTCCAAACTACTGATTATTGTGAGAGATTTTTGTGATTCTTCTCTTTTGTCATCCAAGCATACAGACATAAACCTTAATTAGTATATGTGCTTTAAGATTTTGGGAATTGATAAGTTTCCATCACTGTCTGTTTTGATTTATGAAAGGTTATTTCAGTTTACTTTTTGACATTTATTGATTCACATTTCCTATTTTCAAGGTTTTTACTAAGGGCTGGTTAGCCTATATTTACATGTCCAGTAAAACCTGTCTTTATAACACTTTCCTAGGTAAACATCGCTATTATAAACACTTTCATTGCAAAGTATAAACACCTCTATATAGTAAACACCTATGGTAAATACCTCTGTAGCAACACTTTTAATGAAATATATATTATTTCTATAGCGTTTTTTGTGTAAGTTTTGCATTTCTGTATTATTAAACACTTACTATTATCATTTTGTAAAAAATAGGTAAATGTGTTCACCTTATATAGATTCACTGTAACTGGTATGCCTTCAGTGCACATTCAGGCTAAATATAAACATTATTTATTTGCTTGTTGCATCTAGAGTATTGCTGTGTATTCTATATGCACAGGGGAGGCCATCTTGCAACTAACATGAATAATGAAAACATCTACATTCGATAAGAGAAAACATACATCTTGGTTATCTGTTTTAAGAAATAAATTGTATTACAAAGATAGAGACAACGTTTAAGGTGAGGAGATGAATATAGTTACATTAGCAGTCTGGATGCGCTCTAATGCATTCAATCTCATTGGGTACTTTTTAGTATAATGCCAATTTAATGGATATAAAGGCATATTATTCAATTAACAAACTGATTTTAGTGATTGGGCATTTTACTAACGATTTTATTGATATCTTGTAGTGTGTGTAGGAAGATCTGTAATTATTTATTTTTGTGTAATTGTAGACTTCCAACGAAGATGGACACAGATGGTGAAGATGACAACGAGGCTGTCTTCGATTTCGAAGAACAATATGATCACGAAGTAGCTGGATTCTACTATAGTGACCATGACCATAAAGCTGATACTCCATTCATCACAGACTTTGATCTAGAACCACCTTTAAGCCCAAGATCATTAAGTGGAGATGAGGGTGTATTGGGCAGGGTTGCCACATCTCCTCAGTGTCGTATAAAACAGGCACGGGAGCAATTTTTCTGCAGTTCTAAAGTTGAACTAAAACATAGTTTTTCATATCATGGTGGTGCTCTCACAGAATACAGTGATGAAAACACTGAACAGTTACAAAACAAAAGTGTGGCAATCATGGAAATATATGAAGAAATGGAACAGATAAACAAACAGAAAATACAGAGACAGATGTCTTTTAAGACCCCCAGGACACCAAGGACTCCCATATCTCCAGGTCCCCCAAGTGCAACAGCTAGTCCAAAAATGCGTATGGGTCTTGAACATTTGGATAACCTTGCCAGTCTAATGGAAGAATTGTCTCGATTAAAAAATGAAAATGCCAAACTTCAACAGAAATGTTCATACCTAGAAGATACCAGAGATCTTCTAAAAGCTAAAAATGAGATTTTGTACAGACAAAAAGGATCAAGTAATATAATGACAAGGGCCTCAACTATTGGGAAGTTTATGAAAACTCAGTTTGACAGTGCTATGTATACAAGTTCACCTAAAGATGTTGTTTTCAATGAATCTGCTGATAAGATGTATGAAGTTGAATGCTTTAATGAATCTGAACCACAAGGTCACCACAAACGTACTCAATCTCTCGGCTCATATGATCCTGATCTTGATCTACAAGATTCTGTGAAGCCAAGAACCCCAATAACTCCTGAAAAAGAGAAAAACAAACCTTTAGAATACTCAAAATCTATGAAACATCGATCGAACAAGGGCTCCATAGTTCAGAAATCATGGAAAAGTATTAAAAGTGTGTTCACTAACAAGCCAGAGGCAGATGATTATGAGGATTATGTCTCAACAGATCATTTTGATCAGAGAATCATACACAATCCACCAACTATTGAACTATCTGAAGTGAAATCAGTTGACAGTGGAGTTGAGTCAGCTGGCATGAGAAAATCTGCTAGCTCAGCTTTAACAACTCCAAGTACTAGCTTAGCTGATTCAGGCTCCCCTAGCCCTAGAAGTGAGCCTGTCTCAATCCCTGCTAGTAAGGATGAAGATCTCTATGACGGTGTCTGGATGGGACCCCCAGGATGGGATGCAAGAAGAGGGAGTCTGGAGTCGAACTCATCAGATGCTTCAGACAGTTCTTCATCTATTGAAATACAGCGAGTCTTCCTAAAGCAGAATCGTAAATCCTTAACAGGCCATGAGATTCAACGATCTGATAGTGATTCTAAAATTAAACCACAAGTGCTAAAACGAAGAAGATCTAGTCCTGTACTATTAGATGCAACAGCTGATGACCTTGAGGAAATGGACACAGAATTGGGCTCACCAATTCTTGTACGGTCAAATAGTCAGAAAAACCTTAGTACAACAGGTAGCCCACCATATGATGGTCCAAGAATGCATCGCAGTCATACGCATAGAGGTCATCGCAGTGCCTGGGGTCGTGTCAAGGATATCATTCACAATAGACGTGATTCTATCAAAAAGCGTGGCGGCCAATCAGGTCGTTTACAAAAATCAGATTCAGAGCGTAGTAGTGCTGATGTGTCTGAATTTGATATTGATGACTTTTTGGCACATATAGATCAGGAGTATGACTCTTCCCAGGGGCCCCAGCTTCCACAGCAGTCCCCTCCAATCCAGGATTCCCCCATGCCTGAAAACCTCCCAGGATCCCCACCAAAATCTGACTTACTCATTCCAGAAAGGAATGTCTCAGAGTCTAGAGCAAAGTCAAAAAGTCCAGAGAATAGTATGTCAGGTCCTTCCCCAAATGTGAAGAAGCGAAGACCACTAGCAAAACAGCACACGTCCACAGTGTTGGAATATGGGGGCCATGATATGCAGGAGCTAATGACGACCACAAAGCCAAGCCAAGGAAAGTCAGTGAACATAGAGGCCCTAATGGGTGAGTGATGTTTCCAGTTGTGAATTTGTATCATTTTCCTCATGGAAAAGTTATCCTGACATGAGCCTCAGTGATAAACAGTAAAGCCAAGAAAAAATATTTTTGTAAAAATGTTAAACTGCCCTCAGCATGCTAAACATGGTTACTAGATGAAAACATCACTTAGTGTGAACATTTTTGAGGTATCAGGTCTCCGATTCTAGGGGAGTTACATATAAATAGTTCACCTATGGCTTCTAACCTTTCATGCTTTATCAAATCTCAGACTAAATAATGTTGTTAAATGTATAGTTCTCATATTTTATTTGTTTCCAATAGGAATCAGTGTGATTGGGAAAATAGGTTAGCCAAATTAATTAAACATAAAGCAAATTATTTAAATGTATGTATATGTGTTTTTTATTATTTTAACACAGAAATATGGAGATACATTGTAAATTCTGTAAGATCTCCTGGATTTAAGATCAGTTCAGTTGATCATATTACAACCGTAGCCCTATGAAGCCATTCAGATTTTAAAGGGTCTTTGACCTAATATAACACCATGTAATCACTGCAAACTATTACAAGGTATCACTTGTGTATTAAGAGCCAACCTCTGATCTAAATCACCTTGTTTCAGTAGTCTTTCTTCAGATCATTGTAGTGGGTCCAAAGGCATATAAACATTTGATGCAAGACTGATTAAATAACTAGATCCTGAATGCTTCACAAAACATCTTCATCTAATCAACTAAAAATCCAATTAATAAAATATGTACCTAATTTTGTACATTTTTTTTCTTACCAATCTCATTGTGGTAGCGATCAAATAATTAATGCATTTCCATAAAACTCTTGTTTGTATTTTAGATCTATTTTACCAACACTATATGTTATGTATATTTGTGAGGCATTCTTAATCCTTTTCTATTATTTTTTTGCTTGTTAGACCCCTACCCCATAGAAATTGTAGAAAAGTGTGGTCAAATATTATTGTTACAGCATCAAATAGAAAACACATAGCAACATAACAAAATTTAATGTTTAAAAATATCTTCAAACTATATTTGAATTTGTAATACTTATTAATCTTGCAAGTGACTGGAGGGGCCCAAATGATTAAGCCTGTATTCAAAACTGACAGTACATGTATTACATACCTACTGAGGTTTTAGGTTACCCTTTGCATTCATTGACTTCACTTCTTAAAAGAGAGCTTTGTCTTCACTCTTTCAGTTTACAATAAATCTCTGATCTCACCAAGCCAATCAGATTTCATGGTCGAAATACGGACGACCTTCTATATGGTCATTTTGTCTGACATCACCGCATAGTTAATGAGCATGCATTTAGCATGTGTTCCTTCAACTTTGCTGATTGGTTGAGAAAGGGTCAGCGTGGTGTCACAAGCACCAATCTTCGGGGCGGGGGTTCTAAACTGTAATATAGTCTATACTAGGCAGAGGGTAGTTTATAACTAGACTCTGCACGCAGGGTAGTTTTAGGTACATTATACCTTCTAGTGTTCCTCTTTTGGAAGATTTTAAAAATATAAAAACTTTTCTACCTTTTGTTGTTTAACATCAAGATTTTGGGAATTTATGGTCTAAAAACTTAACTGGGTTGATCTTTCTGTGTCTTATCTTGATCTCTTATCTGTGTTATCTCTTGTGTATATTTTCATGCATCATGATAAAATAGCAAGAATGAAATTCCTTAATTGCAAATACAGTAAAACCTGTCCGATGGAACACCTTTGTGTAAGGAATGCCTGTCAACAGGGAATGGTTTTCAAAAGGAGCAAATATTTTCCCATTGACTTATATGTTAACAGACCCTCTCTATAAGGAATACCTGTCAACTGGGAACAATTGTAAATCACTTTCACTTTGGTCACATTGTACATTCTATTGTTTTACAGAGCCATGAATTAAAGCCAATCTCTGATTCTAAGGAGCTTGGGTTAATATGAATGAGATTAGGATAAGGCATAAGGGAACAGGATGGGCAATCCAGAGAAGCCGTCCGTCCGTTCGTCCGTCCTTCCGTTCGTCCATCCTTCCGTTCGTTTGTCCGTGTGTCCGGGCGATAACTCCAATACTGGTTGACGGATTTGGTTCAAATTTTATAGGCTTATGAGTGTAGGACCTCTGCTCGCGAAGGAATTTTCAATATGGGCGCTCAATTCAAAATGGCCGCCATTTTTTGTAAAAAATGTAATCGTTGATAACTCAAATACAAGTTGACGGATTTGGTTCAAATTTTATATGCTGATGCCAGGGACAAAGGAGTTTCGCACATAAAGAGATTTTCAAGATGGCCACTTAATTTCAAAATGGCGGCCATTTTTCGTAAAAATATGTAATCTTTGATAACTCAAATACCAGTGAACGGATTTGGTTCAAATTTTATATGATGATGCTCAGGGACACAGTAGCTATGTTTGACAAAAAATTTTCAAGATGGCCGCTTAATTTCAAAATCGCGGCAATTTTTCGTAAAAAACGTAATCTTTGATAACTCAAATACCAGTGAACAGATTTGGTTGAAATTTTATATGATTATGCCTAGGGACACAGTAGCTCTGTTCAAGAAATAATTTTCAAGATGGCGGCTGAATTTCAAGATGGTGGCCAATTTTTGTAAAAAACGTAATCTTTGATAACTCATATACCAGTGAACGGGTTTGGTTCAAATTTTATATGATGATGCCAAGTTCACAATGGTATAAACTAACTTTGCGCCAAATTTCATGCTTTTATCACAAAGTGCACAAACATTTCAACATTTACACTAGCTAAAATAAACATAATATGTTTTGTTCGGTGGGATTTGCTACTCCGTGGAGTTGCTGTTTTTCTAGTTTGTTTGTTATTTATTGTCATTATACAAATGCAAGTCTTTTAACAAGACTTGATTACATCTGACGAGTTGTGCCTATCTAGGGCCTGACAAACCCATTTTTGAAGATAACAGAAATGTATTTGTGACATATTTAGCTAAATTAAATTTAAATCATTTAAAGATCCAAACTTTCAAATTAAAAAATGCTATAAAATGAGGTTGTCATTTGAATAATCACTTTTAAGCAACATCTCTTGACATATACAACAGTTATTCATCTTCAATAATTAAATACTCAATCAGCAATTTTAGTTCACCAAAGCTGAGAACCTCTGTAGAGAACAGTTTTGGCTTGTCTGGAGAGCGTTCCTTGTTCACAGATTATGTTCCTCAACATTTGATTGGATAGTATAAAATAGAACCCTACTATTTTTAACTTTCTTTGTTATTATGAGCCACTAAGATGCACCTTTTGGTATTGGAAAATCATATTTATATTTACTTGTAAAGCAGAGATGAAACACTTTAATCCATTTCACTGGAAGGAGCATGTACAAATCAATCAGTATTCAAAGTCTCAGCATTATTCTCAAAATGTTAGTTAATGGTACAATATACTATCATTTTTCTTACTAGTATTGCCCTTTGTGGTTTCTACACCAAACCATCTAGTTATTGTAAGATTATGTTCAATATAAGTTAACCTGGTTAGATGCTTTGTGTTTCAGATTCCATCAATCCAGAGTTTAACAAGAAGATGAAAGAATGGGAGGATTTAAAGAATAAACGTATGAGCATCTCAGCTGGTGGTAAGTCACTTGGGATTGTGAGAGTTGAAGATGAGAGGGGGAAGAGGGGAGGAGATGGAAGGGGGGAGAGGGGAGGGGTGGAGATGGAAGGGGGAAGAGGGGAGGGTTGGAGAGACAGAGGGTAAGAGGAGGGGGTAGATGGTGAGGGGGCAGAGGGCCATGGCAAGGTAGCAGAGTGCCTGGTCAGTAGGCAGATAAGTCTAACAAAGGAGCAGAGGGGTATTGCCAGGGGACAGATTATTTTGCCATATGCAAGAACACTGTACTGTAATTACCCTTGAGCTTATTTGGCAGGCTCTTTGTATTGGTATTCTACTTGTTATGTATATCTTGGTTATTTCTAGATCTTTGTTAATGGAAGCAGCTATATTGAAATATAGAATTCATTATGATGTATCCCTATAAAACTGTTATGTGTAGATAATATAATGAAAAGGACAAAATCACTGAACTAATTGGTGTTAAAATAACCATAACATGTACAACATGAAGTGTTTACTACTGTATTAGTAATCATGGATAGCACATATTTGAGGTTCACCATTAATCAAGGCACTTAATAAGCAAAAAAACACAAGGTAGCTTTACTGCACATATAGAACACAGTTCAATGTTAATAGAAATGCAACACAAACACATCCACTGCTACCACTCCCCTCTATATTTCAGCATCAACAATTCATAGACCTCGAGCCACAGTTGATGATTGCGACATGAACAGATTATCCAGGGACCCCAAGGCGCCACCCATCAACTTCAAGGAGATACAGAAAAGTCTAACAGATAGCTTTAATAGGAAGCTTCAAGACTGGGAAAAGAAAAAGTATCGTAAAAGTCGTGATTGTAGCCCAGGGGCCATGCCTGTAGTTGCAGAAACAAAATCTCCAGAACGAAGGGGAAGGAAAACTAAACGCTATGAAAGTAAAAGTGCAAAAGCAAAAGAACGTGAGAGAGCAAAATCAAAGGAAAAGTCTAGGGAGGATAAAGAAAGAGAAAAGGAAATTAAAAGACTTGAAAAGCAACAACAAAAAGAATTAGAAAAGTTAGAACGACAACAGCAGAAGATCGAAAAAGAGCGAAAGAGACTTGAAAAATTAAAAGCTCTTGAGAATGAACTCGCTGCTGAAGAACTTCAAGAAGAAGGAACAGTAAGGACATCTATTGGTAACCTTCCTATTGATGGACTCTCAGAAGAATTTGCCAAAAAACTTCAAGAATGGGAAGAGATGCAAAAGAAGAAAGGGATTTTAATTGATGAAAAACCAACAGGAGAGGACCCAAGTACCACAAGATCTGGTTCACTAAAAGAAGGGACTCACTCAGAGCATAAATCAGTGAAACACAGGGCCTACTCCTCAGATAGTTTGGTTAATCTAGCCAGGGAGGGATCCATAGACATACAGCTTGAAGACCTCATAGCAGACATAAAACCTCAGCCTGACCCAAATGAAAAAGAGGCTTCTAAACATACAATTGAAAATGAACTGGTTAATCCTGATGAGACTGACGCAAGGACAATTATGGAACAACCAATAACTCTTATTACAACAAGTGACTTAAACAATGCTTTAAATGCAATAACAGAGCCTGTCAATAATAAAGATACCTCTAAAAGTGCAATATCAGAAACTCCCTCTAGTCCAACACTTGATATACAACCTGATAAAAATGTTGAAACTATAAATGGATGTTCACAATCTTGGGCCAGCACTAGTGAAATAATTGATATCCCCTCAGGTCAACAGAATGACTCATCCTCTCGTACAGTGATTGACTCCATTGGGTTATCTGGAACATCCAGTGACTCTAAAGTGACCTCAACATCTCCTGTTGTCCAAGATGAGGCCTGCAATACTGAAGACAACCTGGTTCAAAGCCATGAGGCCATTGTCACGTAAGTTACAATACTTCACATTCTGATACTCTCTCTTGCTTCAATCACTTAATGTCTGAGTAGCTTATGAGGAGAGTTTTTGATTTTGAAATTAATTTGTAAAAAGTTTGATGTTTTCAGAGTCATTAAAAATGGATTACTTTATCTTCAAGACAATTTCAATAAACTGGATTTTACAAAACTCCCCTTATTTATTAAAAATGGACTGATCCAGTTGACTCGCCTGAAGCCACCATATTTTTTTTTTGCGGGAAGCTTATCAGAACCCTTTAACGATCCATATATGCTTTAGAAGCTTCATGAAACTTTGATAAAAAAAAAGAACACTCAAAATTGAATCAATAATTTTAGTTTCGACTTCTGGGAATGTTTCATTCAGCATATTGTAAGATTGTTGACATGTTTATTCATCTCTAGTTTGAAGGGTGTTAACAGAAGACTTACCGAGGAGATAGAGGAGAAGGAGAGGTATGAGAACAATCTGAGAGATGAAATCAAAAGGATTAAGGAATCAATAGATAATCTCAACCAACAGCACAACAAGGAAATAGGTTGGTAAAGTTGATTTAGGTTCTTTTAGGTTAAATTCTCCTTTAGGAACCCTTCCGAAAAAGTGAATTTTATTATTATGAAAAATGGTGGCCATTTTAAAATGAGTGGCCATATTGGAAAATCTTCTTGAGTAGAAGTCCTATGGCCATGATGTATCTGAATCAGCTTATAATAAACCAGATCCATATCTGAGTTATCACTTTGACAGATGAATGGAGAGACGAAGATATGGATCAATGGATGGATGGCTTCTCTATATCCCTACTTGTATGGACTTAATGAGGTATCAGCCTGTCATATTAAAACCGGATCCCTCTACTCATATTTGATTTAATTAAGTTTCTTCAGATGAATGGACAGACTTCATTCATTGGGATAATCAGAAAAGAGTGATAATGGCGAATATACATATGTACGTACCTGCCATTTGTTTTGCTCTTTCTGGGTACACATCATTTGTGTACAATGCACATTAAACTTTCATCACATTAAATAGCATAATTGAATGTATTTACAGAGAGTTATAAGAAAGAACTATGGGCCAGTAGTAAGATAGGAACAGCTGAATTGAACAAAAAGGAAGTCCAGTCAGCCATTGCTGAACTGAGGGAGAAACTTGCAGACATTGAAAGACAGCAGATGAGTCAAACTGACATTAAGGTAAACCTCAATTTGCATTTGGCAGTTTTATATGTTTGGGTTTTATTATCAAGTTTTATTGTGATTGTTTTTATCAAGCTTTCTTGTAATTATCTTTATTTCATTGGCATCAGGTTTTGTTTGTGTTGCCATATTTTGGTTGTTGCACCACATGATTATTGTATTATCATTGTTTTGGTTTTATTGCCATGATTTGTTTCAATTTTATTGTCATTATCCCACATGCATTTGAATATCATGTGGATACAATCATATCATATGATGACTTGGTAGTTGCCTTGATGATTTGCCATATAAACTAATACAAGCGGGCTTACGGAACCAGAAGTCATGTGAATGGCTCAAACCCGTTCCATTGAATGAAGAGCTCTGCCCACTTCATGACAGGCCTTCATAGAAAAATGGAATCTATCAACAATGTACAATTAGTACATACACTGTGCATAGTTCTTCAACTAATTAAGAGGCCTTACCATTTTTGTATTGGGGGTATTCAAGAAACTACATGACAATTGAGTTGAATTAACTTTCCCATAATGCGGGCTGGTCTGCTAGGCACATCTGTAAATTTGTCCATCTGTCTGATAATTAATATTAAATGTAACGTTATGGTGGCCATTTTTGATTTTACGTCCTAAAATCTTGTCTGTAAAACCTTGCCTTTGCTTTTCCAGCTAAATTGTTTTTTATTGACATATTGATCTGAATTTTTAGGGATATTTCTTGTTGTGAAACTTTAGAAATGATTAGTTCTTTGACATTCTTGGTAAATATTAAGGCAGCCATTTTGGAATTTCCATCCTTGAATCTTGTCTGCTTTGACATCTAACTCTTCACTTTTTAGTGGTAAACCCATCATGGAATACTCTTTTTGCATCATAGATCGCCATGGAATTTGGTATAGGGCACCTTTGATTTAGAATTGGTGGAATCGATGGATGAATCAAAATAAAAATGTAATTCAGGGATTTCTCATAAACTACAGAAAGTAGTTATGCTCTCAAAAGATGGCACAGACTTTCTTGGGTGTAATATTTTCTTTATTTGAAATGCTGAATAACAATAAAACCATCTGGTGAATAATAATAATTTTGACATTGTGAAATAGTGATTATTGATACTATATATATGTCCTGTTCAGTCAGATCAGTATATCAAGTTATACAGCAAATGGGTTTGTCTTTTATCTTTATTTTAATAAATAAATGATCAATTATGTTACTGTTCTGTTTTTGTTGCTGCCTAAATTCATTCTGCAATGAAGGTTAAACAAGTGCAATTATTTGATACCACAAAGGATAAGACAGCAAAAAGTGTAACTTATAAGAAGGTTTAGAATTTATTAAAGGCAAAATCAGATCTATAGGGAGTGACAAAATTGCAAGCACAGTTGACCTGATCAAAGTGCAAAAATGGGGGAAGATATTTAAAGTGAAAATGGTAACCTTATTTATAGACAAATGAATGCATTATTGTAAAAATCTATTCTCAAAAAAAGCATACTGTATTGTGATGTTTAGAAAACAGACACTGTACTACTATTGTTTGCGAGATCTGATACTGCCTTTAATGTTGTTTTCCTGTTCAGTCATACATGTAGTCAAATGACTTTTATTTTCTAGGAGTCTCCTAATCAGAGAGAGGATTCAGAGATAGTAGAAAGATTGAAACAGGAAATACAAGAACTCCGACACCAGTTACATGTAGAGGCAAACAAGAATTCTACAAAAGAAGGTAGGTGTCTTTAAAATGGGTCTGAACGTTACCAAAAATTTACTGAGAACATATCAGTGTATTTGGGCACTAAGCTTTCCTTATAGAAAATTTTAATGTAGATTCATTTGATCCAACTGGGCCTTATCTAACATAAACTAGGATTTTATTTCTTAGTTTAAGTTAAGAACAAAACAATGTACAAAATTTTATCAGTATACTCAGGCTGCATAAAGATACCTGATTAATTCCAGATGGGGAAAAGGAAAAGGATGATTTTCCTTTCAACAAAGAAGATTTCGAAAAACTTTATGAAGTTGCTGTCAATCTGCAGAAACAGGTAGAATTTCTTTCACTTATGTAATGTTTTCCCTATTTATTTATATGAATTTCTATACTTGAACATGTGATTCAATATCACAAGTGTCTAACTCTTGTTGTCTGTAATGTCTTTAGTGTTCCTTGGCAGGTTAAAATTTCTTTGTTCCTGTCTAAATCTCCTTTTTTCCAAAGGAAAAAATCAATACAATTGGCACTTTTATTTGAAAATGACAAAGCATCGGATGAATAAGTTTTAACAATTTTGTAATTAAGGTTTCAGTAACTTTGTTACTCTCTTGTTTAATCCTGTCTCTTTGAGGATCTCTTCATTGTTTAATTACAGTTGAGTGACTTAAGCCAAGGTGTAACTGAACGGAACAAGGTGATACTGAACATGAGAAAACATCTACTCATACAAGAAGTCACAAACATGTTACTACAGACTGACAATAAACGCAAAGATATTGAACTGACAGTTGCCAAAGAGGCCCGGAAGATTGGGCTGGTAAAGAGATGGAAGACATTTGGGGGAGCAGACTATTTCCTCAGAGCTGGGGTAGGTGTTGTTAATGTTGCTCTCAATGAGAGTAAGGTTGGTTATGGTTCGGTTCGAACCATTTAGATCACCAAGAACAGAGTACAAAATTTTTATTTTAACGACAGGAAAAATACTTTCTTTTCATTCTGTGTAACATAGATTTTCAGTATGGCCACTCAATTTAAAATGGCTGTCATTTTTTGTAAAAGATACCGTATACCAATCAGTCCTAGGGTATTTTATTGTTGACATATCACTCACAATTTTGACAATATACTAGTAATCTAGTATCATTTTTTGTTTCCGAATCAGGTAATATATTTATCATTGTCATGAAGAAACGGATATGAATCCTTCAGAAAATGTAGTTTGGCATATTTCAATGGACATACAAATTCTCTTTCAAATATTTTACTAACCATCTCAGAAAAAGTACTCTTTAAAAGCTTATTAAATTCACTGTGGCTTGCGCTTGAGTTATTTTTGATTTTGTACACATGGTTATCCCAAAATGGTAAAAACTTCAAATCCACTGTAAAATCCACTGTATGCAGCTATTGATAATGGACTGGGCTCATACGTAGCTTACAGGCTATTTAGGGCACTTATGGGGCTGTAGAGCCCATTGAGTCATCAAGTTTGTGCTATGATCAAATTTGACCACGTATTAAAACTGAAGATATATATATACTAAACTCCAAACATTTTAACTGGAAATATTATAATTACGTATGATTTCAGTTTCTATCATCTATGGGTGTCCGTTCAGACCTGAAGACAAAAAGAACTGCTGAAGTAGAATTTCAACATGGAAATAAGATAGACACAAGCACATATAACACATCTTGGCTGGACCATCTCAAAGCAGTAGGTAAGAATAAAATAGACACAAGCACATATAACACATCTTGGCTGGACCATCTCAAAGCAGTACATGTAGGTAAGAAATAAATTAGACACAAGCACATATAACACCATCTCAAAACAGTAGGTAAGAATAAGATAGACACAAGCACATATAACACATCTTGGCTGGACCATTTCAAAGCAGTAGGTAAGAATAAGATAGACACAAGCACATATAACACCATCTCAAAGCAGTAGGTAAGAATAAGATAGACACAAGCACATATAACACATCTTGGCTGGACCATCTCAAAGCAGTAGGTAAGAATAAGATAGACACAAGCACATATAACACATCTTGGCTGGACCATCTCAAAGCAGTAGGTAAGAATAAGATAGATGCAAGCACATATAACACATCTTGGCTGGACCATTTCAAAGCAGTAGGTAAGAATAAGATAGATGCAAGCACATATAACACATCTTGGCTGGACCATTTCAAAGCAGTAGGTAAGAATAAGATAGACACAAGCACATATAACACATCTTGGCTGGACCATTTCAAAGCAGTAGGTAAGAATAAGATAGACACAAGCACATATAACACCATCTCAAAGCAGTAGGTAAGAATAAGATAGACACAAGCACATATAACACATCTTGGCTGGACCATTTCAAAGCAATAGGTAAGAATAAGATAGACACAAGCACATATAACACCATCTCAAAGCAGTAGGTAAGAATACGATAGACACAAGCACATGTAACATACCAAGAAGGTCAGATTGTTGTAGACTACTTTCTTTCTGACTTGGTCAACCAAATCTTTGTTGAAATTCTGAGATTTCACTGATGTTGTACCTTTTTATGTGCAAATTGTTTTTTTAACTGTACATGTAGATTGTAAATATTTTATTGTGACATATTTTAGATTCATGAATAATTTGTATGTTGGTATATGCCACTCTGGAGTTTTTCTATGTACTGTTTGCATTATCACAAGGGGTCAACTGAAAACAAAGACATGACAGCATGGCTGAATTTCTGGTAGAAATATTTAGTAAGAATTTTTGTTTTCTTGATTTTGTCACCTTATCCATCAAATTAACTTATTGGTAATATTTGGCCAGTATGTAATGTGTACATGTAGGTTCCACTCTTGAAATATGATTACATTTCAGAAATAGATAAAATTGATATTTCGATATTTACAAATCATTTACCTCGCTTAGAGCACAAAGACAGATTTCCATTTTGTACCAATTTTGTACAATGATTCAAAGTCATATATTATTTGAAATGAAGACATTTCTTTTTTTACTAGTGCATATATCAATGTAGTAATGTTCCTATGGAGGATCACATTTGCACTTGAAAGCACATTGTAGATGTCTTGGAGAGATTGAACTGTTTTTGTGACTACCTTACCCGTATTTTTACTCTTAGTTTCTTTGAGAAACTATCTTTGTTTCCTAAGCGAGGGAATCGTTTTGCAATTATCAAAAAATTACTCTATGTATTTCTTAGGTATAACTATATATTTAGAAACTGGAACCTACGCACTGCATACAGGCCAAATTCATAGTTGAAATTTGAAGGATAAATGTGATATAATTGAGAAAATAAAAATAACTATCGCTCCAACCATGCTGAAACAGACATTATATCTATGTTTCTAGTTGATCCTGATTATCTTCAGTATGTAATATGAATATTGGCATAATCCCAGCATGAAATGATGTATCACGATGACTCAACATTTCATTTCAGTTAGAGAAGCAAGAATAAAGCAACTTCAAACTCCTTTACCAGAGATTCACAAATTTAGGGATGCCAGTAGTAAAGCCCACCAGTGCGATATAGTTGAATCAATCCGCCTTGAGGATCGTGCCACATCCGAGCCTCCAACACCTAAAAAACTAAAACTTGATGCTTTGAATGATGCACAAGACTCCTGCCCACTGAATGAGTCAGAGACTCAGACATCTATGTCGAATTTGTTAGAATTTGCTGAGAATATTCGGAAGAATAAAGAAGATTTAGCATCAATTGGTGTTCAGACCTCACAGGAGTTGAGTATTAATGTTCACAAGACAATTGAAATCCCAGGCATCAGTGGTATTAAGTCACCAAATTTGGATGATAAGGAGGCGAGGCGTGAATTTTTACGACAACGACGGGAATTAAGACGATTGAGAAAAAACTCAGACAAAGAAACTGATGGTAATAGTGAAAAGGTAACCACAGAAGGAAATGATAGTAAAGAGTACATCACAACTGATACTAAAAATAAAGAAAAACCTAGAGTTCTACCACTTTCAACTCCTAACAACTCTGGGCTTGGGTTGCCTTCAAGGGTGTCTAGATCTCCCCCTCCAAGGAAACCTTCTAATGAAACCAGTCAGCCACATAGTTTAGGCAGGCAAGATTCATTTGGATCTGATAAGAGCACACCAACAAATGACACCAAAGTAACATTCACATTCACTGTCAGCCCAGAACCAAGTCCTGAGCCACTTGATAAAGGGAAATCGGGAAACATTGAAGAAATTGAGTTCCGAGTATCCTTACCCAGTCAGTCATCTCCAAAACCTGTACCATCCCCTATAGAGAGCCCTATTGGCAATAAGCCTATATTAGGACTACGGGCTCTAGAAGAGTATCACAAATCAGCAGAGGCTAGAGCAGCTTTTAGGGATTCAGACAAATCTAGCTCTATATCATCAAGTTGTGAGTCAATACCCATCAAAACACCCCCCAGTAAAAGGAAAGTCTCAGTTGATGATGCATGTGTTATAAAACAAGCACCCCATAGCCCACTCATCAGATCTAAAAATCCCCGTAAGTTGAAGAATGAAAGTCATAACATCCACTCTGATACTACAGTGGACATGCGAACATGGCATGCTACCCCTCCTAAAAGACATTTCCGCCACCGGATAGTCTCATCTGAAGATAAAGCTCCAGTTCAAGAACCTGATATTCAAGCAGTAAATACCAAATCAGAACTTATGTCAGTGTTTGAGAAAAGATCTCGAGTAATGCCTGATAAGCGCTCTGTGTCACCTGTCTCCAGACTAAGGCAGAATAGTCAGCCCCCAATTAACTCTCATAGCAAAAGTCGGTGGGATCATGATGAACCAGCAAAAAAAGTTTCAGAAGTTGTCTCAACATTTGAACATCAAACTGATTCAGAACTGATTGTGAAACCAAATACACATTTGAGATTATGTAAAGTGCCAAGTCCTAAGCCACAAGTGTCACCATCACCTGTGTGGAAGCTTAAAACTGCAAAAGAACTTATACAAGAAAGTGCAAGAAAGAAAAGTGTGTACTCAATGTCTGAACATGATAATGAAGGAGTGATTGGACACCGAAAACTTATGGCTTCTACTTCTCATGAGAGTAAAGTGAATAAAGTTGTCAGACAGTTTTCCAGAGACAGTAGCACTCCAGAGTCATCAATCACATCTCCCTCAAAAGACAGAAGTATATCAAGGGACACCAGTCGTTCCCTTTCAAGGGAGCGCAGCATAAGTGGGTCACCCAAAGTGCAGAATGTCATCAGACGTTTGTCTCAAACACGAGAATCTGAACATCAGGTTACCAAACCTCAACTGAAAGATCTTCCTAATGATGGTCAAGTGAAAAAATTAAAAGATACATACAGTAAGACTGATTCTGAAACATCAGATAAAATGGAGAAAAAGGATTCTCCAAAGAGTGTTCCAACGAGAAGGAAATCCATTGAAATGCCCAAAGATGGGACAGTGTCAAAAACAAAAGGATTGTTTCAGGTGAAAACCAAATCAGATTCAAATAAATCAAACTCACAGTCTTCATCAAGAAGTTCATCAAGATCATCATTAGTTGTAACAAATCCTAAATTAGACTCTACTAACCCTGTTATAAATGAGAATATTGTCTCAACATTGAGCATAAACATTTCTCCCAAACCTAAAAGTGAAGATACTAGCAGCGAACATTCCATGCAGCCAACTGACTCCAGTGCTCCATCAACTCCTGTGACTTCAAAACTAAGTACGCCAAAAAGTAAGAGAATATTTCAGTTCTCACCAAAATTGAGATTCAAGTTACGGCGTGGTCAACGGCCAAGAAGCACCCCTGATGCTTTACCTGGATCAGGAGCCATTGCTACTCTTTGCCAGCAGACTATCACTCTAAGTAGTCCTGTTCCTCAGCAGGACCCTGTAGGTAGGACTCAGTCATCTCCTGCAACTCTCCCAGATACATCTGAGGCTACAAAATCACAGACTTTACCAAGATCTGTAAAACCCATTGATGCAGAGACACCTCCTAATGATTCAACATCGTTAACCACTGACAGTATAGATGGAGCTAGTGGTGGGAGTGATCCACCTGAGAGACGGAGACGGAAGTTCATTGACTCAACCTGGCTGCAGAAACCTAAACGATTTTTTCGCATTACAAAGTGAGTGATTTTAAGTATGCTGTTAAGTTTCTTCAATTTAATATAATGTCTTACAGGTATGAGCATGGTCTGACTAACATCAGTTTCTTTTTATTTTGAAGCATGTTATTTTGTATTCCCATAGTATTCATCAAGATGCTGTAGTTATATTAACATAAATTGGTCAATACAAGTAGATCCCTTTTATATAACATTATAAGATGTTTGTTTTGTTTTGTTAGTTTGGAATCTTGGAACCTGCAATTCCCTGCAGTCAACCAGCAAGGTATACATGTAGAGTCAGATAATTCTCACACAAAACAACTGGATCCATCTCACAATAAAGTCATGCACTGCAGTTACACTAGCACAACTAACACCCTAAGCTCTGCTAAGTCAAACTATAACAGTTACTCCAATATCAACAAATCAAAATCAATGATTGGAACCAGTATGGAAAGTGGTAATAAAATCATCAATGAGGTTGATAAAATGAGCCATACAGAGATTGATACATATCAGAGTGAAAATTTGACCTCAAAAATTAATGAGTCGAGATCAGTGATTGGTACTGTGACAAGAAAGAGTGTGAATAAAACAGATGGTGATCATGCCATTAGTGAGGACACAAACAGTAAAGTGATAGGTGATGACTCTAGCTACAGTGGAACTATACATGTTGAACAGCCAGGAGTATACATAAGTGAGCTTCAGCATGAGTTGTCTCTCAGTGAAGATGACAAAGGAGTGTATTATATTGAAATGGAGATAGACTTGATGAAGGAGCTAGGTATTGAAACTGATTCCAAATCTTCAGATTCTTTGTCTACCTTCAAGCTTACAGAAGACACAAGTTTGTAGTTTGCCCTGCTTATTGTATGGTATGTGCTTAATCTTTAATTAATATAACCTTTTGTATAAGAAACCAACCTATTCTGAGGTTATGAATGAATCAAGTTTCTCACTAATTGTTTTATTTAACTTAATAGTGTTTGATGTTTTGCACCAATAATATTAACCCCTTTGCTTGATTTTTGTTCAATGATGGTTTTGTTTATTTTGTGTACAGAACCTCAAGGCTTTTTGTCTGACAATACATGTCTATTTTATTTTGGCAAATGCATTTGTATTTTGTTTACATGTATATAAATTTGTATATAATGCATACATTTACTAGTATACTACTATAATTGTAAACATTTTAGATATAATTTGAATTCATAAACATTACAATTCATTTGTAAACTGATCTGACAGATTTGACAGACTTACCAATTTGAAAATGTAATATGCCCTGAATATGTGACCTACATTAAATCTTCAATATAGAAAGCACAAATGAAAGAATGAATTATGGCAATGTTAAAGTGTTCAAGTATTTATATACTTCAATGTTTCTATTAAATGGTTTCCCTATGTTGCAGGTGCTGAATTAGAAATCAGACCATGTAAATTGTTATATACAAAGTTCTTCATCAAAGTATGTTGCAAGAACGATCGACTAGATTACCCCTGGATTCACCAAACTCATCCTATCAGAGTTGCAGATCTCACTCTAGAAGGATGGTTCTGCTGTGCCTCTGTCGGATGGCTAACAGTGAAAATGATCAGTTGTAGTCAAGAGGATTGGTGAACTAGACAAGATAACTTCTAGTAGTGAATCTATTTGTGATTTAATCGTAGATGGATGTGTATATTTCAGGCCCAATTAATAGCACATATTACTAACTGATGCCATGACAATTTGTGATGTCCATAATAGATATTTAGTTAATGGTATGAAATACCAGCTATATGATTGATTCTAATAATAGTCACTGAGCTGATTTCTCTAAGAGCTATAGATCAGGAGATGGTTGTCTTGGTATCTGCCACAAAAACTAGTTACTGTGAGGACCATCTTTTGACATTTTCCAATTTCTGTACTCACTTTTTTAATCATTCAATAAATTTTTTTATCAAAGTCTATTGATATCATACATGAAATGCAGTGAAGTGATAAAAAGTTATATATATATATAAATTTTCTTTAAAGGCAACCCTGTGTAACCCAATATTAGAGGCAAAGGGCAGTACTTCAAATGGTATATTCATTTTTTGTGGCAGAACACCAGACAACACTTACTTTTTTGAGCAGCTCCTGGACTATAATAGCATATGTACTGTACATATACATATGGTCTTATTATTGCTTAATTAGGACTTTTTGTACAGTGCTTTCCTTAAAATGTGGTACATAATTCTTTTTACAATGTTTAACATGACTTATATGATGCTGGTACCATAATATGCATATTTTGCAGAGGCACATTAAACTGTAAACTACGGCAGAAGCATTTTTGTGCTACTCCATAACCCATGACTTGTGTTAATGTGCATTCATTTTGTATGTGGTGCTACCTGTGCATATTTTATGACTTGCGGAATATGCAGATTGTTCACAGAGTAACTGATTGAATGTGTATGACATATCAGTTAAATGATTATTATTGCTGCATTTGTCAATATTCAGCTGCAGTTTGTAGAACTGTATGATATACATGTAAAGGCAGTCATTGTCACTGTATTAACTGTGTATTTTAAGATTGTACATATTGCTTCTAGTGATATCTATATCATATGAAATGTTTTTGGCTTTTAGCTAAATATTTGTATAAATTTACAAGTAAAGAGCATTATTATGATTATAATAATACAATGTATAACTATTATATAATAGAATACTCAAAAACCACATATGCCTCAAATTCCTCGTGATGTACATGTATTTTATGATTTTTCATCCCTGGAGATTTCTAGTGCAATACTGAACTATGTCTATTAACCCATAGCAGTCTGAAGCTTTCCATTGAATTTGAGCCCATATGGTCTGCTGTTTTTCAATATCATTTTTAACCAGAGATAAGGCTGAAGGTTCAGATTATGTTTGAATCATAAAATACCTTGATTCTATGATTTATTTCAGTGCATTAATTCAAGTTGTATGGTTAACTGAGCAGAAACATTATTTTACAGTACATTATGGTTTCACAATGAACTGAGCATTATAGTTTCACAAAAAACTAGATGGTTTCATTTTCTATAAAGAAGTGACAGTATATTTGAATTGCGATAAAGTACTGAAAATCATACTTTATTGGATTTAAAAGCATTCATCCTTGTCACAGTACAGGTTATTGCATGCATTCATGCTTTTAAATTTCCAATGAAGAATAATACCCAATTCCTAAGATAATTAAGACATGATGATGCCTCTTCAAAATGGTTGTTTTCAAAAATAATCAAAAATGAAATAACAGAGGCAATTAAGTATGTTAATTAATCAAGAATAGATATATGTGCAATATCTTTGTGTCATGCCAATACTAGCCTTGCCCAAGTCAGTATTTTTTACTAATCTGATCTGGTCATAATAGAAATCAAGATAAGAAAAAGAGACCGACTTGGGCAAGGCTAGGCCAATACATACTTGCCAATTTATCATCTTTACCATAAAATACAATTTTTAAATTCATAAAGCTAACATTTATTCCACAAGTTTATATCTAAACAGCAAGACCAATCAGGCTTTCAAATTAAAACTATTGGAGAATTAATGTTTTGAACATGTCTATAAAAATATCTCTGAAAAACTTTTCAGCCATGACCATTTTATTTTGGAATATCTGTTACTTGTATGAGCTGAAAATATGATCTTGAGAGATGAACAAGGATGCAATATGTTATCAAGTAACTGCCTCAATTTGTTAGAAGGCATTTTAATGTATCAGTCTCGCATCAATGGTATACAGTATACACCCACCCATATTCACCAGTACACTTACCCTTACTTTCCAGATGATTCACCCCTAAGTGTAAACTCTTACCAGTACAATTCACTCTTACTTACAAGTACATTCACCCTTACCTATGAGTGCATTCACCCTTTAATGCCACACTCACTCTTACTTATGAGTTAACTATATTTTTACCAGTGCATTTACCCTTACTTTAAAGTACATTGGGTGGGAGTGAAATAGTTCTGATGCAAGACTGATCATTTTATTTACAATTTTTACACATGTACATTGTATTTATATGAAATAAATCTGTTATGATAAATGTAGTCTTGCATTTCTTGTGTTAGGTACATTAATTCATGCTAAATAATAAAATTCATTTCCCTTAGAATATAAAGGTATGTAGTTGACTCAAGTAATATGCTAATTCTTAATTTTCAATCACGCAAGATAGGAGGCACTCATGAAATAGTCAAGGCACTCCAATGAGCTTTAAAGCTCTGGTCACACTAAACCTGATTTTGAAATCGATCTGTATATGGACCCATGTGGGGTACCATGTAGACCATGTAGTTGAGATCAATTATTAACTAGATAGTACTAAATACAGGGTGGTCCAAAAAATGGGACACCCGTATTTCAAAAATAAATATTGATTTTCTTGATGAAAACATGGCATATTATATACCAATGGATAGGGAATTTACTCATCTTTAATTTGGTATATCATAAGTTCAAATTTATTATAATATCTGTCAACGAGCGTCCATAATATAAATGACGTCATTTTCGTTTCAAAACGGGTTTTCCAAAACTTGTAAAAACCAAGTTTTATCGTCAACTTTATTTACATAAACAGACGTTCAATATGTCCACCATTTTGATCAATTGTAGCCCTCAACTTTGGCCTAAACTGGTCAATAGCATCACTGATGTGCTGTTGAGACAATGAATTTCACTTCTCAATAATTCTGTCCTAAGAGACTAAATAGATGTAAAGGATTTATGGTACACTGATTCTGTTAGTTCTCCCCATACCTGGTAGTCGCAGACGTTGGGTGATCAAATGATCTGGGGAGGCAGTGATTAAGGGGGGATGAATCTAGGCACATCTTTTTTAATTATTTGACACTCTTGTGGGATCTTTTGCTTTGAGCCCCATTTTATTGGAAAATGTTATGATTCGAAAATGAGCTCATATCAGGATGGTCCAAAAACAACATAATTGGATCATCCGATATCAATGTCTGTGACGACCACATATTGGGAGAAATAACAGAATTGTTTTATCATGAACCCCTTACATCTACGCAGTCCCTTATCAAGGATAGAATTGTTGAGAAGTGAAATTCATTGTCTCAACAGCATATCAATGATGCTATTGACCAGTTTAGGCCAAAATTGAGGGCTACTATTAATCAAAATGGTGAACATATAGTTGAATATCTGTTTTTGTAAATAAAGTTGACAAAAAACTTGGTTTTTGTAAGTTTTGGAAAACCCATTTTGAAATGAAAATTACATCATTTATATGGACGCTGGTTGACAGACATTATAATTAATTTGAACTTATGATATACCAAATTAAAGATAGGTAAATTCCCTAGAATTCAAGAAAATCAATATTTATTTTTGAAATATGAGCGTCCCATTTTTTTGGACCACCCTGTAGGGAATATCCTATGATTTATGAGAGATATGATTTTATCCATGAATGTAAGCATTGTTAAAGTATAGATATAAATATCCATGGGTGGGTAAAAAATTATGCCTAACCATGTATAGCTTAAATAATTTCACATATCTTACCAGACAGAACATGCACCTCATGTTGAATATATTCTAAAAAGTACAGATCACAATCTGGGGTAACACCTTATCTCATTAGAAGGGGTCTATACAGGGCGTATCAGGGTTATCTCATAAAATCACAAAACTAGTGATGACTACATCAATTTCATTCAATGTACCATAAAGCCACACCCCTCCTCTTTGCAATGATATGTCATTCATTCACATGTGGTCATGGGTTGGGGGAGAAATCCTTCCATTTGCACATTTGGTCAAAATCGGCTCTGGACCAAGTTTCAGATATCGAATTGCCCATGGGATGCTTTTCTCCGCTTTAACCCACAGATGACTCCAGGCTGAACCATGCATGACGTGGAGAGATGAGCGCATCTTTATGTGCAAAGAAGTGGTGGCAATTTGGAGGGGTATAGGATGTATTCCTGCAAGAATATGAGTATGAACACTTTACTGTTTATGCCACACCTGTCACATCTTTTTTCAATAGCCCTTATGTCCCATGCATGTTTTTTACAATGTTTAAAACTTGGGTCCAAGCTGAATTTTGCCCCACTTCGCAAAATTAATGATTATTCAGCCAGCCATGACTTCCTGTGAATGAATTAAATTCCATTGCAGAGGAGTAATTTGGCTTTTTGGTACATTGAATGAAAAGGATGCAGTCATCATTGGTTTTGTTTTCTTCAAATATTGCATTGGGCCCCGTACACAGACTTTCGCGATGTTTATAAATTTGTCCCAAGCTAATTTTGGCCCACTTTGCAATAGGAATGATTACTCGCCCAACCATGACCCAATATCAACAAATGATATACCATCGTAAAGAGGAGACACGTGGCCTTATGGTACAATGAATGGAATCAATGCTGTTATCACTTGTTTTGTGCTTTTCCCAGATAACAATCTGTTGCGCTTTTTTGATACGCACTGTAATGCTAATACTCAATCCAGTCATGAGGTGCAATTAATGAAATACGTTTTATCCAACCCAAAAAGGTATGGTATTGTTGTAAGCTTGTTTACGTTTTAGATCCCCAGTTTCAAATATAGGTGTTTGTTTGTTAAGTTGTCTACATTTCCATTGTCTTATGTTGCTTTTACCAAAAGACCAAACCAATATCTTAAAAAGTTCCAGGGTTTATTTTTACATCTATTCTTTGCTTCACCTTCAATGTTCTGAACATAGCTAACAATATGTAAAAGTAACATGATTTAGTAATGGTATTATTATTAGTTTATTGTTTCATCAGTTCATTATACAATGCAATAATTCAACAAGATGCACTATAACTATATGGACAACATACATCAGCAATCAGCAGTGATTATACACCAAAAAAATATAAATCCCAATTAAAATATAAAATATTGAAAATTCCCTCCAAAACATTTTATTCTGCCTTGCAACGGGTCCCAATGTTTCCTCACGTGAGCAATCAACCAGAGACTTTGAAAGTGAAAGACTACTTTGTTTTGAAATGATCTGGAATATTGTGTTCACATCAACCTGGTTCCAAACTGCACTGAGCATTGTTAATTCACTGCCATCTTAATTCAGTGAATTGTAATGTGCTTATTTACTGCATAATAAAATATTCCTGAATAAAACTCAGAATGTACAGTATAGCATAACAATCAGTATATTTCAACAATATTTCAATGGCTGAACGGTGACACAGTACTATAGCCTTAAAATGGCACCATTCGGTGGGTTTACATGGTGATTCCTTTTACTTATTTAAAAAATTGAACTGAATTGCAAAAGTTGGTCAAATTCCAACTTTTTTTAGAATTTATAGTGCCCATTCAGAGAAAAACAAAACCTGAGAAGTTGCAACTGACACTAATACTTCTCAACAACAATTGCAACCTGTTATCTGATTTCAGAACGCTATAAATGACACATGTAAATTGGATATTTGCCAAAAACTAGGTATGGGACCATAAATTCATGTCACAAAATTATTGACAGAGGGAGAGACGAATTATTCTATTGACTCACTATGTAAGCCTTAAAAAATAATATCAAAGTGAAAAATCGTTCAGAACATAAAGACAGAATCAGATGTATAGGGTGTATCAAAATTGGAACATGTACAATTGACCTACACCAATCTATTCCTTACAATCTCACATACAAGATCTCCCAAAATATATGAAATATGTAATTAACTAGTGTAGTTATTGAAGATTCAAAGTGCAAAAATGGAGTGCTTAAATTCGAATTCTTAAAAACTAATTAAAATGGTAATCACATTAATAGAAAAATAATACATGTACATTTGTGTAAAAAACTTTAGTTCTCCTGAAATAAAGTTTGCACTTTGAGGATTTTTAGAAACAGACATGATAAGGAATGATATGAGCCAAAAGTATTTTAAAATTGAAACAATTTTTGTCAAGCCCACCTGCTAGATTTGATTCTCCTTTTAAAGCTAGTTTCTTTCATTGAAGCTACATATTCTCCAATCTTATTGTAAACATCCTTCTTGTTTACACTATATGCGAAATACTGGCACTAAGAGGATCTCAAGTAATCAAGATTGTTTTCACAAAGAGGACAATGTTACATAGTTTTGCACCAAGCCTCTGGCCATTCCTCTTCATTTCCCAATTCTGTATAAGAGATTGTTAGTGGCACCTCCTGACCTAAGGGGCTTGGTGCAACATCATATACCATCACACACACTCCAGTGATTCACCTATGTTTATCACATGATGAATCTCACACATTTGGCCTCAGATATGTACTCCCTCTCCACATACATTCTCATTATGTTACTATTATATAACCAACATGAACACAGTTAATCTACTTAAATACACAGTCTAGTCTACATCATTACATTTCCTACATAGTACACACACTGACCACTTGAGCAACATTTTGAATAACAGTCAGTGGTGTATAATAACATATAACACAGCTGCATTTGAGACAGTTTTACAGCAATAATAAAATGTCCTTTAAATATGTCAAATATTTGTCAGTGCGGTATCATTATTGTATTTCAACTCTAGTATAGATTATACTATAAATGCTTGTGTAATTATCATTTTGCAAAACACCAAATAATAATAAATATATTTTGGTAAAATTGTGTAATACAAAATGCATTACTATTTCCATTTGGAGATAATGTATATTTATCTCATTATCACCTAGTAACAGAAATATGCTAACTTAAATTGTAAAATAATATCCAAGTGCAAGCACCCTGTAGGTTAAGCACCTGATTTACAATATGTAAACCCTAATCTATATTTATGCATAGTTCAAGGAATGCTCACAATAAACTCCACATTATAGAAAGTACAAACATCTTATATACTGCAAATCTGCAACATTCTGGTCATAGAGTCCTTATGATAAAACTTGCAGTTTGTTTTCATTCCCCATTTGATTTGTACTTTTCCTCTTGGAGTTTGTTCTAGTTTTTGAGGTGGTAGCACCATTGGCACTGTCTATCGGAAGACTTTGAAATGCTGTTCTGGTTTTAGAGATTGCATTGGACACTTGATTGAGCTTGCTCTGAGAGCGTGTCTCATAATGTTTAATTATGTTGCTATTGCCGGTTATGTTGCTCAACGTGAGAGTGGTTGAGGCTGAGGTATGGGCCATGCTGCCATGTATACTATTACTGCTGCTGCCTTGTACAACTGAGATATTGCCACTGCTCATTGCATTGTGATCACTGTCAATGTAGATCTTAACATCAGATGTAGTATTGTTTTCAGTTGAGCTATGGGGTCCTTCTGTGGGCCCCTTATAGTCATTATATTTGTTAACGCTACAATATCTAGTAGGAGATCTATGGCGCAAAATTCGCACATTTTGGTTGAGATCAATGGGAGGTGTATCATCTACATCCATATTAGGAAATGTTAGGCTCTCAGAATTGTTAACACGTGATTGATCAGGTCCCCATAAGCTCACAAGATCTTCATCGTCATCAAAATCTGAAAGATAATTGTATTGTAATTGTATTGTTTTTCAAAAATGCAAACTGGCAAATACTAACAAACATAACAAGACACAGTGTGATAAATATCGCAGTTTTTGAGATTCAAAATGTCCACAAAATAATTTCCGTTAGTAAATACCTTAGTCCAAAACCTTATCAGACTTTGACACAAGTTTGCTCTTATATGTGTAAAAATCTCAACTTTGATAGAAACCATATATACATTACCAATGGCTGACCTGATGACAAACATTTTAAACAGCTAAATATGGTAGTTTAAATTTCTGGTTCAAACAGAATACAAAAGTTTCCGAACTTATTCCGACAGCAACCTCATTATATGATGACTTTCAAGATTCGTGAATTCATGAATATTTATCAAAATTCAAATAAATTAGAAAATGTTAGTGAGAAATAAGACCTTTTCTTGTAAATATGCTGATTGACATAACCAAAATTTTCAATTCCAGCCAATCGGTATCTCTTGTCTATCTTGAAGTAAACAATCAGCTTCAGTTATTTATCTGAAAAGCCATGGCTGACCTTTAACTGGTTAATTAATTGTTGTACCCTGATCTCCAACTGGACAGACTGGATTTTTAGCACAATTTTACACAGAATTCTCACCTTCACAGTCAATGAATGACTCCCCTTCATCTTCTTTGTCACCATCGTATCCAGACATGGCAGATTCATTGAGCAGGTTGGCCATGTTCTGGTCTGAATCCATTGTAGGAGTAGCTGCACGATCACCAGAGGATGGACGATTTCTCCTGTAGAAATACATAGGTATCTTCATGAAGTGAATGAGACAAGTAACCAACATTGTTTCAATCTCACATTAGTATCTTCATGAAATGAATGAGACCAGTAACCAACATTGTTTCAATCTATGAAAGTAGCCAAAAGAATGTCTAGGAACCAAGACATACGACTGCAGTTACAGGGCACAGTCAGACCCCGAGATCAAGTTCCATTGAGGTGGATGGACTTATCAACATTTACTTAAGTGTTTATACGTGAGTACACCAAAATTAATTTACATACCTGTTTCTATGGTTTCCTCTAGATGGTGATGCAATCAGGTCCTTGGCACCATGGAGATATATTCTGACATCATTGTCAGGACTGCTGAGGTCTGAGAGCCCGAGTGCCTGGCACAACTCCCTGGCTGTCAGGATTTCTATGTTGCTGACATTAGAGAACTGTTCATCACTGTAGCGCTGTTTCACAGCCTGTAGAATAATGTCTCTGTGGTCAACCATTGAACCTTCCGTAAAACTGAAAAAATCATCATTTATACTAATAGAGCAATTTCTGTACACTGTTTATACATCAAAGCTAAATCAACAGGCTAGCAATGTGTAACTAAGTCATGGTGATTATACCCTGGTTCATATCTAATATCTTAAGACAATAATTCTGACTCCAATACAACAAACTGTATTCGGGATTGTTCTACCAATATATTCCATTTCACTTGAACTGTTGGATCATCCATACACCAATCTTGTTATTAACAAAAAAGATTTCACAAGTGAAATTTTTGTTGTTGAAAAGAATAGGTATTTACACAACTGATTTTTACACTTAGCTTATGACATGACTTGTTACTATCAACCCATTCTCCAAAGCTATTTAGATTCCAATATATAAAATGATGCCTTTACCTCTTCTCATGTAGTTTCAGCACACAGTGTTTGAGATCCTCTACTGAGAGTCCAGTGAAGTCTTCCATGTGACTTGGCCAGGGGAACTCTGGAAAATCAAAAACAAACTTTCAGGTATCCAGAGGGATTTTTAGGTATTGCTGGACTGACAGAATATTACGTTTTAGTTAAAAATTAATTTGGTCATATAGCACCTACCTTGCTTCATGGCTAGCCTGGCAAAGAGTACACAGCTGGCAGCTATTTTGGCCTGTGTGTATTGTCCTATCTCAGCCTTCAGGAGGGACAGTTCACAAATGTACTCAGCAAGATACTGGGATGTCTGCTCCAACTTAGCTAACTGACCAAATATTTTCACAAGATCCAAACTTGTAATCACCTGGAGTAAAAACATCAAATATTTTGCTTTATTCATTATCACACCAATAAGTCAGATACCATTATCACGAATAGCAGCCATTATGTTGAATTCGATTTTCATTAACTGCATGTTTAATAGAGCATCTAGATTAAATTCCTTTGTACAACAATCAATCTTGTTCCCCTCATCTTACCGTGTATATTATTGTGCCGATCTACGACATTTAATCGAAATTGGAATTTCTTATAATACACCATCACAGGAACTTAATACATGCACACAATTAGGTCCAATAAAATGAGAATCAAGCGATTAAAGAGATGAAGCAACGACAATGCCCGCCATTTGTGACAATGGTCTTTACCATTGTCAGTGTGTTCCGGTGTAATAATACAAATTCTCAAGTATGCGGGCAAGGTGTAAATTTTTAGTAGTCATTACAAGAACAATATAACATACCCTTATTTCCCCCTTTAGGGTAGCAATAATTTCTCCCATCATTCGAACAACATCTTCATATTTGTATGCATTATCAGTGAGCCAAGCAGCTTCGCGGATTGTGATTATATCCTTGCCCAAGTAGCGAGAACAAACCACCATTGCAGCTACTCCCAAAAGCTGTAGTTTTGACCGTGATGTAGCATGAACTTTGAGGTATCTATCCACCATGTTGATTGCAACATGAAGCGTTAGGCTGGAGAAATCCTTCATGCCTGCAACTTCTACAAGCCAATCTACTAGGATATACCTGGAAGAAACCATATGAGGACTTAGATTACTGGATTTGGTCATCTATGGTGACAACTACTGCTGGACATTGAATTTTTTTGCTTAATGCAAAAGTGCACCACCTTCAAATGAAAGTTCTGCATATATTGCATCATATTTCAAAATTGTTAGCAAAAATACAATACAAATACAATACAAATGTATCTAAATGCACACTATACTAGAGTAATTCCACAATTTGGGTGCTGCATACAATGCATATAATATTTCAAAATTATTGGCAAAAAATACAAGTTGAAGATAGATATTGATATACCAGCATGTGCAGTTTTAGTTTGAGTATTCGAAGATATGTGGCAGGATGTTCTCTTATTGTTTGTGAAACATGTAGACTTCATGTATTTTATATAAGGTCAGATTTGTAATACGATCAAAAGTTGTTTTTGTAACAGTATCTTATTTGATACACAATTCTGTGATACCTTACCATGTAAATAGTTATTGCATATATTTAGATTACTTTTATGATACTATAAGTTATTCAATGATTCTCACGATGCGCTAGCAGAGTAAAATAGAGACGTTCAAGGGAAGAATATTTTCTGTATATCACGAGGAATCATTGAATAACGTTTTTATTCCAAGATTACTCAGATACCCCTCTCCCCAATCAAGTCTATTTCCTTGGCTTGGGGTCAGAGAAATAGATGAACCTTCTCACCTCATATATATTTTTGATCGATATTCCTTCAAAATAGTAGTATTTTTAAAGGTCTCAGATAAAGTTCAAACCACTTTTGCTTATGTTATAGTCTAACCCAATGTTAAATGTCTGTCTGTATTTAAAATACGCACATAATTCACACAATTTGGGTTTATTGTTAGTTCACCTACCTCATAGACTGTGTGAGTTCAACATTGCGAGTGAGGATCAAGTGCAGGTTTGTGGGTTGAGAAGACAGCACCAAGTCTCTCATGAATGAAGCTGCTTGCCTGGCTGAGACACCGCCATATTTTCCCTGAGCATAGAACTGACAAAGCCTCAGTTGGCTGTCTATTTGCACTGTACAGGAGATGTCACGTAGCTCACGAATACTTTGCAACTCCATGGCCCGATCACAAACCTGGGAAATGAATAAAAAGTTAAGGGACTATTGAATACATGTTCAATCAGAAAAATAATGCCACAGTTATTCAATGGGTTATCAATGTGAGAAATACAAAGAATGTTTTGAGTCAAGAATTGACACTGGAGGTAGTGGGGAATGAATGATTCTTACTATATTTGAGTATCTTTGCTCCCATAGCAGAAAAGCAGCCAGGGGTGAACTATGAGATGTGGCTTGCTCTAAGTATGTCACTGCCTCCATATTCCTTGTCTCTTCATCCTCCAACAGTAGCAGTGTCTTAGCTACACATATCTGAACTGATGGGTCACCATGCTGCCAACATAAAGCAATACTTTCATTGTGTATGTTAAGATGCTATTGTAATTATGAACATCATACATTTTGAAAGATATTAAAAAAATTACTCATCATCTTCATCAAAGTACAGACATGTACTCAACAAATTTTTGGACAGAACTACCCTGTATTTACTTTCATATCTTAGTTAACATTTCATTATTATTAAGTATAGGATTGCTCAGAGAGAATATACATTTTCTCTATTAAAATAGCTATCAATATATAATAGGATATTAAATAGAATACAATACCTTTGCACAGTATTTCACCATATCATTGAATACACATTCCTTGCAACAGGCCCCTGAGACAGTCCAAGGTGGTCTGTCTCAGGGCCTCAGGATTGCTCAGATAGAATATACATTTTCTCTATTAAAATAGCTATCAATATATAATAGGATATTAAATAGAATACAATACCTTTGCACAGTATTTCACCATATCATTGAATACACATTCCTTGCAACAGGCCCCTGAGACAGTCCAAGGTGGTCTTATGAACAGCCAGGTGAATGGTGCAGTATGAGGGGTGAGGCTTTCAACTCTGCAGAACATCTCTGCAGCCTTTGTACCATTTGCCAGGATTTTCTTACCTTCAAAATCACCAGGTACTGGAAGTAAAATAATCTTTTTTACAATTACACAAAGAATACACATTTCATTATTATTCCAGTTGTCAGACCAAATGTCTGATTGGGCACGACTGATCAAAAGGAAATGTTACAAGAATTGTGTACGTGGACATTAAATAACTTGTATACTATATGTATATTTGTTACTACGGATCTTAATACTTACATCCTTCGTTATACAGGTATGCTATGCCTAGTTTAATCAGAGACTCTATGTTTCCATTTTCAGCAGCTCTGAAATTACAAAGATCAAATATATATAGCCAAAAGAATAGCATTATCAAATCATATTGAACTATCCTGAATCAACTAGCTGTATACTGGGCAGGAATGAAAATCTGTGGCCCTTCCTCCCAGTCCTTGAGTTGTCTCCACTAACTAAATAATCTCTATCCATCCAATTATGCTATCTATGAATTGGCTCGTTTATTCACTAATTATTTTCCAGATGAACAAAACAATACAGGATACAGATTGTGGCCTAGACTAAGATCTTCCGCTGATCATCAGCCAATCAATTATCTGACCTAAGTTTCAAAATGATTAAGCCAAAATACAAAAAATGTCAATTACATGTGCATGTATGTACTTGTAAGTAGATGATGACACTAATTACCTTGTTTTAAATGAAGATCTAAGACAATACTTTGGCTTCCTAGACCAAGAGTTAAGCCAATTAGCTGACTGATATTAAATGGTATAATGTATTATTGCAGATATCATTATTTCAGTTTTCAATATTTGTCATCACTTCATAGAATTATATATTTAATATCAAACATGAGTAATAATTCTCCGGACAAACAATGTTTGGTAGTGATATAGTGAATCACTCAGTCCATCTTTACATGCAATTTATATGGATGAGAACAACAATTTTATACATAAATGTATTTTTTGAAAAATGTTTGTTTCACTAATTATGATATATCATACAAATGCCTCACCTTTCAAAATGCAGCATATTTGGTAAAGATGGCCAGGCATTTCTAAAGCTGACTCCTGACCACAATGTAGAGTAGCTATCAATAATATCACGGAAATGACTGTGAACCTGCAATGTTAAATTTTTTATTAGTTTCACAAGGTCTCCAGGGCATAAAAGTTTAAGTAAGTTCACAAGATGAACTTTTTGACTGTCATACTTGTGTCTGAATGTTGAAATTTAAATTACTTACAGATCTTATATTGAGCAAATCTTTGATGTGTAGGCCTTTCATCAAGTGTATGAGTAGTTCTTCAGGAAGGGACCATATTGTTACATCACTCCGGGTTCGGGGCTTCAACTGTATGTGTGAGGTATATGAAGTGTGTTGGTAGGAAGACGAGGAAGTGAAATCTGACCATCCCGAGTTGTTACGATTCTGGCGGCGAAGAATAAAGCTTCGTCTTCCTTTATGGCTTACAACTGAATGAAAAAGATGTCAACAAATGAATTATTTTGTAAAGACAATGCAACACAAGGAAGAAACTCAAAATGACAGGAGTTAGATCTCACCATCATCTTGGTTATTGATATAAGTGAGCTATGCAGTCATTTTCATCATCAGGACTACAGATACTACAGAAAATACTATAAAAGACAGTGATCATATACATTGAAATTCTGAGATGAGATACAGGTATGTTACTTTAGTCTCTAGTCTCGCAAATCGACTAGTTATTTATAACTATACAAGTACAACACTATTATGCACCGCATGAAATATACTTATATCTGTTTTCAGATAGCATTTCAAATTTTTTTTATATTTCAATTGCATTTAATATGTATTCTTTGGAATTGAAAAACTATACAACCCCTATTTCACAAAGTAAAGTGTATTTTAATATCTCATGTTGAGAAGAGAGGAGGGCAGGGGAAAAGCAAGAGGGTAGTTTCTTATACTTTTCTTCTTGATGGTTTGTGCTTGGTGGGAGTATTTAAACATTTTTCACCTATTTTCGCACTTTGCCACAATAACTTCACCAATTTTTAACATATCATGAATCTTTTGGCTGATATTGTATTTAAGATTGTAATGTAAGGAATAGATTGGTAGGTCAATTGTAATTATTGCTTGCAATTTTGTCACCCTTATAGATCAGATTCTTCTTTTAAGTACACAAACACGGAAATTGGATAAAGAAGAACTGCCCATCTCCCAAGCATAAACCTATCCTTGGAAGACCTTGTAGTCAGATGAACAATTTTGAAAAAAAATATTAATTGAATTGTCCTGCATAGGCATAGACTGTCAACATATGTACAAGGCTAGTCTTGCCTAAGACGGTATTTTCTTTTACTAATCTTGAGTATCTTGGCCTTCAATTATAATGATGTAAAAGTAAGACACCTGTCATATTATATATAATGATTTCATTTTTGTTTGCCATCGAAAACAGTTTGGAGTTTGTAAGATAGTGAAAACTGGATGCTTTCCAGTTTATGCTAATGTAATAAATTTATGTCCTATATAATTTTTTTACATTTAAAACATATTGCTATTACAGTTTTACATATTCCACCTAAATTACTGTAAAATCGGCACTAAAATGGCCGCCATTTTTAAATGAGCGGCCATTTTGAAAATCGGCTTTCGAGCAGAACTTCTACCCCCATAGGGTATATGTGTGCAAAATATGAATAAAATCGGGCCAACTGTATTTGAGTTATTGCCCGGACGGACAGACGGAGGCGTTCCCTATATCCCTCCGAACTTCGTTCGATGGGATAATAAACTACATCAGGAGTCGGATGATGTCAAAATAAACATGCTCATTTATGTTATGGGTAAAGTTTATGTTATGCGCTTTATGATCTCGTTGAACACTACGCGTACGATAAACCAGAGAAGGAGATAAGAGATCAGCTGGGGAGTGGGATGCTTGATTGTGGTTTATCAGAGAAGTTGCGACTCGAGTCCATGAAAACTGACAAATTCAAAATGGAACTTGAACATGCAATTGCAAGAATGCATCAATCAGAAATTGTAAAGAAACAAAACTGCAATGAATGTTGATTCGGTACTAGATCTAAATGATGTCGATTCAGTAATGGTAGACCTAAATCAAATTCTACTGTCAGGAGGCCTAACCTTCATAAGTCTCACTGAACTCAGTCCCAGTCAACATCTAAGTCCACAAAACAAAAGATAATGTCTATCCAGACTTGGAAGGCTAGTACAATTTTAGTCTAGCCTACTTTTGTCTTAGTTGAATCTGCCGCTGAATTTTGCCTGTGAAAAAGATTTTTTCCAGTTTTGTAAGTTTTCAAATAGGCCAGAATCTGAAGTGCAATTATGACAAAAACTTTAAAAATGTGTGGACATACCTTTCATTTTGTATTCCTGAGAATGGTTATACCCTGAGATACATCAGTACTAAATAAATTGAAAGAAATTGAAGACGGTTGTGTATCAATTTCTGTTATTTTGATAGCGGTTTCGTTCTTAATGCTGATTGGCTAAAACTAGATCTCAAATAATAACGAGATTTAACGAGACCAAGCCTTCCCAAGATGCAACAGTTGTTTGAAACTTTTAAACTTTCAAAAGTCACATCCAACCAGAGGGCTCAGAATGTTCGATAGCCTGTGTTCCGAGATTGACTGAGTAAGAATAGTGATAATGAAACTTTTAAACGTTGGTAACTGTCCTTTGTAGAATGTCCAGAATTTCACATGACATAATGATATATCATGCATGTTTAACTCCAGGGCCGGTAGACTTCAAGATGGGCCATTGGGGGCTACTCCAGGGTTACCTCCCCCTGTAAGTCCGGGTGTTAGTCCTTGCTAAAATCCTCATTTTCTCCGAACTCAAGTTGATCGAGTCTCAACAAGTAGATTCATGGGGGTGCAACCATCGCCCCCCCCCCCCCGGTTACGCCTATGAATCCAATTTCAATTTATTTCCGAGTACTATAGATTTCTTTGGTGAGTTCATTCCATATAATCTGACCACTCTGTTTGATGGGTTTTTGCCCAAAAAGCTGTGTTAAAATTAATAGCAAATCCGTGTTATTGGATTCTGCTATTTCACGGTGAGCAACCATACCGCACCGGGGATCGACCCCGGTGCGTTACACTTAAATTGTAACGCTCCGGAGTGAAGAAAAATGGCGGACAATGATAAATGCATAATGGACGTGAGTAGAAATTTTTGATTTACGATGTTTCGTGATTAGGTACGAAGAACTCCTATGTACCATTCAAAGTACAATATATTAAGGAATGATCCAGATCGATTAGATCAGTGATAACTAGCCTATATAATGCAAACAAGATGTAAAAGCACAAGCAACATTAAAATATTTTGATGTTTTTTATTCTTTTTATGAAATATACAGAGTATTCCTAGATTGTGCGAGAATATATCTTATCAACATGATCCTTATGGTTGCATGCAAAATTGTGTCAGTTTAGGAGTTAAATGGTGGTCAGTTTTATGAGATATCACTAAATCTAGTTGTAACGCACCGGTCATATTAGGCCAATATTTGGAAACGCACCGGTGCTTTATTGATAGTGTGATCCTCATGCTGGGGATCGTACTGCCCCGCTTGTTCTTTCGATTCCACTAATGCACCAACTGACTTTGTTCCACCCATGAAGCGCAAGAATTTCCCATGGAACATCCGGTAGCCAACTTTCCAGAAGGTTAGAGTTTCCTCGCTAAGTATTAAAGTATACATATAATTGTTATGGTACAATCGTTAGAGACGATATATTCAAATCTATAAATTTTAAAATGAGAATGGGAAAGGGTATATCTATGGAACTAGGGGCAAGACGGATTTTTTGACACACCCATTCACAAATGCATTGCGTGTAGTTCTACCCTACGAAACAATAACGCTTTCAATCGATTGGTACTGATGTTCAAAGTATACAATATTTTATTCATTTGGAAATGTACGGTTTAGTTTTTACGTTGATAATTGTGAAATGATTTTATAACATTTGCTGCAGGGTATAAGAACGGATACACACGAAATGTTATCAAAGTCACTGGTCAGTATCAAGATGCGGTAACGGCCGTTACCTTCTCATCTAAGATGGCGAATGGTAAATGTCGATTTTGATATATTTGTTTTCATCGAATTAAACTACTTTATAGTTGACGTAATGCTTTGATATTTGAACTTGATAAATCTAAGATATCATGGAAACTTAGGAGTATGACCATTTATTCTTAAATCATACGTGGACGCCATAATTCAACTGTATGTTACACCGCTTAAGGGAAGGTAAATGGAAGTGAATTTTGCAAAATCAAACTCTCAGTTACCTTCCCTTAAGCGGTGTAACATATAATTGAATTATGGCGCCCGTGTATGATTTAAGAATAAATGGTCATACTCCAAAGTTTCCATGATATATAAGGCTTATCAAGTTCAAATATCAAAGCATTGCGTCAATTATACGTAGTTTAATTTGATGAAAACAAAAAATATCGAAATCGACATTTTTCGTCCGCCATCTTAGATAAGAAGGTAACGGTCGTTACCGCATCTTGATTCTGACCAGTGAAAGTGTCATATCTTTATCGCCTGTAGTATGTATTACCGTATTTTGCAAACTATCACATTTCGTACTTTGATTTTTTTTATGCATTTGTGTATTGTATAGGGTGTTTCATAATTACCCTCTCCCATCCAAAACCAATCCTAAAATCACATGGGCCTTTAGATTCTCTTAATCTATACATCATCATACAGCTTTTTTAATAATGCACTTATGGGCTAAATATTGGAACGAGTGATCCTTGGGACCATAATTTGTGGATTTATGTTTTGTCGTCACTATCATCCTAATTTGCTGGATTTATGGCTTCTATTTGTACATTGGGTTTAAAGAGAGGGACAAATAAAAACATTATTTTCGTATCATTACGAGCTTAAAAAGAGAGTAAAAGAGCGTAAAAGCTGCTGAGCTTAATCAAAGTTGTTTTAATAAGTCATGAATTGATTGAGCTTTCCTATGATATTATAACACATGGAGGTGCGCCATCTAGGATTGGTGACTGACAGGGGGCGGTCATTATGAAATACCTTGTTATGTGAAATGTACTTCCAGAGTGAGGGTTTGCTTCTAAAGCTAACAACCATACCTGTACGTCATGTTTGAGGTGGAACTAAAGGAATACCACCTCACAACCTCCAGGAAAAGAAGCCACGATATGTTATTCATTGGGAATTTGTCTTTCGCGAGGAGTCTTAGTAGCATAATGAATTCGGTGCAAAAACCGTGTCTTCTGAGACACAATATGACATTTGGTAGCAGTTTCATAGCACTTTCAATTTCAATGTCATAATCAGTGTGTGATTGTTCAAACAATGTTTTTCTAATTTTTGGCTTTTTTCTATTCTTTGGTGCATTTTTCCTAGCACTTCTGATAGCCTTTGTATTAGCATTGATTGGTGTCTTAAGTGATTTATCGTTAGATGTGGCTTTTGTACAACCAGCGTCGCTTGTAGTGACGGTAGGTGCAATTTTCAGGCGTTTCATGTATCTTGAATGCCCAGTTTGCAGTCCAGAACTTCTCCGTCGTTTCCTGTAAAAATATAACCGGTGCGTTTCTAAATTGTCGTAGATTTGTGTCGGTGCGTTACCCCATCAATTTTGGAAGGTACATTTCATGAAAATAAATTACGCTTGTACAATGTTCGAATTGTAAGATATTGAAGAGTAGTATGTTTATAAATATATCTATATTGAGTAAAAAAATCTGTGGTTGTTCCAATCATTTCTTTGACAAGAAATACAACATTTTAGACGAGCCTTTAACTTTCCTTCGAATTTTTCAAGGTGCATTTACATTTCGTTCACATAATACCGATATGTTACAGCTTTGTGGAATTTTAATAAGGTACCCTGATATATCGTGTTTAGAATGGAATGTGTTAAAAGATATTCACTCACCTCTGGTTTCCACTATTATTTGTTTCCTCCGGAGGAAACACATTTCCGTCCGCCATTTTAAAAGGACGGTGCGTTACCAACGCTCCGGGGAAAAGTGTAACGCACCGGGGTCGATCCCCGGTGCGGTATGGTTGCTCACCGTGTATTTGCAATGAAACAAGGGCGTCTATCTCAGATAGACCTTGAATGAAATAATCAATCACGCCTAACCATCGCGTAAGCAGGCGTCACCGTACCTGCACCGTACAGCGTCAAAAAATAGCGGTGGTCAGTTTTCTGTACGGTGACGCAAATTAACTGCTTGAAGCAAAAAACTATGACAAGGGTTTAAAAAATAAATTTGATGAAAACTTTGATGGAAACTCCGGTGTGTGTATTGTATTGTATATTTATTGCCTCATTTATATGAGAGAATACATATTATTATTCCATAATAATACTGTTTTCTCTGGGAAATTACATCATATTATCCCTCTTAAAATCATATATACTCGAAAAATCATATTGTCCTTGGAAAAAAATCATTATACTCGAAAAAAAGAAATTTTCATTTTTTCAAAAAATTGCAATTTAAATGGACTGAACCCCCATCCAATAACAATAGATTCGGTAAAGAAAAGACCTTTCAAATGCGTTTAATATGCAGCTTCTAGCTTAAGTTTGAAGCCCGGTATTTGAAGGAAGTTGCATCAATTTTTGTAATAGAAAAGTTTGTTTTGGTTGGTTGCTTACCTGTATGTCACGTCCCCCCCCCTCCCGACTGAAAGGCGATTTTTGGCGATCGCACGCGTACGTGACTGGAAGCTGCAACAGTTGTTTGAAACTTTTAAAACTTTCAAAAGTCACATCCAACCACAGGGCGAGAATGTTCGATAGCCTGTGTTCCGAGATTGACTGAGTAAGAATAGTGATCATGAAACTTTTAAACGTTGGTAACTGTCCTTTGTAGAATGTCCAGAATTTCACATGACATAATGATATATCATGCAGGTTTAACTCCAGGGTAGACTTCAAGAGTGGCCCTGTCCATTTGGGGCTACTCCAGGGTTACCTCCCCCTGTAAGTCCGGGCGTTAGTCCTTGCTAAAATCCTCATTTTCTCCGAATTCAAGTTGATCGAGTCTCAACAAGTAGATTCATGGGGGTGCAACCATCGCCCCCCCCCCCCCCCCGGTTACGCCTATGAATCCAATTTCAATTTACTTGTATTTCCGATTACTATAGATTTCTGTGATGCTGAGTTCATTCCATATAATCTGACCACTCTGTTTGATGGGTTTTTGCCCAAAAAGCTGAGTTAAAATTAATAGCAAATCTGTTATTGGATTCTGCCTTTTGAAATGAAACGAGGGCGTCTATCTCAGATAGACGTCCTTGAATGAAATTATCAATCACGCCTAACCATCGCGTAAGCAGGCGTCACCGTACCTGCACCGTACAGCGTCAAAAATAGCGGTGTTCAGTTTTCTGTACGGTGACGCAAATTAACTGCTTGAAGCAAAAAAACTATGACAAGGGTTTAAAAAATAAATTTGATGAAAACTTTGATGGAAACTCCGGTGTGTTTATTGTATTGTATATTTATTGCCTCATTTATATGAGAGAATACATATTATTATTCCAAAATAATACTGTTTTCTCTGGGAAATAACATCATATTATCCCTCTTAAAATCATATATACTCGAAAAATCATATTGTCCTTGGGAAAAATCATATATACTCGAAAAAAAGAAATTTTCATTTTTTCAAAAAATTGCAATTTAAATGGACTGAACCCACATAGCCAATAACAATAGATTCGGTAAAGAAAAGACCTTTCAAATGCGTTTAATATGCAGCTTCTAGCTTAAGTTTGAAGCCCGGTATTTGAAGGAAGTTGCATCAAATTTTGTAATAGAAAAGTTTGTTTTGGTTGGTTGCTTACCTGTATGTCACGTCCCCCCCCCCTCCCGAATGAAAGGCGATTTTTGGCGATCGCACGCGTACGTGACTGGAAGCTGGCTATTCCCCTGATGATGGTATTTGACAACAGACCTTTTAACTAACTTTATATATTGTACGTGTTTAATTGTTTATAACCAGCATGTAGTGTTGAAACAAACAAATGCATTCAAATACTATATAGTACGACTTTTAAGCTTTTCTTCACTTTTGTTTTATAATTGCGTAGTCTATAACGCTTGAATAAAATAAACAAAACACAATTAGAATAATGTATACTAGGGTTTTTTATTCTTCATTTGTTCCATTAATTCATCCACAATACTCAGGAAAATGCACAGTTTTAAAATTGCGATTTTACATTCAGGCAAATTAAGCCGAAATCACTATGCTTGAGAATTTAGCATGTTTTACAGTATTTAGCAGACCCACAGACTTTTGGTCGGTTCTCTATTAGATCCTATTAGGAGTGGCATCAGTGTCGACATTTGGTTCTCTAGCGTTTCCTACTAGGAGGGGCTAAAGTGCAGACAATTTAATTATTTTAATTATTAGTCGGTCCTATAGCGTGTCAACACAGCAAAGTCTCCCGTACCGACAATTTATTTGTCGGTCCTCTAGCGTGCAACACAGCAAAGTCTAGAGGTACCGACAATTGTAAAAAATTTACGTAAAAATTAAATTAGGCCTCTAAGCGACTTTAATTCAAAATTTGGACACTGATTAAAAATAAAAGCCATGGTCAAAATCGAAGTCAAACTACTGTTTTTCCATATATATACAGGGTGTCCCAGAACTCATCAGAATTTTTGAGGGAGATATAAGGCATGGATGATTTTTCTTCAAAGTTGGTGCACTCACAAAACATACATTGACAGATTGAGGAATACTGACACTGATAAATTTCAGGTACAGATCTTTTAGATTTCTGAAATTATTCACATTTGAATTCTAATTCACCACAAACCCCGGAGTTGCAGAGAATGGGAAGCTCCCCCAAAGTTCCTCTCTTTCTGTAACTAGCAGTGGGCTTTTCTACATCTCTATAACTATGTAAGAAAAAATGGCCAGAGAAAATTAAATCACATCTAATATGATTTAAAAATATTTCACTCTTTCGTGATATTTCTGACTGAGATGTGAATGGTAAAAAATCTTAAAACAAGCAAAACTTTTCTTTTCTTTTTGATCAGTTTCCCATAAACTTATTGCTTTAGTATCTGGGGGTGGGTTTGGGGCAGTAAAATGTCTAATCTTTCTAAGGTTCACATTTTTACCGAATTTCCATGTTGATCAAAAATTCTTTGAAGATAGGAGGTCTTGATTTTAACTTGATACATACGGTTTAAATATTTTTCCTCTGTTCTAGTCGAAAGTTCATTCCAATTCAAACATTTTAGTTTTTGACATGAGCTAATATATAAGTAAATGTTCTTTTCACATTTTATCTGTACATGTTTTTTTTACATTGGTACATGGATAAAAGCATGTTTGCATTTTTAAAATACTATATCTATTCTAGTCTTGAGTCATTGGCTCGAACTCAAATAATCAATCAATGTTTGAGAGTGTTTCCTTGTGCTTTTAATATAAATTACAATTTCGATTTAGAGTAGACGAGTATTGTAATTTACGACAGCAATCATTTTTATGACTCTTTTGCAAATAAATACATATTAACAGTGCTGAAGGTCGTGTTAACACAATATTACAATACACACTCACGTTATAACTGCATAGCCAACTGAAACATACTATATGCATCTGTTGACGGTTTTATAGTGCATTGTAGGAATAGTCTCATATAAGGGAGAGAAGTGAATGAAGCAGTGCTCCAAGAACAGATAAACAGAGCATTGACCCTATATACCCTAGAAAGATATACTAGTACTCGCAGTCTTGGGTACTTTTATACTGGCCTGTCAAGAACTCTAGTTGTAAGGTAGCTGCTAAATCGAATCATAGTAGGCTGAAAATGGCGGATGTTGGTAAAGCAGTGATACCTGGACGAACTATTGCAATAGCAGTAGATCCAAGTGAACATTCGAAGCTTGCTGTCAATTGTAAGTATGGATGAGCCGGGGGATGAGCAGAAAAGTGCTGAGTTTTATGTTAGTCTCAGATTAGACGTGGATCCACGGCTCTAGTGACTTATTTGACTATCGGAGTTTTGATAGGGTCACTAGAGCCGTGGATGCACCTGTATTAAAATCCTCAAACTTCAGAAAAATAAATTTTTTTGAACCCAGCGCTACTTTGGAGTTGATTTCTTTTGATTCCCATTTGTTTTTTTTAATATATTTGTCCCAATGTAATGTTATATGATAAATTGTTAAACTTACCATACATAAGTTGTTATGCACGATGTAATTGCGCTGATACTATAGGAAAATCATCACTTTTTAAATTATTTCAAAATTTTCTATGGCGGCACGAGACTTCGCGAGAAGAGATGGGAATTCCCTAATGTATACGATGCCATCTATTTTACTACATAAAGTTCATATCAATCAGACTGCATAGTAAGCAATATTCAACAGTGAATCCCCGGGAGTGAATCACACATGTTGAAGTTTAATTAAGGAATTCTCATTATAGACAGTGACTTTTATTATAGTTTCTAGTTTTAATAAGGAATACCAAACAGAGATAGTGACTCTTAATTGTTTAGACCATATGCAGATTCATTTAGTCACGTGATTTGTGACATCACGCATGCGCATAAATTATGTAGGTCAACTCAATTTTGAGAATTCGTTCGACTTTCTCTCACCTGAAAAATCAAAGACACTTCTTGATATAATTTCCACGAGAAACATGATTACAACTAGAGTCAATTTGAAGACAAACAACGTCGCTACATAGTGGTCCAAAAATTTTAAAGATTAAGGTAAGGAGCTTCGAGAAAAAGCAAAAACAACCGATCCGTTGTTTTTCAGAATCTCAACTTGCCTACGGTTTTTAATGCTTGGTGATGCGCCTCTGGGGCCATGACAAATCTCAGATATATATATAAAGGCCCAGAGGCGCATGAATGCACCTAGTCTCAGATGAGATGCCACCCACGCTTTAAGGTACAGCTGGAAAATAACAATATGGTAAAAAATTGCTATACCTGCACATGTTATTTTCTGGTACACTATGGAGTATGAAGGCATGTGTTAATTTCCTTGCTTTTTTCAGGAAAGTATCATGACTTTGTCTTCTTTTAGTATATCTGGTAAGAGGTCAATGGGAACTCCAGGGAATTCTGATATTTCACACTTTCTATTTTTCCAAATTTTCTTTCAAAGTTTCCAGACAACCGAGGAGCTACCATTGACCTGTTTCCAGGTTTACTAAAAGTAGACAATGTAATGATAATTTCCTGAAAAAAGCAAGAAAATACACACATGCCTTCATGCTTAATTTTGTACCAGAAAAGAACATGTGCAGGTATAGCAATTTTTACCAAAATGTTACTTTCCAGCTGACCCTTAAAGGACTAAATTAGGGGCAGACCAGCGATCCAACCCTTTTCGGTGGTGCAGGTCACAGTAACCTGTATCAACACCGGAGATATATTGGTAACACCTGACATAAAAGTGCATGATTAACACATAATTCAGTCATGAACTGTTAATTTATGCAGGGGTCGACTTAAAAAATAAAGTCACGAAGTGATAAGAATGGTGAAAACTGCATGTTTTTGAAAGAATATTTAGCCAGGGAAGGTACGGGCCTGATCTTATTTCAGATGTTACTTTCGTACTTCAAACATTTTCCCGCGCAAGCGCAGAAATGTTTTCCTACATTTGAAATTTGCCCCCCTTTAGGGCTTCTGGATCCACCAGTGCCTACCTTCAGACCTTAGGTATATCATTTGCGGATAATCTCGCTTTTGTTTGAAATCCAATGGGAGCTAATTTAAGTTGCCGTGGTACTTAACAGGAAATGACAAAACGGGAAGTGACAAAACATGTAGCATTTTTAGATATTTTTGGAAAAAGATAACAGATTTCTTTTTTGACCTCCAGTCAATTCAAATAGTTCCACTTATCATTTACAGGACCAGGATCACAATGCACATGGTCAGAATGACCCTCAACATGATGAAATAACTTTTTCAGCCCTCTGAAAATGTGACTGAATAATAGCTAAAAGTAGCCCCTCAGGAAAGGTCACTGAACAGAATCTTTTGAATTTTTCAGAAAATGTACCCAATATATTGCTCTAACTGATACAATCTTAGAAATTTTAGAAAATTGTCTGAAACAAAAATGGCGGTCATAAAAAGGAAAATAGGTCACCTTTCAATTCATTTTTTTCATTTTTTTCTTTTTCTACGAATGATAGGCCTATCGCATTTTCAAAGATTGTTTTATTTAGAGCGATATACTGGGCACATTTTCAGAAAAATTCAAAATATTCTGTTCAGTGACCTTTCCTAAGTCATTCTGACCATGTACATTATGATCCTGGTCCGGTAAATGATATGTGGAACGATTTGAATTGACTGGAGGTCAAAACAGAACTTCAAAAAATGTCTAAAAATGCCACATGTTTTGTCACTTCCTGTTTTGTCTTTTCCTGTTAAGTAGCGCGGCACCGACGGCTCTATTGTACAGGCGTACCATACGTCTTCATAAGATTCGACTTATTTTACACCCCATGCAGATAGGTCGCTTAAATTTACATTCGTATGATGCGAGACTCGACATTCACCGGGAAATTAGAAAAATTTACCACCCATGAATCAAATTAATTTTTTACTGCTTTATAAATGGTGAATGACAGTCACAGTATGAAAATAGTACGACGTCTTGATATTTCAAGGTAACTCGTTTGAATAGTGATGGCGGTGATTGAAATCACGATGTAAAGAAAAAACCGCAACGAAATATTTGGAGATTTGTTTGAAAAACTAAGAAATATACATCACATATCGAATTTTTCAAAACCATCACCGCCATCACTTTTCAAACGACGTTACCTTGAAATATCAAGACATCATGCTATCCTTATACTTATAAAATTTAACTTGGCTGTCATTCACCATTTATTTCTTTTTTGCTCCATGGGTGGCAAATTATTTCTAGTTTCCTGGTGAATGTCGAGTCTCACACCATACGAATGTAATTTTAGTCGATCTGTCTTCATGGGGTGTTTTACAAAATGATGAAAATTTAGATAAGGGCCAAATAGGCAAGACAAAGTTCTCTTTATATTGTGGCGAAGTTGAGTCTCTCTATCTTTTATAAAACATGAAAACAAATATAGTTTAAAATATAAATTTATTAAAGAAAAGTTAAAGTCCAAAAATATCATTTCAATCAGTTACTTACAGTTTTTGGTTAGTCCCGAGTTCACGCAACGAGGTTCTGAGGTTTCAATGCCAAAAATGCCTCTTTTATATCTTAATTTTGAAGTGGGCAGAGCCGAAATAAGAGGTCTTATCCAATAAAATATCAGGAAATCTCATTAACTAAAATTGGCCGAAAAATGAATGTTTAATTTTATAGAATGTCAATAAGAAATAGTGATGATTTTCTGCCCACGAATCTTGGATGTTTACCGAAAGTTTGAGAATTTGGCAGAATTTGGTGGGAAAGGAATGTCTAGACAAAACCTCTGAGCCTCGTCTCATGAACTCTAGATGCTTAATCTAATTATCTAATTTAACTCATTATCTAATTTATGTCCGATACACATATTTATAAGTCAATTTTCACCCTAAAAAGTATACAATTATTCGTAAAATGTGATGTAGAATATAAAGGTATAAACATTTGCAAAGTATATACATCAGTATTGATGTTTTGGTCAGTCGTACTCTGGGTCATTAGGTTTAATCGCTTTTTACTTTGTTTATCAGAAATTTGCAGTCTTCAATATGATGCCAAAAACTATCGAAACTTATAAACATCTTAACTAAACATTGCAAAATTTCCCATCAGTTGACTTCATATATCATTTCTGCCACTCATATCTCAAGAATAATCCTTTCATTTGATTGGCTCTAGATATAGTTCATGCCTAAAAACTGCTCTAATATGATGATAAAACATTGGAAATTAAACTGTTGATATTGTGAAATATCACACTGGGTTCAAAGATCACTAAAACAATGGTTATAATACAAATATAAACTAATCAAAATAACGCAATAATTATAAATATGAGTAACAGAATAAGATTATTGTGACATCAACTGATGTGAAGTGAAACAAGTAGACTGACCAACGAGGTCAGCTATGACTTCGTCACATTCCTCCCACCTTAAACATTTGTTTGTCCTCAAACAAGATAATTCACAATATTTTAAACATAATCAGATACATGCTAATGAAAATAAAAATACATTTTTCCAAAACAAGCACAAAAAGCAAGCTAAAAATATGTTTTCTATAATGGATGTTACACACACATGTATTTACAGAACAATATTCCTTTGAAACTAATGACTTTACAATCGTAATTCTTTTCTCGAGATCTTAAAAAGATGTTTAAATGATGATGAACATTGATCTTTTAAAGTGTTCAATAATTAATCACATAGCAAAAATCTACATTCATAAAATGATGTAAAAATAATATTTAAAATAGCCTTAACCTCCCCTGCAACCACTGGCTATGAGAAATAACACAAAACTACTATCATTTACAAATTATGTAAGCTTAAAAATCAAAAACCATTAAAACATGTAGTTTGAATTATCAGTTATTTAGTTGGTTAAGTTAACCTTCCTACTTCTTCCAAAACATGTGATGTTTGATAACTGATAACCTCAATCTTACATTTTTCTCACATAACATCTAAAGAACATTTCAATTAAGTCAATTAAATGATGGCCTAAAGTGTTTACTACATTTAGTTACCATTTTTTTAGATTTCTTATATTAGCACTTCACTAAGAATGCTCTTTTTTAAACTTCCATAACCAAACTAATCATCCAGAATAAATGTCCTGTATAAGTATAAGCAACTGATCAACATGAGATATGATATTGATCTCTAAGTAACATGATTCATTGTCACTTCATGCATCACATATTCAGGAATACAGTCTAAATGTTTCCCATCTACAATAGTACTATGGATCCTCTATCAGCCCAATCAGCATACTGTTTAAACATTCCAGACTCACCCCAAAATCATATTCTCTCTCTGTCAAATCTTTGTCTGGAATTTCATCTCGGTGTTTACAGTTTATTAACTGACCTCTCAGACTGTCCCCATATTAATGTTATCACCCTATGTTTATTCAGTTACACTTAATTGATGGATATATATGTATAAATGTCTCTATGCACAATTGCTTGATAATAATGTTGTGTCCCTAATATTTGCTGCGACAGGTATGCGATAAGCAGTGAATAGTTTGATTATATATTTAATAGGCCACTTGGTATTTCACTTTGGTATTTCACTGATGATATCACTGTTTGTTGTTTCCTAGAGCGTGTGGCCTCTTTCATGTTTCTCTCGAAGTCGAACTATTTCTTTTTCGAACTCAATGCTTAAGAAATTGTCATATGGCTTATTAACATTCGTCATCATAAAGCCATGCGATTGTCAAATCTTCCAGAAGTTACAATTGTCCCTGTAGTGTCGCTGACAATTGATTTCTCAGTACAGATTCACATCACATTGTCATCAACTCGAAATGTTCAATTTTCTCATTACTGCTATTTAGTAGCTTCGAAAGTTTTTGCCAGTTCATAATATTATATTGAACTCTCTGTTTCTATCTTCTTTACCCATAAGTTGACTCTTCCACTATAAAAGGAGAACTCTATCTTCCAAAACATCCTTCTGGAAGAGATCTGTAGTCATCTATATGTTCATCCCTTGTTCATTGACGTTCATGAACATTTCCACATATTGTTCCTACCCAGCTAGCGATCTTCTTGAAGTTTTCCCTCCGGAAGCGTCCTTCAGGGAGGGGTGTTCATCTTTACGCTCATCACCAGATGAACCACTAGCATTCCTACTTCGCATGACGTCCTTCTGGTAGGAATTCGAATATTCTTCATTAACCGGTTTCTTCTCCCATGGTACTTCTCCAGCCCCCAGGTGGGCAACCCTTGTACTAAAAGGCAGGTCTTCACGAACGTCAAAGGATGGCTGTACCTCGTCTTCTTGGCGTTCTGATGAGCTTTGCGTTTTAACAAGGCATGGTACTTCTCCAGGCCCCATGTGGCCACGTATGGTACTTAGCCCCCCCCCCCCATACGGGGGAACCGCAGGGAGTGTGCGCAATCTCTCCCCGGATGGTAGACTTCTGCCTCCACCAGGCGCTGCAGACAATGGTATTATACTAGCCCCCACATGGGCATCACCCGCAGGTACCTGTGCGCCCAAGTGCTCCTCAGGATATGACCTCTTTTCCACCGCCACGTAGCGTCCTGCAGCCAATGGTATTTTAGCTACCTCCATTGAAGGCCCACGATGATCATCCAGAACCTTTTTTACATGTACATGATTGGGAATTGACGTCGCTTCCCTTGTTGCGACAAAATTATAAAAGCTGACAGTCTTTATCTTTGGAATTGCTCCCCCAGAATCAGACACCTTGTCTGTTGCTGCCTGCTTGTGAGTGCGTGTGTGGACCGACTGCAGGTTATCCCCTCCGTCATCAAAGTTCTTTGGCACGGTAGGGGTCGACGTTACAAAGCCCCCAGTCATGACTTCCTGCAGGGCCGCTGTTTGAATTTATAGATCATTGATGGTCTTCAGCATCTCTTAAGATCCTGTTATTATTGGCCTCTTCTCCTCTTTGTCGTTGATTTATCTCAATACATCTGCATATCGCCATCAAGGATTGTTCTAAAGCGTCAGTTCAATTCAAGAAATCTTCATCCAACTGTATTTTAACATAGAACATTCACATGTCGTTTTCACACATCAACATCAGAGAATACGGGATACCCTGTATCTTTCTATAGTCCTGTTCGTCAATCAAATCTTGATCAGGGATTTGATCTCAGGTTCAGTTATGCTCGGCGAATAACTTCAATGATCCACTTTGACTGAGTTGTTTTAAGTTAACATAAGTGAGAACCCCATTACACAATCTCGGTTTAGCCAAAAACATGAACTTTTCATGGTAATTTCCATGTGTTAATTTTGTTTAATGATTTTATAATCAATAGATGGCAAGTTGTTATGGATTGTAACTTATCCTAAGTTAATATGACCTTTGACCTCAAAGACATATGATCCATTAATGTTTAGTTAATTATTATTTTTCATTTATTTAATATTTGGATGTCTAACAAAAATTACTGGATATCCTTATAATTAATTAACGAAAAGTGCCGTACTTTACATTTCCTAAATATAAATCCTAACGTAAGTTTAGCCCATGAATTGAAAGTGCTTTACAGAAGTGATACTTTCACAATCTATATTTGAATATTTTGCGCCTTATAAACAATGAATTGTTTCAGGGAGATGTTTCCCAAAAACGTCATAACAATTTTACTTATCATAACATAAACTAGTTCACGATTCATGTCAAGTAAGTTTAATAGCTAGAACAGAAATGTATGCCTGTATAAAGTTAGTCATATTACATCATTGTCTGACAACTGATCATCATCAAAATCTGGATTATAAGATCATTTTAAAGGATTAAACATGTATGTAATCAACAATTTGGATATATACTCAATGAATAATAAATTCAACACTGAAGTCTATGTCAATGATCTGACAAAGGCCAATAAGCCAGCACAAAGCAAAACAACGAAACAAAATACCGGAATATCAATTCGCAAGGAACTTTAATTAACTGTGTTACCCTGATTTCTCAAAGCCATAACAGACGATTCAATACTGGTCAAAATGTCATTTTTGAGGGTAAGTGAAATATTCTTTTGAATGTTCTATGTAACCAAATGACTTTTATCAAATGCAAGCGAAATGTGGGATTAACCTGCTGTGATCAGAAATTCATGACACCTAATTCACAAAACAAATGAAACATCAAACCACTAAACTATCAATCCCTTCTACTTAACCATAGGATCAATGCATGGATCTATAATAATTCAAATAATTAATTTGAACCAAGGCATTGCTTTACAATTGGTCAGTCATGTTTTGTTCAGTAAATCTTTATACTAACAATTATAGAGACCATAATATTTGTTATATACTTCATATGATCAATCCTACATTTGTTTGAGAACCAAATGATCAGAAATTTCTGAGGTTACAAAACATAAAAACATTTCTTTCACATTTTTAATTTGTCATTTTTACATTAATTATAATCAAAGGTTTTCAAGATATTTATTCTCTTATTTCATTGTTCTTCTAACAGTTTTATCTTAACACAAAAATATTAGTCAATTGCAAAATCTATATGCATGAAAATGATGCTTTACAGTTAGCCTTGCATTATCCTAAACATTCTCAATGTTTATTCTTACTGCCAAGTTAACATTGCCATATTCCTATACTGTTGTGATGAAAAGTAATCTGTCAGTTAATACAGCAAAACCTTGTAACATGGAATATTGTTATTTATCTAAACTCTCTTAGTCAAAACAACACAAACTTTCTGATTTATTCCACAAAACAAAAGTATTCCATTTGTTTCACAAACACGAAGGTTTTACTTCAATAAACTGACAGATTATGCTTATCTTATTAACGAATTACCTAACTTATCATTATCAAACTACAACTAAATCCAATACGTTTGCCATCCACTGATTATTTTCTAAATAATTTTCAAATGTTTTCATGCTTATGCAATAAAATATTGAGACAATACAAAGGCCATAGAAATGTGGGCCTTGACCAGGGCGGAACCTAGTCAATTTATCCCACCGCTGCCACCAATTGTGGCGAAGTTGAGTCTCTCTATCTTTTATAAAACATGAAAACAAATATAGTTTAAAATATAAATTTATTAAAGAAAAGTTAAAGTCCAAAAATATCATTTCAATCAGTTACTTACAGTTTTTGGTTAGTCCCGAGTTCACGCAACGAGGTTCTGAGGTTTCAATGCCAAAAATGCCTCTTTTGTATCTTAATTTTGAAGTGGGCAGAGCCGAAATAAGAGGTCTTATCCAATAAAATATCAGGAAATCTCATTAACTAAAATTGGCCGAAAAATGAATGTTTAATTTTATAGAATGTCAATAAGAAATAGTGATGATTTTCTGCCCACGAATCTTGGATGTTTACCGAAAGTTTGAGAATTTGGCAGAATTTGGTGGGAAAGGAATGTCTAGACAAAACCTCTGAGCCTCGTCTCATGAACTCTAGATGCTTAATCTAATTATCTAATTTAACTCATTATCTAATTTATGTCCGATACACATATTTATAAGTCAATTTTCACCCTAAAAAGTATACAATTATTCGTAAAATGTGATGTAGAATATAAAGGTATAAACATTTGCAAAGTATATACAGCAGTATTGATGTTTTGGTCAGTCGTACTCTGGGTCATTAGGTTTAATCGCTTTTTACTTTGTTTATCAGAAATTTGCAGTCTTCAATATGATGCCAAAAACTATCGAAACTTATAAACATCTTAACTAAACATTGCAAAATTTCCCATCAGTTGACTTCATATATCATTTCTGCCACTCATATCTCAAGAATAATCCTTTCATTTGATTGGCTCTAGATATAGTTCATGCCTAAAAACTGCTCTAATATGATGATAAAACATTGGAAATTAAACTGTTGATATTGTGAAATATCACACTGGGTTCAAAGATCACTAAAACAATGGTTATAATACAAATATAAACTAATCAAAATAACGCAATAATTATAAATATGAGTAACAGAATAAGATCATTGTGACATCAACTGATGTGAAGTGAAACAAGTAGACTGACCAACGAGGTCAGCTATGACTTCGTCACAATATTAGCTTCGAGGATTTCCTCTAGAAGTAGTTAGCCTTCATTACGTGCAGATTTTTATGTTTTCAGTTTACCTTACCAAGCTTAGAGTTGAAGGCGATAAACTGATTGTCATTCATTGTCAAGAGATGTTTAATATAGACCAAGCTCGTAAGTAAATAAGTACAAACAAACCTATTTTTAAGAAAAGCACAAACGACAGTATGAATAAAACATAAAACAAAGTATGTGTCAATAATCGTATCCTATACTACGGCTAAGCCAGCTTAAATGCATGCGTTTTGATGTGTATAATAGATTTAATGTCAGTTAACCTCAGTCAGCAACCTCGAACATCACAAACATCATCGATCATCAACGTCACCTTTGTTTGATTTGCTCAACATATCATTCTTACTTTGCTCCATCAGGGTTGCATTATGCCAGTGGGGCAGCATTTGCAGAGATGTTAAGGGAAGAGGAGGCGCGTGTGCAAGCCTGTGCATCAGAAAACGCAACATTATTAAAGGATGCTGGGGTAAGACCTACGGAACACATATAACAGTAATCGAGGTCCTAGTGCCCAATCCATAATATAAACAGTTGCTCATATAGACTATAGAATATTTTCCATTGATATCCTCGATTTCAATATGTTCTCAAAATTTAATGAACGGCGAGTTTTCAAATATTTCTAAAAACGAATGCTTCTGTAATTAACAACACTTAATTTTCCAGGAATTAATCCGTCAGAATTTACAGAAATGTTTGGGGATATTCAGGTTAAAGAGTTAGTCCCTGAGCTGCTCCTAAAAATGAAGTGTCATTGTCCACTCCACCACAAAAAAAGAACATACCGTTTGAAAGTACTGACTTCCTTTATAAAGAAAATATATTTTGTTTGGATTGTAACAGGGGCCCTTGCCTCTAATAAGAGTGACAAAAACTGAACTCAAATAAATAAATATCTATATCCCCATGTTGAGTCAATAATGCATATTCCCATGTTAAGTCAATACATCCTTGCTCGAATCCTCATTTTTAAGTGAAAGCCCGTTACCCGAAAAATGTAACACAACTCAGTGTAGAGCATGTTTGTAGGACCACAATGCAGTAGTTGTTTCTGTGGCAGACACTTGCTCAAGCAATTCCCTATCTAGATCAAGAGCTCTTAATTAAAAAATCAGCCCAGGAACTGAGGTATTCCCGAGTCCATTCAACGACATATGACCAATCGAGCATCAACATTATAATAAACTAAAATTGTCTTTAACCGAATGTTTTCAGGTTGAAGTTTTGAAGACGAGGACAGACTGGGGAAAGCCTGGGGAGGTTATTTGCCGGGTTGCTAAAGAGGAGAGTTGTGACATTGTCGTCATCGGGACACGTGGACAAGGGAAGCTGAGACGCACAATTTTGGGAAGTGTATCAGATTATGTAGTCCATCATTCTGAATGTCCAGTCGTTGTATGCAAACACCCACATGACAAGAAATGAACATTTTGACAGTATGAGTACTTGTGAAGAAACTATTGATAGTCAATTTGACATATAAAAGATGTTGTATGACTTGAGGGATATCATTTTTATCCATGGACGGATATCGATCATCTTCACGAGAGAGCGCAGCGAGAGAGTGGATAAAAATGGTAGCCTAAAAATCACAGAATGTATCTATCCTATAGATTTCAAAATAAAACTATGCACGTTTAAACAATCAAATCAATTAAAACGTACATTCAAGAAGGCAATATTTGAGAAATGACACCACCTGGCATTTGTTACAGACGCCGAACGCCGAACACCAATCACCCCCACAAAAAAGATGGAGACCATTACAACATGTCACTACTTGTGGTGGTGACATAAAACTCAAATATTTACTAAAGCTAAACAGGTGTTAGGGCAATGCAAAGTACGTGTAGTTCCATGGAAAGATTAAAATCATTTGCGAAAACTTTTTCAGGTGGTAAATTCAAAACTTATGAACTTATGAAAAATAGTATCCGCCGAATACTATTTTAGAAAAGCATGCCAAATTATTTTTTGTTGTCATCCCCATATAAATTTAGTATTCATAACATGAAAACGTTTCCGAAATATATCACTCGTATCTTATCTTCATACATTGTAAGGTTTTGACATGGTTGAAAGCCCATGGTTTTGACTACCAATATTAGGACCAAATACAACATATTATGGGGATGGTAATAAAATGCACGAAGACTCCCAGTAAAAAAAATTTGAAAGGTATTTCGCACTTTTCCTAAATGTTCGAATTCCCAAAAGTAAACTTTTACATAACAATTTATTTTAAAAACCGTTTTCAAATTAAAATTGTGCTCTAAGCTTTCTTGCCTCGTCGTAAGTTATAGCACTATATAATATGTAATACATATCCCTAAGAATAAGCATATAAAATTTGAACCAAATCCATCAACTGTGGCATTTACTTTATCGAAAATTACATTTTTATGAAAAATGGTGGCCATTTTTGATTGGGCGGCCATATTGAAAATTCCTTCTCAAGCAGATGCCCTAAAAGGCATAAGGTTGTGACATTTGAATCAAATCCGTCAACTGGAATTTAGATCATCGCCCGGTCACACGAACAAACGAACGAAAGGACGGAGAACTTTTTCTCTATAAGTGGGATAATTTAATTTGCACTCCAGACATAAAAGGCTTAAAACGTTGGATGGATGATGTATAAGATTATTTTGAAGGTAAATAAAACACAAATGAGTATGTTGACTAATGTCTATATATTCACGTATATATCGTTTTATGATTAAAGAGAATCACCACGTCCGTTGTCCACAAATAAACTTTAATTGTAATTTAAGAATGTGATCTGTGATAAGTGGCGCCGATCTCATCACAATTTGAACTGTGGATGAGGAGCTTTTGTTGTTCAACTCCCTACTAAAAACTGAACAAATCCTTATACTTATTAGTACCAAATAGAGAAATTGAATCAATTACTGGAAAACATGGACTTTCAAGAAACCCAATCTGAACGAACCTTTTAAGATTCAAAATGCACAAAACAGATCTTTACTTATTTGGACACAAATCACTCACCAAATAATAAATAGACAAACTATTTTCTACAATAAGCGCAAATGTATTATTGACACTTACTTATATAAATTAATGGCATTAATGCCAATTCATTTTTTTTTTGTATATCAGAAAATATGTTATTTGATCACTCAATTTTCAGAATTTCTCTATTCAATTTCTGGAAAAAGAATGATTCTCTGGAAAATGCTCATTCATTTTCCATTGTTTCCAAGTGTTCTTCTCGAATTCAAGCCTCTCCAGAAACTAGAGCCGCAGTAGTCTGTGAATTTTTGTGTTTGTGGATTCTATTGTAATTGTGTAAGTTGTGTATTGCAAGTGTTGCTTGGTGTGTAGTTGTTTCTTAGTAAATCTGTAATTGTGGTTTGGTCTGCATTATTGAATTCCTGTTTTGGCGGGTCATATTGTCTCATATTTCATAACGTGTATAACACATATAGTGTAAGATGGGGAATTTAGTTGATCACTATATCTCAGATAACCATCAGAGTTATTCAGCACATATACCAGTATACATGAATGAGCTGCAAACAGTCTCACCAAAAATAAGTCTGATGAAACTCAGTCTGATGAAAATGGAAAATGGCAGAGTATTTAAAATGTCAACCCAAATTATGCAATGTCATTTATAAAAAATATATATATTACAGTATCTACAATTTTCATAAATAATAAGTTTAATAGTTTAATCCCTGCAGGTCCAAATTGTCAATTTCATCTCTGAGATGGTCAATAAGATTATTAATTTCTGATACACGTTGCCTATTACGCTTCACTTCCTCATTGTCATGTACATCACGAATCATGTTACTCATGAACTGGTTGATGCGAGTAACTATATCATCTTCACGATTGTCTATTTTCAACAAATGTAAGTCATGTGATGTTTGGACGGCATTCACAATTGTATCTTTGTCTACACACAACTGGAAACAATGAATGACAGATTGTAATATTATCTACATGTAAAGAGCAAATATATAGCTTCCCGGTATAGTTTTAACCAAATGAAGACCTTTCTTCAAGCGGATTGATCAATTATTTATCAATGCAGAAAAAGATTGTAAGGATGATAAATGAAAGCACTATACAAGTTTAAAAATAGATTTACATGCAACATCAACTCAGAATGTGCTGAATCAGATATTCTTCTATTTGCCTACCTCTCTCAGTTCATCAGGAATGTCATCATCAAGTTCATTCTTCAAGACTTTCTCTAGTGTAATGATTGCAATCTCCATCATCCTCTCATGATGCATGTTCTCCAGGTCCCTGCACTGGGAGATTAATGCCTGGACATTCTCCAAGAACCCACTCACCATATCAGCCATATTGCGCTCAAAGTCTTTCACAGTTTCCTGAAAAATAAAAACATTATCATGTTTCAAAAACAATTTTATTATCTCAATTCTCTTTATTCTTTTAAAACAATATTGTTTTTTATTATCAACTTTTGTTTTCAAAACCGTAGTTTGAAGCTACATGTAATCTCAGTTTATTCTATATTTCCAAGTATTTTCAAACAATGCTGTTATGACAGCTGTGGTTGATTTTCAGTTTAATCTTTATCAGAGATTTTTCAAAAGTGAAAAACTGAATAATGAGTATCATACCAGAACTCTACTAAGAATACTTACCTCCAGTTGGTCAACTAGTTGCATCTCATAGCCCATGAGGGCGTCTTGGAGAATGGCCACTTTATCATTATACTCTGCAAACCTCTGTTCAGCTATGGACTGACCTTGCTCTCCCAGTTGTAACAGATCTAGGAATAGCTGGAATATGTGTAAGGAAATGGTTGGCTATCTAGTATATCTATGTTTATATTATTCATCTTGGGCTCATTCAGATGTGCTACAGTTTTGAACAAATAACTGATTATATTGGCTGTAAACTAAATTATGAACTTAAACGTTTCACTTTAAACTTTCTTCGTAGCAGTTTGGAGAGAGTCATTGCATCTGTCTTTAAAATCTAAGAATTCAGAGTCAAATTGGAATTGTTATCATGGTTAATGCACTTTGTTCTTACCTTTTTCTTGTAATCTATGAAGTCATTCACTTTCACCATGCCCATATTTTTATTTTCAGTTTTGGCTTCATTTATTGCTTTCCAAAATTCATCAATTTCTCCCACCCGCTTTTCATGCTCAATAAGGCCGAATTCAAATATTTGTTGACATATTTTAGAGAAGCTTTCCCTATAGACCACAAGCAGTTCATCCACACCAGGCATAGCTGAGAGTTTATTGCCCTCAATGTCATCTTGGTACATGCTGTCAAACATGTATGGACCATTCAGCTTTTCAACATAAGCTTTCTGAAAAAGAGGATGGCATTAATTGTTAGTTTTGATTGACAGTTCAACAGTCTCTAGTCAATAGATCAGCTAATGATGTTGAAGTAGGTAGAGAACAAAAATCTTTTTGGCAGGGATTTAAGTCACCTTAGTAATTGCGTAAGAATATTTTCTTGCATCAAATCAAGCTGATGTAAAAGTGTTGGAATTACTTTGTGTGTTTCAAATTCTTTTTCCTTTGCAAGTTGTTCATCCAGTTTCCTCTGTGCTGCCCTTTCATCATGAAGCATCTCTTCTATGGAAATCTGATATTTCTCATATGCAGAGTGTTTCTGGAATAAGACAAATAATATATAGGCTACTTAAGAGTAGATAGGCATCATTAAATCATTAAAATAAATAGATTTATATATCAATTCTCATTGGATAAGAACCAATCATGATTAAAAAGATATATGTGTATTCCCCTGTCACCAGCCAGAGACATAATAATATATGTTTTATATGTCTCTGCATCATCAGTCTTCATTATTTGGGACAATTAATATTTTCCCTATTTTTGTAATTTTTATCTTAAATAACGTCACCAATTTGAAACATATTGCGGATCTTTTGGGTGATATTGTATTTTGTATATATTACTTGCAGTTTTGTCACCCTTATCTGATTCTGCCTTTAAAAAAACAGACAAAAACAATATACATGTTTGGTATAACCATAGTAATATACTTTACATACATTACATAGAAGTCCAAATCCTTTTTGTTTAAAGTGTATACTTACAGATGCCTCATCCACAAGCCTGTAGTCCAGGTAGTCTATGTGGGGTAGGTAGGCCAGGACAAACACTTTGTAATCCTCAAGCTCACAGAAGGGGTTGCCATTCAAGTTTAATGTCTTACAATTTTTAAACCTTCTCAGATACGTTAGCTGAAATTCAAGACACATGAAGGTATGTCTTATCTTTTTGTGTTGTTAGATAGTTTTGATGGCACTATAACAAATTAAGCAATATTTTCACACAGGATTCTCTGTAGTGATTCCTCTTGTTCTCAAACTTTTGTTCTTGCCACAGGGTTTTTCTTATCCATATGGTGTTACAACAGGCTTTCTTAGCATTAGAAATTAATATCTAAGGGATATTACATTCACAGGGTGGGTGAAAAACATGCACCTGAGTTAAATGTCTCGATAATAATATGTACTGTAATGCAATTTAGGAAACAACCAGATAGTATTCAAATCAAAGGCCTCTAGAGTAGCAATGGAAGCAACTCACATTTTCAAGATCTTTTAGGTCATTATTGCCGATGGAGAGTACATGGAGATCTACTAGGGAATCCATGTTCTCTATGCGAGCTATTCTGTTGTTGTAGAGTGTCAGATCTGTCAGTTTTGTAAGTTTATCAAGTCCTTCTATCACCTCTATGTTATTGAAAGACAGATCTGAAATACAAACAGATACTACTATTTTACAGTTGTAAGTGAATGTATGTGCGCATCTTTTACTTGGAATACAAACTTTGTATTTAAGTGAATGTGCATGTGCATCTTTCACATGGAATATTCCTTGCTGGTTAGTGGGACATATAATCCAAAAAATAGATTTCGAATGAAACTTCTATGGAATAATATTCCTCACAGCTTTAACTTTAAGCAATGAGGCTATTAAATGATAACACTTGATCATAATAGACATCATAACAGTGTATTGCACTCTTTCATTTAAAATTTTAATAGATTAACAGAAGATTAAGTAATATTTTTACACTAGTGGGAAATAAAAGTAGCAGTTAAGAAAATTATATATTTATTTCTGTATATCCTGTGATTTGTGCTTGAGTTTACTTATATTTCTTATTCTTGTTTTGAATCTCTAAGTAAAGTTATATTAGTTCTTGAAATAGTATCACCTATAAGCATTTATACGTACTTCCACCAAATATGTGTAGGATATCCTATGATTTTAAGTGATATCATTTTTATCAGTGAGTTGATATCAATATCTGATCAACATCTCTTTGATATCAATATCTGCACTCATTCACTATGATCATTGTTCAGATATCGATATCAATGAGTAGATGAAAATGATATCACAAAATCTCATAGGATGTTCTATTTATCGCATACATGTAGTTCACTTAAAAAAACTAAACCAAACATTTCAAAACACCATTCATTTGTTCATTCATCATGTGACATCATGAAATTATCACGTTATAATTTTACAGATTTGACTTCAAGTATGGGATAAAACATAATAATTTTTCTGATATTTCATTATTGATCAGATGAACAAAAGGATGATAAAAAGATTTCATTACAGAAAACCCACAGAAGAGTAGGTTATCCATTTGCACTACCCAAAATAGCTCATGTTAGTATATTAAGGAATATACATTAAGTTTGTGTAAACCAAAACACAATACTACATGTTGAGTTATTCCTTACCTAACCAGGTTAGGTTCACCAAGACATCAAGACCTTCTATCCTCTCTATTATGTTATTGTCCAGTTGGAGCTTTGTCAGACAGGTAAAACACCACATGTTGTCAATCTTTAGGATATCTAAATAGCAAATAAAAGTGTTTAATGCAATTTTAATAACTTCAATTTGAAAAAGGTATTTGAACTTGTGATAACTTTATTTGCACAATTTGAATCGAAATATGCCTTTTGTATTAAAGCCCGGTATGAAGTTTGAAAATATGTTTATATCATTCATATTTTTATGACTAAAAGTTATTTGAGAGATTTTTGAAAAAAGATTCTTTGGAAGAAAAAGTTGTCAGCTTTTTATTTTTCAAATATTCAAATTTCCCGCCCTTTTTCAAATAAAAGTTGAAATTTTTTAACCATCAAATATTCCACTATCAAGTGCAAATTAAAACACATTATCTTTTTAACACCATTGCGAAGATTGAGCAGAGGACATACTACTTTAATGTCCCCATTTTTGCACTTTTGAATCTTAAAGGTAGTATCAGATCTAGAGACCATCCTCAACAAAAATTTGTTTATTTTTGGGATATTTTTGGCTCATATCATCCCATGTCTTGTCTATTTTTCAAATGTGTGAAGAGTGGATTCACCGGCAGTGACGTCATTTTTAGTGAATACCACTATTTATTGAAATTAAAATGACATCACATCACTTAATTCCCTGGAATGTGTACTTTTAACTTTAATATTGAGTACCACTTTAATGAGGAAATAATAAAACAAATATTGAATTTCTATGATCATTTAATATCTGTATATATTTCTGAGGGGTGTATTCACCTCGCCCTTCGGGCTGTGGTGAATACACTTTCAAAAATATATACAGGTATTCAACTCCACAGAATTCAATATTTGTATAATAATGTACCGGTAATCATTTTCCTTTAAATGCGGTTACCACGGGAAATTTAAACATTTTTCTCCAATATCATTTTCCCCATTTTTGCACTTTGAAATTTAAACAACTTCACTAATTGATAACATATTGTAGATCTTTTGGGAGATACTATATTTGAGATTGTAAGGAATATGTTGGTTGGTAAATTGTACATGTTGCTTGCAATTTTGTTTCCCCTTTAGATCTGATTCTGCCTTTAAATATCTTCACCAGTATCTTATACTCACTTTTAAAATCAAGACGTAATTGTGTAACCTCTGCGAAATCGATGCCTTCTGCCTTGGCAAGGCGACCTGCTTCATCTTTAGGACCTTGCTCTTCAACAGCTTTTTGGAGCATTTCTTCATCAACTACAGATGGCTCCACTGTATCATAGAGACGACTCATGATCCCCTAAAAATGATAATCAATATGATAATATTTGATCAATTTCATTTCTTGATTTCATCACCGCAGGAGGCTTAGTTTACATATGTCATTTCTCATAGACTGAGGTATTTGTTTCAATTTGGGGTATCTTCGACATATGGATTAACTTTGACACTAGCCATATGGTATTTTTCTTGCATGGATCGAGATCTCATGAGATTTTTATTTTTTCCGAAATCAAAAATGGTGGAAAACAATTACCACAATCAGGAGTCATGACAGACCTTGCAATTATTGTCACTGTCATATCAGGCTTCAACATTACCACAGTCATGACAGGCCTTGCAATATAATATAGCATTGTCACGGTTGTGCCAGGCATAAGTCTTGCAACAGATAGCATATTGTTTTGATGAGATTTAAAAATAACTGAGGTTTAATTCGATGTTCAGATTACATGTTGGGTTAGTTTGTAATATATGTTTGTCTTTGGGTTGTTCACACGTATGCTTAAAACAATTTCAAATCTAGAGGATAAAATGCCCAGACATTTTTTCTACACCGTTCAAATGTGACATTAAATCTTATGACCCTGTGCAGGCTGAAAAGGTTCATATAATAAATAGTCGGTTGATACCTTTTTGGGGTACCCGGTTATTTAACAGGGTATCCATCTTGAACCCAGCATGGAGGATTTAGTATCTGGTACCCTGTATCCGTTTTTCTACAAACCCATCAACAGTGATGTGTAACATTTATATTGTTTATTAGTTTTAGTTGCTGATTGGGCAATATGTCACTGGTGTCATGTTCTGCCCTGTCAACCATCACACATTAGGTGTGATTGTCAGGCATTTGCTGGAAATATTGAAATCACGCATCAACTTTGTGTGTATGATAAAATGTCACGCAAATCACACATTATGTTGATATTTAAAATAATCTGCTTTTTATAAAACACTGAAATGGTAAAAAAAACGAATGCCGAAAAAAAAGAATACATTCCGTTCACCAAGGTGTTCACAATTTGAAGGAAGTTGTTCAACATTTGTAAGTCACTGACGTTAGTAGTTCAACGTTGTTAAACTCAATAACGGCTTTCTTTACGATTCGAATTATCTTGGCCGTTATTGAGTTTAACCTCCTTACTATTCTTTCCTTAGTTGCAAGTTCTGGATTCATCAAAACCACTTTTCCTGGATAATATGCAACTGATACTTGACAATTATACAAAAACCCACAACATCAAGCAATTTAACACAATATTATTGTGTTAAATGTTCATTTATACTAGTAAAATGAGACTACACTGTCATTGTGTCTGTTCATCCCCGCTAAAATTAAACCATAGCGAAACCAAATTGTTGTCAAATAGATTGATAATTATTATCACAATTACTCAGGATAATGAGATCAATTTGGAGGATAACAGGTATCTTTGATCGATTTATATAGCGCATGTATACATGCAAAATAGTTATTTATTGCAAACCTACTGTTTGTTAATGCAGAGCCGCAATGATGGTTAACATCTGATACGATTTGCAATTTCGATGTTACCAGAACTGGCCGACATTTTTGTTAATTCCAAACCTGTCTCCAATATTTTCGTCATTATGCATCAATAAGATCTTAGGGGGATACGGGATGGTCTATATTCATTCACAAGGTATGTACGCATGCTTCGATCACATTCTTTATGTAATATTACCATGTTTTCAGGGTTAAATTAGTTAACTTTATGCGCTTATAATGCCAAAATGATGATGGAGGTTAGACCTAGCTGGGGCTAAGACATGTCAAATAAGAAACGAGGCCCCACGGGATAGGTCAAATGTTGTTGGTAGGTGTTCCCAAGTTGACAGACCTGCATATTTGATGTGATGCGTCATATCTTAGAAAACATGTACCTATAGGCTAGTAGATCTAGCAATTTCTTAAAAAATGTTTTCGCTCCGACGATCTGTGTATGAATGAAATTGTTATGGCCAGAGTTGTGCCACATGGAGTAAGTCACCCCTCCCCCTCTCTAGTATTTTCTATATTCCTATTAATATAGGCTAGCTAGCTGGCTTGGTGGCTTGTATATTTAGTATATCTAGCCATACAGATTAGGCTAGGGTGACTTAGCTTAGGCCTATAGGCTAACTCAAGTCACTGATCTACTGTACTCCCGATGAGTTGTGCCATATGTGTAGTTATTATTTGTACATGTATCCAACAACAGACGGGCCAATATACAGCAAAACTAAACTTACCTAAAAATTCAAAAACGTATATATGCAAAGTTGATCAAACCTAAGAATAGGCCTGGATATAATTTTTTTTACAAATTTCAAAATTCATCCAATATGGCGCTTGTTGCTGTGGTAACGACGCTCTCGTACTGACAGAGTTTGAGTGAAAATTCCAAGAAACTGATTAAAAGGCAAAAATATTAATTTTTATTAATAAATTGACTAATCAAAGCTATTATATTATATTAGTATTGAATGTTCATATATAAAATTACAAAACTTGACAATGACGTCATTTATTTTTATTCTACTTCCGGTTTTGAAAAATGTCGTTCTTCAGAGATCATTTGGGTGGAAATCCCTTTTCTACCCCTGTGGGTCAATTGATTGGTGAGTTAACACATTGCATATGCATGAGCATTTCCCAGCGCGATTGCTTCTCTCATATTTGGCCTGAAATATTATATTGAAGGCATAAATATGATTACGTTTCAAAATAATGACCAGGAAGACAGAGCTGGCATTTTAAAAGTCATCTTTGTTTACATTCTACAATGTGTAGATATACTCAATTTTATTCATTTTCATTAGGGTAAACGTTGATTCAAAGTTACGATACACTTACATGATGGTGAATTGGGTTTCCTAACACGCTTATTTGGAAGTCAGTCATAATTTCTTCCTCGAAAATCATTGTTATATACAGTGCTGCTATATATTAATTGATATGTCGTTTATTGGCATATTTTCTTGAATTTAACATTTAATGTCCAAAACTCCCACAAACTGCAGAAAAGTATACACCATAAATCATATTCACCAAAATGAGTGTCTCTAAGGCTTCACACCAGCGTATGCATTTGTCACGAGTTTGAGCTGAACTTTCGCCAAAATGAAGTAGGTTAAGGGTAGTCTCTGCCAGGTTTGTTTATTGTGGTAAGCTTGTAAGTGCTCAGAAGCAAATAATTCATGTGCGCAAAATAATCAAATGATCTGATTTGTTTAAACTTTGCAGCACATGCGCACAATGTGTGCCATGTTTTTTTTCTAGTGATTTCGTTTTGTTTCATGGAGTTTGCATTTCAGTGTAACTTCCGCAAAAAATGACGGACCATGGACAGAATTAACAGGTAAAATCACTTCGAAATTTCAAGAGAACTTTTTACCTTTAGTAGCAAAACTTTTGTTTTATTTGTGCATTCTATCTATCAGATAAGAGTCTCAGGGGTATGTAGGCAAATTCGTTTTGGTTGTAGGACCTCTGCTTGAGAAGGAATTCTCAATATGGCCACTCAATTCAAAATGGCCACCATTTCTTGTAAAAAATGTTATCTTTGATAACTCAAATGCTAGTTAACGGATTTGGTTCAAATTTTATATGCTGATGCCTAGGGACAAAGGAGCTTTGCCCAACCACTGAATTTAAAATGACTTTCATTTTTTGTAAAAAGATTTAATCTTTGATTACTCAAAACCAATAGACTAAGTTCAGATTTTATATGCTGATACCTTGGAACAAGCAAGCTCCATTCTGATACTCTCACATCTTTCTGTCTTCAACCAGAAGTATGCTCTGATTTAGTTGGTTACAATTCTGATATCGACAAATGGGAGGGTACAACATTTTAAGCATGATGATTATCCATTATTTAGGCGCCATTATTTATGGCCCTTTAATGTTGACACATTGAAAGTGTTACATAATATTGTATTGTCACTTTGTTAGTGTCTCAAGTGGTATCAACCCATTTAGTTTTATGACCCCAATTAGGGTAAGATAAGGATGTCCATCAAGATGTTCAGTCTCTAAAATGAATCTCTCACTGGTCAAATAATTGATTTGATTGGCCCTCAGCATTTTCAAGAAAACTGTACGGGCCTAGATCGAAGGTAGGCTCCAACTGTCTCATGGCATACTAGTGCGAAGCTAATAGAAGGCCCTGATTTCTCATGATGCGGGAGCTCTGTTCAAAAATACATTTTCCAGATTGCTATCAAAGGTACCGTCCCAACAGACCTCCTTTTCTGCCCCCATCAGAATCAAACTTATTTTGCAAATAGTTTTTATTTATCTTATTTATCCTAACTTTTGTATATTTTAGTTTGTTTTGTAGTTTAGCTATCATATCTGTGTCCCCTTATATTTTGATACTTCTCTGCCATGTTATTTTTGGAAAAATTAACATGGCTGAAACTCCCTAAATTACAAAAGGATACAGCTTTGCTGCACATTATGCATTACTATCTGAAATATACAAAAGTTAGGATAAATATAAATGTTTTTATTTTTACATAAACTGTTTCAATATGGTCATTTGATTGCTTATTTTTTAAATTCAAAGTAGTCACAAACATTTCTGTTTTGACTGTATATATTCTGATGCCTAGAGTTAAGGAAGCCCTGCTCAAGAAGACATTTTTAAGATAGTACGTAATTGAATTTCAAAATGGCTGGCATTTCTTGTAAAAAACGTAATCTTTGATAACTCATATACCAGTGAGTGGACGGATTTCTTTGAAATTTTATATACTGATTCCCATGGACAAAAGAACTCTGCTTGAAAAGAAATTTTCAAGATGATAGCTGAATATCAAAACGCCATTTTTTGCAAAAAATGTAATCTTTGATAACTAATATACCTAGGAAAGGGGAGGTCTGTTCAAGAAAATTTTCCAAGATGGCTGCTATTTATCAAGACATGTTTTGTTCGGTGAGATTTGCTACTCCGTGGAGTTGCTGTTTTGTAGTTCAAAATAATTTAATTATGAAGACCAGGCTGGTTTATGTTTTATTTTTACATGAGAGAAGACAAGAAGAAACAACAATGCCATATTATGCCTTAATGCCTTAGGAATTTAAGTAATAAATATCACTGTTTCAATTATATTTCACATACGAGGGTATATCATAAAGTTCTCATAATATCTCTCTAATTTTTTTATTTTTCAATATATTCTGATGAATTTTTCACAGAATGTGTAGTATACAATGCTGCATTAATCTATCAAAACATATTTGGTATAACAGAACTATTATTTATAAAATGGTTGCCATAGTAACCGGAAATCAAGGCACCCGGGGCAAATAAAGAATTGTGCAAGAATAGCCACAACTAACCATGTTTAAATGCATAATAAGTTATCAAATAAGCTATGTAACACACCAAATTGTTAAACACCATGTATTCTTGACTGTTTTGAACTATTATAATGGTCATGTGAATTTTGTGATCTCATAATCATAATTCTCAATACTGAACTAAAACTAATAGAGGAGTGGCTTATCACTAATAAATTATCCCTTAATGCGGATAAAACAAAATATATTATTTTCACCTCAAGTCAAAAAAGATATAATGCAAATAACATGTAAAATATGACATTGACCACTTCTTTATCAATTGTGGCTGTATTAAATCAATTTGGGATGATGTGAATGTTACAAATGATCAAAGAATTGGAAATGCAATTGTTAAAAAAGAAGATTTACTTAAAACGTTGGTAATTAAAAAAGCTATACATGATTTTAAAAAAAGGGTCAATACAGCTAGTAATGTAAAAGCTATTTTTGATAATGAAATAATGATCAGAAAGATGTAATGTAACTTGAAATTTCTATAATTGTATTTTATCTTATTGTATGCATGTAATGTAAAATATGTTTATTAATAAAGTTTGATTTTATAAAAAAAAAAGATAATAATGCAAATAACATAAACATCTATCTTAATAAAAAGAAGCTTCAGCAGGTTGATAGCATTAATTTTCTTGGCATTACAATTGATCAAAACTTAAACTGGAAACGTCATATTATGTCCGTTAATGCTAAAATCTCCAGAACCATTGGTATTCTATATAGGGTCAAACAACTGTTAAATGATAAGGCATTCTTGAGCATCTATTATTCCCTTATTTACTCTTATTTGATATATGGCAATCTTATCTGGGGTGAAGCAGGTAGTGGTTTGTTAAACTCCCTTCATATTTTGCAGAAAAAATTTACACGTATTGCAACAAACAGTAACTACAGAGCACATTCCCTTCCCCTATTCAAACAACTGAACATTTTGAATATATTTGATATTAATAAGCAGTTGAAATGCATCTTCATGTACAAATGGATTAATAAACTCCATAATTATCATAAAATATTTCCAAAACTCTTCAGTACCATCCAAGAAAGACATGCTTACAACACCCGAAATAGGGTAAACTATGACAAACCCAAAATTCGAACAAATTATGGTAAAGCCTTGATATCTTTTACTGCACCATCAATTTGGAATTCATTACCTATTGAAATAACATCATCTGGAAGTATTTTTATTATGAAAAAAGAATTGAAAAAATATTTTATCAATCAATAATATCAATTTCAGATAACCATAGTGGGCATTATATGACACATTCTTAGTCAGACAAAGATAGTAGCATTCATCACACAAGCAGATCCCCAATCTGTACATTTCATGATTATAAACACGGGAATATACACGAGAAGTGTCACCCGTTTACTGTACATTTGATGTTGAAATATATATGAATAAATAAATAAATAAATAAAAAAATAAAATAAAAAAAAATAATGGATGATTGTAATGTCTCATTAGAAGTGATGTTAGACACTACAACTGTTTTGTCAATTATTCCTCGATTCCACTTCAGTTCATCTTAAATAAATAATAGACCACGCATAGGGTGTAATTTTGTTGATATCTTTGCAACATATTTGTTTTAGATCATCTTTAGTACAATGTAGTATGAGCAAAGGATTTTTCGAACTAAACTAAATTTTTTATCAGTATGAATATTATTTTTCTGATGACCCCTGCATCTATGCATTATCTAACTCAGTCATTTCTGATAATTATCCCAACGAACAAAGTTCGGTAGGGATATAGTGAAGCCCTCCGTCCGTCCGTCAGTCCGTCAGTCTGTCAGTCCGTCCGTCCGTCCGTCCGTCCGTCCGGAAGATAACTCAAATATTAGTAGACGGATTTTCTTCATATTTGGTGGAAAGATGGATATTGATGAAAAGTTTTATGCAAAAAAAATTTTCTTCAAGATGGCCGCCGCTTTAAAAATGACGGGATTTTTTCGCAAAAATCATAAATTTTTCATTCTAAACCAAAGTAATTAATATTATTGTTTGAAATTTTGGTAGTATATTCGCAACATCTATCTATTTCACATGTATTCAGTGTTTTTCATCCTGACCCCCAGGGGCCGTATATGGGGGGTAAGGAAAACAGAAATTTTCGCTAACTTTTAGATCTTTCTGAAGTATAGCTTTATTATACTCAAATGAAAGGCAATTAAGAGTAGATTGCAAATATTGTATCTTTTTTCTGATTCGAGCCTCTTATAATTCAAAATGGCTTTCTAATGTACGATTTCGCAATGATTTTTCGATCCCTAGTTCAAAGTATGGCTATATAATACTCAAATTGAAGGAATTTTGGAGCAGATAACAATTATGGTATTATTTTTCAGATTTGTACCTCAGAAAATTCAAAATGGATTTTTTCAAGATGGCCGCTGCTTTAAAAATGACGGGACTTTTTCGCAAAAATCATAAATTTTCCATTCTAAACCAAAGTAATTAATATTATTGTTTGAAATTTTGGTAGTATATTCGCAACATCTATCTATTTCACATATATTCCGTGTTTTTCATCCTGACCCCCAGGGGCCGTGTATGGGGGGTCAGGAAAACAGAAATTTTCGCTAATTTGTAGATCTTTCTGAAGTATAGGTTTATTATACTCAAATGATTGCAAATATTGTATCTTTTTTCTGATTCGAGCCTCGTAAAATTCAAAATGGCCGTCTAATGTACGATTTCGCAATAATTTTTCGATCCCTTCAACGTATGGCTATATAATACTCAAATTGAAGGAATTTTGGAGTAGATCACTATTATGGTATTATTTTTCAGATTTGTACCTCAGAAAATTCAAAATGGCTGCTTTGCAGGAATTTGCAATTCTAAAATCTAAATTTTTCAATTTTAACCAAAGTAATGAGTATAATTGATTGGAATTCGGTAATTGATATTTTGTTCGTTGGGATTTGCTACTCCGCGGAGTTGCCATTATCTAGTTAAGCTTTGGTTCTCAGAGTCTGGTATCACATCTAATGAAGCATGTAAGCATCCCCTATGACATCACACAATTCACATGATCAATTTATTTTATAGTAAAAGCATTTAACAACATATTCAATATAACATTTTAATGTGTTTGATAATTTATGAGAGTTTTTATGTATGTAAACAAGGTTAATAAAGCTCATTATATCTCAATTATTTTTATTTGCCCCGGGTGCCTTGATTTCCGGTTACTATGGCAACCATTACTTATCTAATATTTCTATTATACCAAATATTTCTTGATAGATTAATACAGCATTCTATATGAAAATTTCATGAGAATATGATGAAAAATAAAAAAACTAGAGAGATATTATGAGAACTTTATGATATACCCTCGTATATTCCGTGTTTTTATATGAAATACTGTGTTATGACAAATGCTTTTATACTTGAAAGATCCTGGGAAATGACAGTTCATCCTCACATGAGATAGGAGATAGGGTCTTGGTGCAATGGGAGCTTATTCCACCCATTCTTTTAAAGCAGTTTAATTCACTCAGCTGATTTCTGTTGATTTCCAGACCAAGCTACAGATGCTTCCCTTGCCTCTGAGAACTGGGCATTGAACATGGAGATATGTGACATCATCAATGAAACTGAAGATGGGTAAGAGTAATCTTGAATTGTACTTAAAGCATGATCAGACTGTATATGATTGCATTTGCTTCCCAGTAATGAACTGTTTAGATAAATGATCAGTTATTTTTTGAATTACAACTAGATTTTTAATATTAAGATACCGTATTTTCTCTAATGAGCGTACAGTTCCACATACGACTTTTATGATGAATATGGCTCAAGAAAACACAAAATTTAATGCATTTATTTTCATTATTTATACAACAAGATATGGATTGATGATTATATTTAAGACAAAGAAATACATGAGCTGTAGAGTATGTAAACTCTGTAGTGTCAAAGTCTCTCTTCCTTTCTCTTCCTTATGCTTGCGGGACTCTGATTTATTATAAGACAAAACATATTCCTGTATCTTTTTTTCAAAATCATCTTCAAGTTATCAGAAGTTCAAATCTGACTTTAGATTTGAGATTTGACCTTCTCAAGGTAAAAAAATGTCAAAAAGGTCTTTTTTCAAGTTGCTTCAAATTGACCAATTTTTTTTTCAAAATCATCAAGTTCTCAAATGTTCAAATCTGACTATGTAGATTTGACCTTCAATGACATTCTCAAGGTCAAAACAGATTTGACCTTCAATGATCTTCTCAAGGTCAAAAAGGTCTTTTTTCAACTTGCTTCTAATTGACCAATTTCTTTTTACAAAATCATCTACAAGTTCTCAGAAGTTCAAATCTAACTTTAGATTTGAGATTTGACCCTTAATGTCCATCTCAAGGTTAAAAAGGTCTTTTTCAACTTGCTTCAAATTGACCAATTTTTTTTCAAAATCTTCTACAAGTTTTCAGGAATTCAAATCTGATTTAAGATTGAATTACTAATATTGTGAGCAACTAGGTGATGACATTTTGTCATGGTAATGCCTTGTTTTCCCATAGCCATGATTCCAAGGAATAGTACATTTTTTGGGACACCCAATGTTAATATATTTTCATATAACATTGAATTTCTAAATAGATATGTAGGTTTTCCCTGTTTCATGCAACATTTTCATGAAATATGCATCTGAGTACATGTACTATACCTGTTCTTACACATTTATAATATATTTGAGGATATATCCAATACTATACATCTTAACCACAGTGATAAACACAGTGCTTTGCAATATGAAAGTGAATGAGGTCAAGTTGATATCTTCAGAGTCATTGAGATTCCAGAGATGTTAGATTATTCATATACGAGGTGAGGTGAGGGGGTGTTTTCTTGCACAGTTTGGATTTTACCAGGATGTAAAAAAGTATCTATGGCCTTATGTGCACTTATATTGCTCAATAAGATGTTCTGGTTTGACCAATTCCTGACCTGGAATTTGCCATTAATGTTGATATCACACATATATCTATATTCATTGCTAGTCATACACTTGTTTCATCATGATTATAGGATTAAATGTTGAACATTCTGCTATCCTGAATGTAAATCATTGCACTTTCAGACCCAAAGATGGCATCAAGGCTATCAGGAAGAAGTTGACAATGAATGCTGGAAAAAACTACTCTGTTGTTATGTATACATTAACAGTAAGTACTTCTGACTATATTGATAGTGTTAATGTAAAATAAGGTTTACTGCTTATATAATTCTGTTACTGGAGTTACTTTACAATAGATAATGCAGTCAAGCTGCAATAGAATTAGGTAGAACTCTCCTTACATTTTGTACCATTGAGATGCATGTTAAATTGGCAAAGTTCAAATTAGAATTTCTCAAATTGCAGCCCATCGATTTTCAAAGTTCTGCTCTCTTACATAGTTAGAGTACCAAAACGTCATCATATCTATGTACATTGACCAATTCACCACTGCCAATCTCATCCATCCGAAAAAAATAATCCCAAATATTTTACCGTTCACTGTGTTATGATCACATGTTTCCCAGTTATTCTGTTGTGATTACTAAGGAACCAATAAACCAAAGCTATATTTTGTATATGACGTTACTAATCACGTGGGGGCCAATTTGATTGATCCAACTCTACGTTGGGCTTACAATGGAGCAAACCACATTTTTGTAGCTGCAAGCTGAGAAAAGCCATTTCAGTTGTCCTTTAAGATTAATAAGAGATCAATTGTTTCTGATAATTTTTTCTGTACTCCGGTACGGGAATATGTACGAATATATCGATTGAAAAATAGGTGTAAAAATCTCCATGTTAAAGGTGCAACAATTAGCGCAGAGGTGCTATTCAACGATCATTGACCAGTGTCAAAATATATTGAAGTTTGGATACTTCATCAAGACTAACATTTATTTTTATTATCTACATAGAAACCCCCTGGATGAACATTCCTCTGCGAACTGCATCATGGGAAATACTATGACCTTCTAAGGAAAATCTTTCGTGTCTCCTGTTTTGAAGAGTGAACCTTGCATTGAAAAAAAATACCCAGTCTCTCAAAGAGCCTGTCACATAAATATTGTCATCAAATTTCAGGAAAACGTGTGGCCATTTTGAATTTTGAATTAAGGAATTTATTACATTTTCTTTCTGTATCACTGTGTTCACATTTAATGCAATATCTTACTGCACTAAATACAACACATATGTGCCACTTGATGTACCCAGGTCTTAGTTTATAAGGAATATGCATTTACATGCAATAATGCTGTACATTGTTATTTTAATGATTTCTAAAATTCAAACATTTCCATTTAATATCTGAAAAGTTGTGGTGGTGACTTTAAATATCATAAGAAGATAGCCATAGAAATGAATCAATGGAAGTCATTATAAAATTATGATGAGAAATAAATCATATGCTAATTCATGATTCAACCTCACCATGAGTTGATGTTGTTACTGAAAAGATTCAAAACATATAAATAAGCTAAGCCATATTTTTCTATTTTTTGAAGTTTTCTCTCAAATGATTTATTCCATTATGCTTCATAAACATATGTTTTGACAATATTCATATATGTTGTTGTTTATGCAGTTGTTTGTGATCACAGTGGCCTAATTTGCATATATTTTCTGTAAGGTTGTCTTATGCTGATGAATCAGAAATATGAATTAAAGGTTGACATCAGAAATACTTTCATAATTCAACCTATTCACAATGAAGCTTCAAAGTACATTTAATTATAAAAAGATAAAAGTACATGTAAACAAGAATCAGTTTTGAAGTAATTTGCGAATACATGTATTTGTTCTCTGAAGTTTCATCCTCATGTATGGGGCATGCCACAAACCTCATCATTCAAATTCTTTCATATCTCATGTATAGGGGTTTTAACTTTATCATCCCAAAGTTTAGTGGGAAAGTGTGAAGCCATCCTCCTGTCCTTCCATTTGCAGCCTGTCTGTCTGTCCAGAAAATACTGGTTGATAGATTTTCTGCAACATTGGATCCCTAACCTTGTGCATTGTGTTAATCTAACATATTCTTACCTGCTATTTGCTGTTCAAACCTCATATTTATTGAGATTTGTTATCTCACATTTGAAATTATTTCCTTTGAATGAACATTTTATTGTATATGCCTCTGTTCATTATATTACTCTTTTTTTGTTTATGGTATGTTTTTTCTGTCACCACCAGAAGTTGATGAGATATTGTTATAGTCTCCAACTTTTTGTGGATGGTGTTGGGTGTTAGGTGATCAGCATTCAGGGTCTGTAGCAAATGGTAGGTGGTGGCATTTTCTATGTTAACTTCTTGACTACCTGGAGTGACAAGAAAAAATAACCTTAGAAATGACCTTGAAACCCAGAGTGACGAGAAAATTTGTCCCAAATTTTTTCACTAAAATTGCTCTTATTTGAACAATTTTCATCCAATTTAAACAAAATTGTTTTAAAATGTGTATAAATGACCCCTGCCCTTACTAGGTTGAGCATCTAAATTTGTATAGCTATCCAGTAAAACATTCTCTGGTTTCAACTGATTTTAGAGCCTGGGATTCAAGAGGTTAATGGCCTGTATTTTTTGTTTCAGGTCCTTGAAACTTGTGTGAAGAACTGCGGCAGAAGATTTCATGTACATGTAGCAAACAAAGACTTTTTACATGAATTGATTAAGATAATTGGCCCAAAGAATGACCCACCACAAGTTGTCCAAGAGAAAATACTAAGTCTAATACAGGTATGTGCCAATAGCAGAACTATATGTGAGTTCAGTAGTTTAATACAGGTATATGTGTGTGTGTAGTCTTGTATATAGATGAATAAATAGGTCAGGTAAGTGCCAATAGCAGAATTATATGTGAGTAATTTAATGTAGGTATGTGTGTGTGTGTGTAGTCTTGTATATAGGTGAATAAATAGCATTTTGATACCAAGGAATATAGTTGGGATATAGAAAAGCTGTCTATTTGTCTGTCCATCCATCTGTCCATTTCTTCTTTCATTTCTTTATCTTTCTGTATGTCTGTCTGGATGACATCTTAATACAAGTGAGTTGATGGATCAAGTTTAAAATATGCTGATATTATTGGCATAGAACTTCTAGTCAAAAAGCAAATTCCAATATGGCTGCTCAGTTCAAAGTTGTCTCCATTTTTGTGAAAAAATCTTTGATGACTCAAACACTGTCATGTGTCAGATTTGGTAAAAATTTGATGCGCTATTTAGTATTTATATTAGATTTGGTCCAAATTTTGAGGTTGATCAGGAGTAGCCAGCTTTCAGTCAGTGGGATGCGTTCACCAAAAAAAAATTCGGTTTTTGGTCAGGGGGGATGTGCGATCAAGAAATAAGCAACCCCCCAAATTTTTTTTTATTTCTTTTGAATTTAACAAAACTTGATGCAACATCCTTGAAAATTGGGCTAGAAGCTTCAAACAAAAGGTAGTCAATACTACTGCCTGGTTATTTCCATTTTAATATGTTCAAAATAAACAGTGATTTTATAGAAAATCTGGAATTTGATGGGATGTTCTATTCTGGGGAGTTCCTGTTTTTCTTGTCCAAACTTTGCGTTTACTCAAGTGAAATTTTTTGAAGTTCCATCAATTCTGATAATGACATCTTGTCATTTTGACAACAATTCGTTCCTGTATACTATCTAGTAGCATTGCATATGCAAATTTGCAACCATTTTAAAAAAGCTCCTGTTATGATTATCTGATTGTTCTTTTAGACATGGGCAGATGCATTCCGAGGTTCCCCCGAATTAAAAGAAGTAGAAAAACAGTACCTTGATTTGAAACAAAAAGGAATAGAGTTCCCCATGACAGATCTGGACACACTTGCACCCATACATACACCTGCAAAGGTAAGATGGTCTTAGTTTACCTTGTCCAGTAAACATTGCTCTGACATTAGAAAGAATGAATTAACTAGTTTAGCATGTGAGAAACCCCAGTCTCAAAGTACTGTCAAGGCATCATAAAAGGATTGATATCAACTTTACTTTTGGTTTGTTTTCACCTTACTAATTTTTGATTATACAGTATCAGTATATCAAAAATATTGATTGAGGACTTCACATTTGTCCTGGTGTGAATATTGTTGATTTGACATTGGAAATCACAATGCTTATATGGCCAATGTCAAGATGTTATGTTTATTGCCACATGTAATTAATTACTTATTGGACAATAATGAAGTATTGGCTTGACTCTGACCATGTTGCATTGTTGTATATAGAGTGCCCCAGATGTAGAGCCCACAGTACCAGCTGCCCACACACCCACCAGAACACCCAGTGCCACAACAAGAGCTGTAAGTACAAAACTAAGCTAGCATTTGTAAATTCAACTGCTGGCTGCCAGATTAATATATTCAATTGCATAAATCAAATCCGTCATTTTGAAGTCCAAATAACGAACATAGATCACATGACTTATTTAGGTCAGCGATTCAGCGATTTGACACGATAGCTTACAGCTACCTGGATTCACTGCAGGTACTTTTCATATTTAAATCAATGGCAGCATGCAGTTTCATTTGCGAATGCTACCTAATAAAACTATAAGTGCATAGTCCTCTTTGGCTTACATGTAAAATGAAAGAAAGCTGTATGTTACAGTAATTTCTACCTTATGAAGGAATTTTTCTGATGGCTTGAAATGTGATACAAATTGTCATTGTACCTAAGTTTTTATTATTATCCCATCGAACGAAGTTTGGAGGGATATAGGGAACACCTTCGTACCTACGTCCATCCGTCCGGATATGACAAATAAATAAAATCAATTATAATCTACAGGATCAATCTATAATCTACAATTCCAGAAAAATCACTTCATGGATTTGCTTCAAATTTTCACACATGTTACATGGTAAGAAGTTATAGAGCTGATTAACTTTTCAGCGGCCATCTTGCATTCTGGTGGCCATTTTTGAAGTTTTTAGATAAATCTTGCCATATCAATTCCAGGAAAATCACTTTATTGATTTACTTCAAAGTTTTACACATGTTACATGGTAAGAAGTTCTAGAACTGATTAACTTTTGGCAGCCATTTTAGAAGTTTTTAGATAAATCTTGTCATTGTGATTCCATGAAGATCACTTCACGGATTTCTTTCAAATTTTTACACATGTTACATGGTAAGCTCTAGCTGATTAACTTTTCGGTGGCCATCTTGCTTTCTGGGTCAACAAGCCCACATTGCTATGTTTTAGGTCTGATATTTTTATGATAAAACTAGATATAACCAGGTGCAAGATTAACAACAAATATATTATCTAAATGTATTTCAGTGCTGTATTTCATCTGATTGCAGAGTGCCTACCAGGCTCCCCCACAAGTTCCACCAGGTCAGGCTCCTTTTGTCGGCCAACCTCCCCAGACAGCCTATGTGGCTTCAGGCCCAGTACAGTTGAATGCAGAGCAGATGGCCAAGCTACGTAGTGAATTGGACACAGTACAAGGAAATATTCGTGTATTTGGGGAGATGTTGACAGAAATGACACCTACAGGATCTAGCCCAGAAGACCTAGATCTTCTCCAGGTAGGGATGGGGTATGATCTCTCAATAACCATGACTACACTTTATTTAACTGGTCTGGTGATGCTACAATTCCATAGAGCAGTTTTACCTATGACAGTTCTTTTTTTCTTTAAAGTTGTGTCGAAACCCATAATTGGCAGCCGCTTGTGTGTATGCATCTCATGAATGTAGACTTTGCACTTGCAGGAATTGAACAGAACATGCAGACAGATGCAGCAGAGAGTGGTTGAACTCATAGATAAAGTAGCAAATGAAGAGGTCACAGGTAATATTAATTATTTCACAACATAGTACAGTACACAGTAAAGGCAGACAGTATAGTACAGTATAGTAGGAATGCACTTTCAATAAAGTCACTGGCTATTGCAAGTTTGCTTCTAAGCTTGCATATAAAAATGAAACGAAAATGTAAACATATCAATCACCTATACATGTAGCTTTTTCTCTTGAATAACCGTTCAGCTTCATTGTTATGCTCAGACTACACCACAGCATGCAATATGCCATTGATATTTCTATAGCTGGTTTTCTGATACATATTGATTTGAACACTTTAACATTCTTCTTCTTACCTACTTCTATGTTTGTTTGCTAGTTTTGATTTATGGATGACAAATAAGTTAATATTTCAGGTGAATTGCTTATCATCAATGATGATTTAAATAATGTCTTTCTGCGCTATGATCGATTTGAACGGTACAGAACAGGCCAAAATGCACCTTCAAGTGGTGAGGTGACGTCACAGAGTAATGCCAGTGTAGGCAATGTGGCTCCTCCAACATACAGCAGTGCAGTACCAAGTCAGCCAACCTCGCAGGTAACCAGTTGTGCGTAAAGTGACCTTCACAATTCCTCTTATAGCAAACATAATTCTAATGCAGTATTTACTATTCAACACTTTATTCATTCAATTAATTTGAAAATCATAAAATCATACTAAACAATTTCTATAGCACCAGGGGACATATTGTTGGAGTTTTTGAGCCATGCAACAACAATTCTTCCCCACTTAATGCCTGTTATGTAATTATATTCCTTCCCACAACTGTACTATAGTTAAAATGCTAAAATTTCTTAACTTCAGCCTGCTGCCACTGAACCAATTGCCAACCTGATTGACCTGAGCACCCCTAGTCCTCAACCAACAGCATCTAACCCATTCACCACACCCACAGGGGATATAAATGCTAGGCTAGCTAATATGAGTGAGTAGATTTCTTTTTATTACACCCAAAGGGGATATAAATGCTAGGCTAGTTAATATGAGTGAGAAGATTTCCATTTACTACACCCACAATTGCTAGGCTAGCTAATATGAGTGAGTAGATGCTAGGCTAGCTAGTGCTGGTAGGTGTTCACTACAGAGAGGGTAATTTATACAGAAGTCAGTAGAGTATGTGGAGGAAGGGTGTCTACTAGAGACAGGTGTTCACTAGAGAGAGGTGTTCACTAAGACAGGTTTTACTGTACATGTAAACGCAACATTTGTACAATTGTCATTTTTGATGTCACTGATTGTTGTTTTGACAATGAGCTTTCTCTTAAAAGCCCATGTTTTGACTAGCTAATTGAACATCATCTGTGGTTTATCCGATTCCAGGACTTATAGTCCTGTGTTCCAATTATTGTTCAGGCAGTGTTTCTACAATGCTGGAGAAAATACTGCTCATTGCACACTTAAAATACATACCTCGATACATTCCTGAGTATTTTAGGATTCTTTTTATGCAGTTGAATCATCAATTGTATGGGTTTATAGGCAGAACAAAGAGAGTCATCTTACATCAGAAATGTCTCAGCACTTTTCAAGATGTAGGAAGGGGAATCCCCTTATATACCAATAGTCTACATGGATGAATTTTGTAATTAAAAACAAAAATTTTCTCTTTCTGCCGATCAACCTATACGATTGGAGATTCAACTGCATAAAAAGAATTCTAATACTATCTAATATTTATTTTTATGTATTGTAGTGTTGATTTCACAGTATTTTAGTTACAACATATAATATTATATATTAGAAACATTTTACACTACCTAATGACAATTTGGCTAAGAGGTGGCCATTTCGAAAAATGGCAGCCATTTTTATGTAGGTTATTTTACAGTTTTACTAAACTAGAAAACTATTTTGTTGATATTTCATATGTAAATACTTTGAAACATGGCACATTTTCTTTTGATAACTTGCTTAAATGGCACTATTGATATTTGAAAAATGGTGTTAGAATGATTTTGTTGATATGTTAAAGGACTGTTGTAAATACATGCAAGAATGACACATTATCTTTTGGCAATAGATCTAAAGTGGCCATTTTGAGACCTGATTTCTAGCAGTATTGTCCGACACTCATCAGATGTTTGATGGGATTCGCTACGCCTTGGCATTGCTGTTATTTATTTAATTTCAAAAGGCATGAGGCAAGTGACAGAATTAGAAGATTAACATATCTTTCAGAATTTTTAGTTTTTAGAAATTTTAGTAGTGGTTGGCATCTGTAACAAATGGCATATTGTGACATTTTTCATGTTAATGCCTTGTTTCACCACACACGCAGATGACATCTATTCACTCTTATTGAAGGCTCTAGCAGAGGACATCTATTCACTCTTATTGAAGCCTGGTAGCTACATGTAGACATGACATTTCCTGTGTTTGTTGCCAGGTGTTGGAGCAGGCAGTGTGAGCAGCACTTTGGACAACATCAACACAACCAGCACCACAAATACTGCCCAGGACTCAGACTTTGACATGTTTGCCCAGTCAAGACAGGCTTTTGACCAAAATAGACAAAATTTAAGGTATGTTAAGAAAGTAATTTATGAAATATTTATGATAACTTGCATTTATCAATTATGCTGCTTTATATTAGCTAGGCCTACAGTATTATAATTAGATTAACTAGAAAAATTAGATAATTTGTTAACGCCATTACATAATTCATTATTATCAGTGCTCATGAGTTATTAATGATGCATTTGCTGGCATTGTTTTATAAATGTCTCCATTAACGTTGATCGATAATAGTATAGCAGTCTCCCTCTACTTCTGTAAACATAACATTATATTGTAGGCTTGACATTTAATAGTCCTATAAATAAAAGCTTTGTGTCATTTCAGTGCTGAAAGTAATAGTCAACAACCCCCTAGGTAAGCCTATACAAGTTGATACCTCACAGAAAATATTTCACAATCTCTTTCCCTCAAACCTTTTGAGAAAGAAATGGTTCTATCAACTTCCAATTCATGATATTCATGAGGAGTTGAGCCTTTTGATGACATTGATCAGATAGATGGTGATAATTTAGTTAAGATGGCTTAATATGATGATACATTTGCTCAATATTTTAGAGATAATAAATCATGCTGATAATATTATTGATTTAAAGATGAACAATTATATAAATGTATAAGGATTTCTGTTAGATGTTCATCAATTTTATCCAAATACATGCATTTATCTTTTTGCATATTTCAGCGCTGGTGCAGTTTATTCAAATCAACAGCAAGATGCCTATGCGGGAAACCTTGCATCTGTAGTCAATGCTAAAAATACTGGAAACCCGTATGGAAATAATGTAAGTTTGACACAATATGTAATTGTTCAGCAAAATTATGGTTTTGATATATTTCTAATAGTTGAACAGTAAAATCTTTAATCTTGATTCAACAATTGTATGTTATTATCTTCTTGTCATTTCTTAAATTATGTGTTTCTAGGTGTATGAATACCTTCTTGTATTTTTATCCCACTGAACGAAATTCAAGGGGATATAGAAAAGCTGTCTGTGCGGCCATCTGTCAGTCAGTTCACCTGTCCATTTGTGTGTCCAGGCGATAAGTCAAATACCAGTTGACAGATTTTATTTACATTTTTAGGCTTATATCTTATGGGTGTAGGACTTCTCTCAAGAAGAAATGTCCGCTCAATTTAATTTTTAGGGAAAAATGTAATCTTTACTAGTTGACATATTGAGTTCAAGTTTTGTATGCTGTTGCCTAGGGAAAAAGGAGCTTTGTTCAAAAAGAGATCTTCAAAATTGCTGCTGAATTTGAAAATGGCTGACATTTTTCATACAAAAATGTTTGATAACTCAAATACCAGTGGATCAATTGGGTTCAAAAGAAGAACTTTTCAAGATGGCTGCTGAATTTCAAAATCGCTATTTATCAAACATGTGCTGTTCTGTGGGATTTGCTACTCCATGGAGTTGCTGTTTTCTAGTTCATAAACTATATGCACTAGATATGCAATGTTCATTTATACATATGCACTTTGTATGTGCTGATCATTTATATATTATATGCACTTTATCTGTGATGTTATATGCATTCCATATGTGCTGTTCATTCATTTACTATATATGCCTCTTTGTACATACATGCTGTTCATATGTTATATGCTCTTTATCTGTGCTATTCATTGATATACTACATGCACTTTGCATGTGCTATCATTCACATATTATATGCATATGTACTTGAGTTATGCTGTTCATTCATATACAGGGTGATCACTAAGTTCTGGGAATTTATCTGTCATTTCATTATTTATCAACCAATTCACTTGAAATTTTCAAGGTAAATGGGATTGTGATTTTGGGATGGATAAAACAGCCTCATTGTCATCTGATGTCACAATGGATAATTATTGTTACTATAGCAACATGACAAATGGCGTAGCGGGTCAAGTAAAATAAAAATGAATTCAAATTTTGCTTGATCCAAAAGTATGGTTAATTAATACCTATTTGGTGGACATATTATTATGATGTTTCTGTGATTTTATATTTTCAAATACTTCCAACTTTAGTTTCTAAAGTAACTTCTGTATTGTGATATACGAGTGTACTTTGCTCTATTTTTTTATCATTGGTCAGACTCTCAAAGTCACAATCATGACTCAAAATAGTGGGGAGTTATCCTCTATTATGGCCATGCTCCTTCCCACTCCTTCTAACTGCCCATACTACTCTTGAAGAATTAGGGTTCACACAAGTTGTTACTGCCCCATATTCACCATACAATATTCACCAGATGAAGCACCAGTGGGCTTCATTTCACTACATTTTGGGTGCTAAAGCATCATATGAGAGGTCATATGTTTGATTCCGATAAGGGACTGATTTCAACAGCTTGAACAAATCTTCAAGGGATATCAAAGGGAGGTTTGGAACACGTCTTTATGGACTAGGTTTGTCAACAATGCATTTGCGTCCAGGCTAATAGAAACAGTTATAAATGAAATGATCCTCTCAGCAATTAAGAATACTTCTAAATAAACGACTTCAACGACCTAAATGTTTATTGAGCATGCATGGTTAAAAAACTGAATGAAAACAATATATAATATCCAATTATGAAAGATTCATGACAATGTTGCAATTTTTAACTGAACAGTAAAATTTGGTAGAAATAGGCTATTGTTCGCAAAATCGTTGAAAATTGAAAAGGTGTTTTTTGACCCCCATGTCACGTAATTGGTTATATTTCTATATGGGGTTGTTGAAAATGGTGCTATAATATATCATTTTGTTATCCCAACGAACGAAGTTCGGAGGGATATAGGGAACGCCTCCGTCCGTCCGTCCGTACGTACGTACGTCCGTCCGGGCAATAACTCAAGTACCGTTGGCCCGATTTTGTTCATATTTTGTACACATATACCCCATGGGGGTAGAAGTTCTGCTCAAAAGCCGATTTTCAAAATGGCCACTCAATTTAAAATGGCGGCCATTTTAGTGCCGAATTTACAGTAATTTAGGTGCAATATGTAAAACTGTAATAGCAATATTTTTTAGATGTAAAAAAGTTATATAGGACATTTATAAAGCTAGAAATGTAGATATTAAAGAAGCACATGGCAGCCATCTTGAAAAATGGCGGCCTTTACTCGTTATTTTACGATTTTTGCTGTAACTCGAAAAGTAGTGGAGCGATTTTGTTCATATTTGGTATGTGAATACTATAAACATTGCACACTGTCTAAAGACACTTTTGGTAGAAGGTCGCCATTTTAACCTATTTTACTATAACTCGAAAAGTAGTGAAGCGATTTTGTTCATATTTGGTATGTGAATACTATAAGGATGGCACACTGTCTAATGACTCTTTTGGTAGAAGGCAGCCATTTTGAAAAATGGCCACCATTTTAACGTATTTTACTATAACTCAAAAAGTAGTGGAGCGATTTTGTTCATATTTGGTATGTGAATACTATAAGTATGGCAAATGGTCTAATGACACTTTTGGTAGAAGGCGGCCATTTTGAAAAATGTCTGCCATTTTTGCTATATACTTTGTTTGTAAAAATGCCATTTTTCAAAATGGCCGCCATTTTAACATATTTTACTATAACTCGAAAAGTAGTGGAGCGATTTTGTTCATATTTGGTATATGAATACTAAAAGCATGACACACTATCGTATGACATTTTTAGTAGAAGGTGGCCATTTTGAAAATTTTTTTGAAAAATGGCCGCCATTTTAATGTATTTTATAATAATTCGAAAAGTAGTGAAGCGATTTTGTTCATATTTGGTATGTGAATACTGTAAGCATGGCACACTATCTAATGACACTTTTGGTAGAAGGCGGCCATTTTGAAAAATGGCCACCATTTTAACGTATTTTACTATAACTCAAAAAGTAGTGGAGCGATTTTGTTCATAATTGGTATGTGAATACTATAAGTATGGCAAATGGTCTAATGACACTTTTGGTAGAAGGCGGCCATTTTGAAAAATGTCTGCCATTTTTGCTATATACTTTGTTTGTAAAAATGCCATCCATGGCTGTTCGATGGGATTCGCTACGCTTTGGCGTTGCCATTGTTCTGGTTGCAAATTAAATTATCTTTAAAATGATATATCATTGTTGGTATGCATGTTAAAAAAAATGAATATTTATTAGGAATAATGGCTAGGGGGGGGGGGTTTGGCCCACCCTGTATATGCACTTTGTACATGCTGTTCATTCATATATTTTTTGAACTTTGTACATGCTGTTCATTCATATATTATATGCACTTTGTACATGCTGTTCATTCATATATTATATGCACTTTGTACATGCTGTTCATTCATATATTATATGCACACTGTGTGTGCTGTACATTCATATATTATATGCACACTGCGTGCTGTTCATTCATATATTATATGCACTCTGTACCTGCTGTACATTCATATATCATATGCACTCTGTGCGTGCTGTTCATTCATATATTATATGCACTCTGTACATGCTGTTCATTCATATATTATGTGCATGCTGTACATGCTGTTCATTCATATATATTATATGCACTCTGTACATGCTGTTCATTCATATATATTATATGCACTTTGTACATGCTGTTCATTTATATATTGTATGCACGTTGTACATGCTGTTCATTCATATATATTATATGCACTTTGTACATGCTGTTCATTCATATATTATATGCACTTTGTACATGCTGTTCATTTATATATTAAATGCACTTTGTACATGCTGTTCATTCATATATTATATGCACTTTGTACATGCTGTTCATTCATATATTATATGCACTTTGTACATGCTGTTCATTCATATATTATATGCACTTTGTACATGCTGTACATTCATATATTATATGCACTCTGTACATGCTGTTCATTCATATATTATATGCACTCTGTACATGCTGTTCATTCATATATTATATGCACGCTGTACATGCTGTTCATTCATATATATTATATGCACTCTGTACATGCTGTTCATTCATATATATTATATGCACTTTGTACATGCTGTTCATTTATATATTATATGTACTTTGTACATGCTGTTCATTCATATATTATATGCACTTTGTACATGCTGTTCATTCATATATTATATGCACTTTGTACATGCTGTTCATTCATATATTATATGCACTCTGTACATGCTGTTCATTCATATATTATATGCACTTTGTACATGCTGTTCATTCATATATTATATGCACTTTGTACATGCTGTTCATTCATATATTATATGCACTTTGTACATGCTGTTCATTCATATATTATATGCACTTTGTACATGCTGTACATTCATATATTATATGCACTCTGTACATGCTGTTCATTCATATATTATATGCACTTTGTACATGCTGTTCATTTATATAATTATATGCTCTTATTATGTGCTGTTTTCTCATTCAGCTGGATGAAGATGATAAGCCAGAGGTAAAAACCATTATACAGAGTACATGTTTAGATCTTGCATGAGGCTTGTCTGTTCTAGGAGTTAGGCAGCGGGTTTAAGTTGATGCTGAACAAGGCTTTTTGTATACAGGTTTCATGTGCAGTTTGCACAGCTTATTACACAGTTCTTGAGCCCAGCCTCTAGCCTTATAATATTGTTGATTTACTTCACACTGGCCTTGACTGCATTGATAAATGTAAAGTTCAAAATAGTAAACTAAGCATATTTCATCAAGCTTTGAACTAAAGGTGTGTCTAGAATCTTTTGACCGAATTTTCTAAACCTATGGTATGATGGTTTCCACTGCTTTATTTCAATATGTAGTATGTATTTCCATACACACTCTTACTATTAATTTATGTTGCATTTGTGATTCGGTTGGATTCAATGGTTTTACCATCACCTGTATACTTTATTTACTCCTCTGCCCTTTTTTGGCTCACACAGTGAGCCTATGGGATTGACCAGGCGTCCGTCCGTCCGTTGGTCCGTCCGTCCGTCCGTCCGTTGGTCCGTCCGTCCGTCCGTCCGTTGGTCCGTCCGTCAACATTGGCCGCACAAATTAAAACTGCTATTCGGATTGAGTCCTATCCACATTCATTTTATGCATATCCATAATGCCTATTTGACCTATCATCGCCATTTCCCAAGTTCGCCCGGTTTCCGAGAAATTGCGGATTTTCTGTAAATACTAGACACTTTGTTGAAGTAGAACTTTCAAATACCTTTTAGTAGTTGGTGTATATGCAACTTATGTCCTCTGAAGATTTTAAAGCTCTTGGAATTACGGTTTTTGGTGTTTACTCTATAAAATTTGAAAAAAAGTAGGACTTAGTTATTTTCAGGAAACTTTCTCATGTATAAAGTCAATGGCAGGTTTTGTGATTGACAAGATTCTTAAAGTTTGCCTTATACTTGATCATTTCCTGCAATAAATTACATCATTAATAGATTTAAGCATTCCCTACATATTTCTCAATATATGTCAGCATCAAATTTTTACCGTTTTTGAGATATTTGACGTCAAAAAACAGTAAAAATAAGTTATTTTTCAACTTGCTTCAATTTTTTGAAAATCATCTACAAGTTACCAGGAGTTCAAATCTGACATTAGTTTTAGGATTTGACCTTTACTTGACCTTCAGTGACCTTCGAAAGGTCAAAAAAGTTGATTTTTCAAATTGATTTTTGGATGTAAATTTTGGTCAGCTTAATCACAAAAGTCCTTACTGAGCTCTGAATAAGTAAAATTATCAAGGTCAAAGGTCATCAAACTAGGTCACACAACTATGCTATCTAAGTTTCTCAAAGTTCGAGACTACAAATCCAAATCAATATTTTTGTTTGAAAGTCAGGATATAAATTCCTCTGAAGGTTCCAAACTGTGTGAGCATAGGACCGTGGGTCCTTCATTCTTATTTTTGGTTCCAGCTTTTATAAGGACTTCCACCATACATATTTTTATCCCATCGAATGAAGTTCTAGGGATGTAGAGAACACCTCCGTCTGTCCATACATCCATCGATCCAGACAATAACTCTAAATTTTTCAGGCCCAATATGATTTAATTCATTTAACATTTTTTGCTATAAGTGGAAAAGTAAGAGAGCGGGTTTGTTAATATTTCTCGTGTGAATACTTAGAAGTATGTTAGGCTGTCTAATGACAATTTGGCTAAAAAGCGACTATTTTCAAAATGGGATTTGCTACACCTTGGCGTTGCTGTTAATTATGTACGTGTAATTCAATATTGATATGAGCAATGATGTTTACTACACAATACAACATAACCGATTGTCACAACCAAAAAGTGGTGAAAAAAATTATTGAATCTTAAGATTTAGGCAATATTTATCACCATGACAACTTGTTATTGAACGTTTAATATGAATCTGTAATGAAACAATGGCTTGATAAAATACAAAAATTAACTTGAAACCCATGCAGTTTGCACAGATGGACATGTTTAAGTGGCAATATCCATTGCTGTGGTATAACGTTAGAGTTAATGGTCAAATTAACAAGAAAAACATACAATATTGACATGGTTTAAATGCGCTGATTTTAGGCAATATCCTTGTTCAACCAGATGTTGACATTTAAGCATGTCAGATCCTTGTTGTTATTACAGAAAAGGTTTTGTGTTATATGGCATGTGACCTTTTTAGGAGTAAAACATAAACACTTTAGGGAAATTATTTGACATTTCCCGTCTTTTAGCTTTTTGAACTGACTTATTTCATTTTATTGCTTGAAAGTGTTAATTTCCTAGATAATGTATCATTTAGGCCTATTTATGTATCAGGCCCGTAGCCAGGATTTGCCAAGGGGGGGTTCATTTTTCAGAAATTTCCAGGGGGGGTTCACATTTGACAATTTTGGCCCAAATATGGCTAAAATCACTTGAGAAGTGTTCAAAATGGTGAAAAACTGCATGATTTTGAAAGATTTTTTGGCCAGGGGGGGGGGGGGGTTCGCCCAAACCCTGCGAACCCCCCCTGGCTACGGGCCTGTGTATTATGACATTTAGAATTGGGAAGTGTTGCGGTGTTATTTGAAACATAGAGCTAGATCATAGGCTGGAACACTTTGTCAGAAAGCATGTTTGAATGTTAAATAGTGAACTAATAAACCATAAAGATATAAATAGATAATAATTATAATAAATTGAATTAATTAATTCTTGTCTTTAATTGTTTTTGAATTTTTGTTTTCAGTTATTAGACAAAGAAAGTGATTATGCCGAAATGGAAAATTGGTTGAAAACTGGGAAAATGCCAGATAAAAATATTGTGAGTATTAAAACTACATCAAGCTTTATTATTAAATGCATTATTGCAAATTGCAATGATAATACAATAAATGACAATCCAATATGTTATTTTACAAGACATACTACCCAACTGACAGTTTTATAAACATGAATCTCCTCTTTTGAATATCAAAGAATGTTTGAACATGAAATAAAATTGTTAATATTGAGTCACACTTTTACTTCCCTTTACTTTTATGTGCAGTTCTTTTTTGTTCGTAAGAAGAAAATACACTCATTGAATCAGACCTGCCAAGTTAATTTTTTTAATGGAAACTAAAAGATACTCTGCAAGCCTCTTTTTGTGCACTTTGATGAAAACAGATATCATGTAAAACTATGTCTGACATAAAATCCAGATTATTGTCCCACTGGACATAGTTCAAGTAGGGATATTGAAAAGCTTTCCCTCAGTTTATCAAACATCAGTTGTTGGATTTGGTTGAGATTTCATTGGGCAATGCCTATGGAAGTAGCATATCTGTCAATAGCAGCTGAATTAAAAATGACCACATTTTTTGGATTTGGTTGAGATTTCATTGGGCAATGCCTATAGACGTAGCATATCTGTCAATAGCAGCTGAATTAAAAATGACCACCATTTTTTGGTTTTGGTTGAGATTTCATTGGGCAATGCCTATAGACGTAGCATATCTGTCAATAGCAGCTGAATTAAAAATGACCACAATTTTTGGATTTGGTTGAGATTTCACTGGGCAATGCCTATAGACGTAGCATATCTGTCAATAGCAGCTGAATTAAAAATGACCACCATTTTTTGGATTTGGTTGAGATTCCATTGGGCAATGCCTATGGATGTAGCATATCTGTCAATAGCAACTGAATTAAAAATGACCACCATTTTTTGGATTTGGTTGAGATTTCATTGGGCAATGCCTATGGAAGTAGCATATCTGTCAATAGCAACTGAATTAAAAATGACCACCATTTTTTGGATTTGGTTGAGATTTCATTGGCCAATGCCTATGGATGTAGCATATCTGTCAATAGCAACTGAATTAAAAATTACCACCATTTCTAACGAAAAATATAATTTATTACATACTATTGTAGTTATCAGATTAAGTCCTTTATAGGCTGGTGACTTATGGAAATAAAAAATCTTTGAGTTCTCAAACAGATTTGGCTAAAATCTTATATGCTAGTGTTTAATTATGATCTTAGAACCATTGTTTGAAGGCCCACAGTCTTGGACTATGGTCAAGGTATTAATTAAGCTGTCACAGCTCAGCCAATCAGTACATACAGGGTGATCAATAAATAAGGTAAAAGTATCTGGCATTTCTTCAGATTTTACCCAATCCTCATAAAATTTGTACAGAATAATGTTCCAACATCATTGAATTGATATATTAAGTTACAGATCAAAGTGATGTGATTGGTTGAAGTTATGGTTGCCATAGCAACAGAAAGCATGAAGACCCGGGGCAACTATCAAAAAACTAAATTTTCAGTCGAAGCACTTTTGATAATATTCTTCAAATCACAATTGAAATGACATATCATATTCTTATATTAGGATTCATAACTACTCTACTTAATGTTCTTTGTTTTTAACATATAGTTCATGTCTTCTACTCCAGTCAGAGTCTTTGAACACCTTTTTAAATCCATTTTCCCATAGCCTGCAAAATTTCAAGATAGCTGACTTCAAGTCTTCCCGTGAGAAACTTCCTCAACTCCCTCTTCTGCTCACCATGAAAGTAAAATCATAAGGGGACAAGTCAGGAGAGTATAGAACATGACCTAACAGTGGGAAATCCAGTGCTTCAATGGTTTGTATCGCATGAATAGCATTGTGAGACGGGGCATTATCCCAGTGCAATGTGAAACGTTTTGCGGGCCTCTTAGCTTCTTCCTCTTTGCTCTTATCAAATCTCTTCCGTTGAAATTGTTTTTCATCATTGACCTGTGTCATAGACTTTCTATGATCACATCAGTTTTTATTATATATTTATCTTTTCTGTGACATCAAACATCAAATTTGCAAAAAGAATATGTAACAATGGAAACAAAGTATTAAAACAATAAATGCTGGCACCCACGTTTATTTCTTTTTAGTTTGAAAAAGATGTGCTTTTTATCATTTTTTGTTCAAATTGGACGCAATGAAATTGCCCCGGGTACCCCTGACTCCAGTTGCCATGGTAAATATAATATTAACCGATCATATGGCAGAAGTTATATATTTATATGTTTTAATTTAGAAATGTACAAGGTATATTCTGACCAAATTTCAGGATGTTTGGACCAATATTTACAAAATGCCAGATACTTTTACCTTATTTATTGATCACCCTGTATATGGTCAATTTAGATGTCCAGCATATACAGAACCACATGGTCTGCTACAGCCTTATTTATCCCATCGGACAAAGTTCAGGGGGATATAGAGAATGGCTTCGTCCGCCTGTCTGTTCATCCAGGCAATAACTCAAATACTGTTGAACCAATTTTGATTATATTTTATTTGCCTCATGGGAGAACACTGCCCGAAAGTCAATTTCAAAAAGGCCACCGGTTTTAAAATGACACTGGCTAGTAGGCAGTCATTTTGAAAAATGGTTGCCATTATATATTTTATACTGTTACTCAAAAAGTAGGATAGGGATTTTGTTCATATTTGGTATATGAATACTCATAAGCATGGCACACTGTCTTATAACACATTGGCGAGTAGGCAGGCATTTAAAATGTCTGCCATTTTAATGTGTGTATTTTACGTTTTATACTCTAACTTAAAAAGTAGTGGAGCGATTTTGTTGGAAATTTCATATGTGCCTACTTACAAGCATAGATCACTTTCTTATGACAATTTGGCTAGTAAGTGGCTATTTTGAAAAATGGTGGCCATTTCTATGTGTGTTATTTTACAATTTGTGCTATAACTGAAATAGAAGTGGAGGGATTGTCTTATGGAAAAAGTACATCCCTTGAAAGGAAATTTGCAGAATATCTGCTTTATTCAAAATTGCCACAATTGTTCAGGAGAAATATAATTCATGACCATTCATCCAAATCTTGGAACAGTGATGCCTTATTGCTATAAAACTCTTACTGATAAGGAATTTCTAATATTGTGTCATATCAGCAGGCCTGTCAACTGTCCCGCAATTTGCGTATTTGTCACGCATTTGCTGAAGAATTTGAAGTCACGCCAGTTATTTTTGCGTGACAGAAAATGTCACGCAAATACGCATTTTACCTGGTAATTGTCAAGCAAAAATATTTCTGTAGAAAAATTTCTAAAAAAGATCGTCTACACATCAAAAATACGAACGCCGAAAAAAAATGTACGCATTTCGTTCGGACTTTTCACGCGAATTACGTATATGTCACGCATTTCGTTCGAAATTTTTCGCGAAAAATTTGAGGTGTTCAAAATTTGGCAAGATGTAATAAAATTAAACCAAGGTGTTCAAAATTTGGATCAAGGTGTTCAGATTTGGACCAAGGTGTCCACATTTTGAGGGGAGGTGTTCAACATTTCCAAGTCACTCATGTTAGGTGTTCCCAAGTTGACAGGCCTGTATCAGGAATATAGATTTTGCCAAAATGAGACAATACATGTCCTACTACCTTGTTATTTTTATCATGAAATATTCAAAATAACAATTGATTTGATAAAATATGTTTTTGTTTGATGGGATCTGCTACTCAGAGGATTTGCTGTTTTTAAAAATATGTTTTTAATGAACGGATTTATGCTGTGATGTTTCAGCCAAGTGGGGACAATAACACCAACACCAGTATGACTAGTACAGGTAAATAAAATAAACAACAGAGAGGTTAAGCTACATGTATTGAACAAAACTTGAACGTGAACTTCAATGCGCGTCAGATTTGTTTATTTCCTGTGGGCCAGCGTGAAGTTTACAGGTTTTTACATGAGATTATTATATTGGTGCAATTTACAGACGCGTATTCAACAAAATATGAATGTGTACTTCTATGCGCGGGCAGGAAAATGGTGTCAAATTAGTCTACTTTCTACAGGTAAGCGTGAAAGTTACAGGTTTTTACATGTAGATGAGTGATTACACGTCGCTCATTACGTGATTGATTTTAGCTATGTTCTAGGATGGCCCAGGAGCCCATATTTGATACAGATACTCTTGCTTGTTATATTGGTAAACCCCAATCCTTCATAGGAAATAAGAATACATTTTAATGGATTAATGACAACTTCAAATGTGATAGTTTGGTTTCATTTCGTATAATATAAATAGGCAGGGCTAGTTTAATACCTGGGGCTTGGACAGTATTTATACTAAACAGAATGAAATGACAACCAGGGCCTACTATTGCATTATCCGTACATTTGATTTTCGAATGAGGCATTTTCTTTCTTACTACTTCCACCCTTGATATGAGCAAGAAGTGATACTAAAGTAATTGAATTGTGGTTGAATATGAATTAAAGCAAAAATAAAAAACAAAATGTTTTCATGCATCTAGGTTTGAACCCAGGCCTAACGGACATGAGTCCTAAGTGCTAACCATTACACCATAGAGCCATAACCCTTAGACACTGTCACCAAATAAATATAACTTGACATCCACTGACATGGTTTCAGACGCGTAGCTTAACAGAAAATTTTCTTAAATGTGTACTTGAGCGTGGACTTTCGCCTTCAGGTTCACAGTTTGCATTTGAACGTGTAGCTTAACCTCTTTAACAATACTGCAGTAACACTTACAATTTACAATTATTAACTAACTAATGAAATCAAAGTACGGCCATGTGTTATTTTTAATATTAATTTTCACTATAACTTGAGAAATTGATTTTGTTGATATTTTTATAAAAAGGTTCATGCAAGTAGACACATCATCTTTTGGAAAATCATCTTGCCTGGTGATTAATTATGTCTGGTATTTATCAGATGTGTGATGAAATATGATGTTTACACTGTTATTTTGCTCAAAAGTACAAGTCTATCATACTATTAAAGAATGAATTAGATTATAACATCATTTGCATGGATTGCGATTGTATAACTATTTATTTCCGGTACCGTTGCTTAATTAATAATGATTGCTGTTTGCAGAATTCGACAAGTTTCTGTCAGACCGTGTGTCAGACACCACAGCAGCAACATCTAGTGGTGCAGGAAGGAGTAACCAACAAGCACGACAGATGCAGAAACAGGAAGACACTGACAATAAAATGTTTGCACTTTAGTCACCTCAAACAAAAGATTGCATGATGGTTGAGAAATTCACATATTTTGCTCACATTTCTGTTTTTCATTTCTATACAGTTCAGAATATGTCTGCCAATTCATTTACAAAATTGTTGCTTCATTGCTTTGATGGCCATGGTATTGCAATGTATATAATGAAAATGCTATAATGTTGGTGTAGCATTGTTATGGATAACTATGTACTGGCATATATGAAGTAGGTGCCTCTATCCATCATGAAGTCTTTTGATTACAAGCGGATCTATGTAATTGTATAAAGAGTACATGTATGATGAATACAAGTGACCCTCATGAGGGTTTAACCAACAACCTTATATATTCAAGTCAATAATTTCTTCTTGTATCTAGTATATATGTTTGTTTCTGTCCCAACTGGTAAGAGAGAAATATGAAAAACGTTCATGCAAACAGTTATTTAGTGAAAAATTGAACAATTGTGTTTATACACTGCCAGATAGACAGCTGCAATAAATGGCTGAAATAAGCATTGGCTATGATTTGACAATTATTTTTAATAGACTAGATACCAGTAAAGATCTTGAACTAATATTATTCATCCAAAGTCCATTGAAAGTGATATCATATTTGAAAGCTATGCAAAATTACATCTATTTCATCAACATTTCCCCATAAATTAAGAAAAGCAAAATTTCTTATTTTTGTAATGAGCAGATAAAACCTCTTGACTACCTGGAGTGATGAGATTTCTCGTCACCTCAGAAATTACCTTGAAACCCTAAATGACGAGAAAATCTGTCAAAATATTTTCCACTAAAATCACTCTTTTTTGAACAATTTTCATACAATTTACACAAAAATTATTTTAAAATGCCTAGAAATGATATCTGCCATATGATTTTACTAAGCTGAGCATCTAAAGTTGTATAGGTATTGTGTAAAGTGTCAAAAATGAAAAATCCTCTGGTTTCAACGGATTTTTGAGCCTGGGATTCAAGAGGTTAAAAGATATAACTAATGAAATAGGTGTGATGGAATTTTGGTCCACTGAATTAGCCATCTGTTAGTGGAACAGGTAGCTAAATACTGGCAACTACAGTGGATAATTTGGATCATCTGTTCTCATATTTATTATGTCATTTTGCCAATGTAGAACTGAATTAAACAGTTAATCCTTTGAAAAGTCAAAGAAAAATCTGAATATTGAAAATGCCTTAAATGTCATAAATTACATGAATAATTTGCCTCTAGGGGTAATTTCAAACCTCCAAAAAGTTGTTATTAATTGAATCTTGTCCATTGGTTGTTTTTGGTTATTTCTACATGATTATTGCAAAGCAAGGTGTGTCATGTTCTATGCTTCTGTTCACTACAGTAGTTAATATATTCATACTAAGATGTGCAATTCTTATTTTCTTCATTTTCACATTAGAGCCAGAATATAGAACATAGATTAGATGATAAATGTGTATTCTAAATTAAAGCGAAATTAATGTTCAATGTAATTGTAAATGTATAAAATCAAAATTTGAAATTATAATATTAAAGATGACCCCTTCACTGATACAGTACAAAAATACTTAGAAAGTAGATTTAATTGGTTCAATGAATGATTGGCCACCTCTTCACAAACCAGTCAGTGACCACCTCCCTTCGAACATTGATATTAGAAATGCTCATAAAGGGGTGGTGATTGCTTTGCGCTGACACCTTATTTTGTTATTTATAACAACTAAGTAAATAGTATAAAATGTTGGAATTGGAAGAAATAGCTTGTTTATATTCACATATTACTCATTTTAGCTGCGTTTGTGCTTTAAAAATATACTTGTGAGGAGAAAGAAAAAAATGTAACAAAGATTGATTAATGAGAAGTTCGGCCATCCATTTAATATTGTTTTTCTTGGATGGTATTTCCCATGAGGCTGCTTCAATTTAAATTGCAATTGATATTCTTCATCTTCACTTATAATCCTCAGTCAGAAAATTGACTTACAGTAATTGCTTAGTGTTGAAGCAATCTTTTTGCTCATATTAGGATTCACCTTTTACCTGATTTCAAATTGTTCTGTTCATCATGGAAACATCCCTCAGATTTAGTTAATTCATACAATTTTGCATTATACATGCATTGAAGGATTTTTCACTAATTGGGCACATATTTCTTCTTTGATTAATATAAAGTGTTATCTTCATGATCAGCTGAAATAACATACAAATGCAGGTTCAGTTGTAGTTCATTGAGACTTCACGATAATGAATAATAAATTATTAATGGAAAACTAATTTTCACAACTATTCCCCACATTGAGTCACTGAATGGCTGTTTGCTATTGAAAAACTTTACTAAGACAGGAATGCAAAAAATAATCATTTTATCCCACAATAAGATGCTGCTTATTAATTGGCAGGAAATCAGTTTGATAGATGAATGACTAAATATCAATTCAATTTACCTGACAGAAATATCTTAGAGACTTTTTACGAAGTAGTTCTGAAATAAGTACCATTAAGATGTTTTCTATAGTCACAATTATATTTGCTATTAATACTTGCTAATCATTCAGCCCTATGCCTATTTGATTTGTCAATTACTAGATTGGAATGGGTTTATGTTTAACAAATCATATAATCCTACTGCAGATTATTGACATGCAATGTTGAGTCTGGAGTAGAAGCCACTCTGAGACACAGCTGGCCTGCTCTATTCATAGTTCTGTGGTAAGATTCACATCAGTCCATCCAGATTTTAGCCACTCCCATTGGAAGAAGAAATTTGTGATTTTCATTATTTGAACGTAATGTTTCATTTCTTATAAAGAACTTCATTTATAGAACATTTTCTTTGTATCAAATTCCCCAACCTTCCAAAAAATCTTCATTTCAATGTTTTCATTAAAGATTTAAATGTAAGCTACATTTTTAGCTGCTTTGGGACCAGAGAATACTTCAATTTAAAATTAAAAATATTGCTATAAAAAAATTAGTGAATCATTAAAGATAAGAAATAAGTGAATCATTTTGGGTCCTGTATAGGTCATACACATTTGGTAGAATGTGCAAATCTAACATTTAAATGTAGAAGTTGAGAATGATTACTCAGCACCTAGGCCATTATTGCAACTGATGCTTTACTATCAACACTATTTCTACAATATTGTAATACCTTTACAATATTGTAGAAACAGTGTGTTTAGACAATGGCATTAGGTTTTTACTGAGAGAATGAAATAACTATGTTAAATATTGCTTTGATTTGAATATCTGTGGATAGGATGGGGAACACAGATGTAGGTATTTTTGAAGATGTCTAGATGACATATGTGAAAATTCAATGACATTTAATATTCACAGATAGACTTGTCTTTTATTCAAGTTATTTCTACTAAATCAATATATATTTCAATGAAAATCATTTGCTTTCACTGTAGTTAGCTAGTCATAAAATATCATAATATTTTTGCTTCCTAGTAAATTAATCACTACAACACATCTGAAATACAATTAAAGATTTGTCACTGCAATAGATTTTCTGTACCATGGCAACCATAGAAACTTTTGTTACTGTGATAAATTACATTGTCATTACCATGGTTACTCTTGTACTGCATTTTACAACATTTTCAGAATATTTATATGAATGTTGAAAGTAAGCTGAGATGCAATATTGTAGGGATGTAAGTAATTACTTTTATATGCTGTAGTGTAAACCCCTATTCAACTGGACATTTTAAAAGTAGTACCCATACTGAAGTAATGTCACACCAAAAGTAATGCCATACTGAAGTAATGTCACACCAAAACTAATGCCATACTGAAGTAATGTCACACCAAAAGTAATGACATACCTAAGTCATGGATAATGTCCAAAATATGTCATTCCAGGCTTCCCACCTTAACTTAAGTCAGTACGGTTATTACATTTCCACATAATGCCTCAGTCACATTTGCTACAACGGCCTTGGGCTCGAATATTTATAATGTCCAATATCTTAGATGCGAGTAGAAATAATCTTGATTTACATCATTAAATTCAGTCAAACTGGTGTCATATTTGGAATCTACATATAAAATTGTTTTGAAAAGAGTTAATCAACTTTGAAAATTAAATTTTCTTTGAAAATGTGGCTTCTAGGTCGGGGAGATTCCCATAGACCCCATGTTGTAAAACTACAAAAAGTGAAATATCTTTTCTTGTGTTGGGCAGATAATATTTTCTTACTATTACATACATATGGGTAATTTGAAAAGTGAACCACTAAAACTGATGCATGTTCAAGTTTAAGGGAATTTTGTAATACCCTGCCATGTTATTTCCCCCCGAATCAGCCACCTGGTAACTACCTACTCGCATCTGAGTAATTGCAATTATGAGGACGCCGTAGTATTTCCACAGTAACATATGCTACATATGTTTTATTTTGAATTTGTGGATACAGACAACCTTTATATTAGCTGCTGTATGGCCATTGAAGTGATGATACCTCATGGGACCATACTTTGAACGAACGGCGACTTTGGCCAGTCTGACGCTACAGCATGGCAAGGCAACGGCTTGTCTTATTTCTATGGCAAAAATAAAAATGAAAACAAACTGTTTTTGTAATTTCCATGGTGACCCAACTAGTATTTATTAATATCAGTAAACTCAGCCGTAGATCAAGTGTGACTGAGGCATAAGGCCATAAGAAATGTAATGCCACCAGTAGTATCAAAAAGTGATTCTAAAGATTTGAGTACAAAAAGAACTCCATCCAATGTACTGGAATATAAAGAGTATAAAATACAGTGACCTGTTTTGTGCACTTAACATCATTTCTCATAAACATTTTCATTGATTGCGGTTCATCAAATACAAATTAAACATAACATATTGAATGTATAATCATAAATAGTTACTGCTAAATTGAATCCATTACTTTCTCTACATTCATCTATAAATTGTCATCAATTATTAATCATGTACATTTCACATTCCTGGAACATTGTTTCATCTGGCACCATTGTGGATTTGGATTTTTGACCGGGTGTAAAGTGTAAAATAAACGTCGTTTGGTAGCTTCTAGTTTCTACAGTAGGTAGTATTAGTGAGGGCTCTTGAACAATGTTGAATGCCATCACCTGATATGATGTCATTTAAACAACAGACTTTGTTGTCTTGTACATATTTATTATAGTAGTGTATATTACATCAGACATTACCGTCAGAAAATGATTTTTATTTATTTTGTATAATAGTAATGAACTTATGAATAAAATGATGTACACCTTGTAGTAATGGATGTTTTATTTGCTTAATGACTTTGGTATTTCTGCCATACGGTGACATTTATGCCTTAGGGTACATTATTGTATGAAAATATGAAAATCATTTTATCATGCAATTCAAGTCATATATACCATAATTAAATGGCAAAATGTTTTAGGTGTGAGTTGTCAGTATACTCATACTGTACTTAAATGTAAGCCTTGCCCAAGTCGGTGTTTTTTACTTATCCGATCTTGATAAGAGAAATCAATATAAGTAAAGACCGACTTGGGCAAAGCTACTCATACTTATGAAAATTAAATATAAAAAAGACATCTGTAACAGGATTTCATATCTCTATGTACATTTCATCTGGGGGATTATTTTCAGATTTACATGCTACTCAACTCATAGAGATGTTGTTTTCTGGTTATGGTATATGTTATTATATCACCCCATGTAATTGGAGGGGAAGTAATATGTTCACTACACAAGGACACTACAATGGTATTGTCTTGGTCACTAGTTGAGGTAGCAGACTGGGAAACAGCAGTGG